TTCACAGTTACAGGGACTATAAACATCTTATTTAAGTTCCTCCGTTTTATACCTACCTCTTCTAGCAGTCTGAATAGATCGTTGATTCCCCTTCTACATGTTGAGCAGTTTTATCTATAAGTGTAGTAGCTTCTCTACTCTAGATCTGAAGGATAAAGCACTCGCCATCGTCCAGGCATACCCCTTCAAAAATCCACTGTTGTGGGAGTACTCTGACGTTGTTGTTCATACTTCGGACAAGCAAACTTTCGTGGATTTCAACTATTTTATTAGAACTGCTTATAAAATAGTTGAAATCATCTGATACCTTTGAGTCTTTGCATTAGATGCCATTGAACGAACGAACGTTAGTTTTCTTATGTTTCGAACTGGTTATGAAACTGAAACATAAGAAAACTAACAGCTTTTCCAATATTGTTAGGACCTATCACAGAGTGAAGAATTTGGACTTTTTAATGTACATTGATGAAAATCTTAAAAAAAGACAACACGATGTCTTGCACAGTTTTCGTCTTATCCCGGGCAAACAATTATTTGATAAGTATGGAAAAGGTATGTTGAGTCTTCACATTACATGCTCTTGTGTCTTCACATCTAATGCCATTGAGTCTTCGCATTAGATGTAGGGAGCACATTTCCAGCTTGTAATTGTTCCAAACAATTGCAGTATTTTCACGCATATTAAGCTGTTTCTCACACCATTTGATGGATGTCAACTTCTCTGTCCAAGAATATATAAATCTAATAGCAGTGATGAATGATATTCTTGAACCACTGAACAAATTTCCAACACGGAAGTCTTCTTTCCTGTACAATTTTTAACATTGCACCTCCGAATGGTTTCCTCGTTAACATGTATATAGTTTCATGCTGAGGCCATTTTCGCATATTCATTTGCCAGATAAAAGACTTATTTCTTGAAAAAAAATCATATAGCTTAAATTAAAGATTATCAATAGCATATTCATCAAAAGGCAACTAATGCGATTTCGAAATCCTTAGAAAATTCAAACACGATGTTAATATAAGAACATGTGGCAACAGCAAAAATATAACATTTAGCGAGGTATAAGAATACGTGGCGAGTTGGTTAGTAAATGAATGTTGGTGGCCGCTATAGTAAGGAAGTACGAAACACACATGGGGAATATCTTATTTCGTACTTCACTTCTTTAAATATGATAAATGAATACTATTTTAAAATACAGGAAATAGACCTTAGGCACAAATCTCCTCTTCGAGAGGGGGGGGGAATTCTACAATTATTTACATATGATTTGATCAAATACTTAACATTTTCGTTATTAAATAAATGCTAACATTAAAAAATAATAGATCAGTTATGTTACGCAAATATATTTTAATCATGTCTCAAATCAAAATCTTTTGGCAAATAAAAAGTTTTGAGCAGCATGATAATGAAACCTTTATTCATATATAAACAATTAATACTATTTACATGAGAAAACATTTTAATTCCAAAAATTTATACTGCAAAAATGACAGAGTTATAAGTTAAATTTCATAACTGTTACAGTTAAATTAATAAAGAGATTTTATAACGATTGTTATTTCATTTATTCTTTTATGTCATCATAGCAGAAACAGCTTTACTTATTGTATTGGAGCAGCTATTGTAAGTTTCAGAAACCACTGTTAGATGAAAGTTTGTATGTGAAGAAAAGAATGTGAGACATTCATACAAAGATGTGACGTCATGGTAATGGAGCATGAATGATTCATTGCTTAATAACGATAGTTTTACATTTTTACATTCATTGTAAAGGTATTTACTTCAGCTTTACAAACTTTTGTTCGCAAATTTTTTAGAAGTTCTTGGGAACTGGTCACAAAACGTAAGAAAACTGACAGCTTTCTGATATTGTTATGAAAAAAGGAACTATCACAGCGTAAAGGATTTGGACTTTTCAATGTACATTGATGAAAATCTCAAAAAAGACAACACGATTTTTTGCACAGTTTCCGTCTTATCCAGGCAAACAGTTATTTGATAAAGATGGAAAAGGTATTTGTTTCTGGCATGCTGTGTTTGTTATTATGTTAATGAAATTCACGTTCCTGTATGCAAGAGACTGGACGTTCTTTTTTAATGCTTCAAAATGGCACTGGTGAAATTTCCATCTCTGGTCATGGAGTATTCTAGTTTCTCATTGGTACCTAGAAAAAACATTTACAGAATTTTTGAAGAATACATTTTATGCACATTTTTATAATAAAATACGTTTAATTACCAGATGTAACAAATAATAACTGCAAGTTAACGATGTTCTTACAAAATGCTGACAGTAAGTTAGCAAAATGTGCTAATAGCATTGAAATCTTGTAAGAAAATATTTAGGCTCTAGGTGAGCATATTTACATTAACTAATTACCTATGAGTTAATGCATTTATCTACATAGCAATTTTTAACTTTTAGAGAACAGAACACATTTTTATTTCATAGCGATGTGTTTTTTGTGAACTACTTAAGCGCTAAAATAGGCATATATACTTCTTAAGAATTTTTCCAGTTATCTAAACGAAGGAAACATTTTCTTAGTTAAATAATTCTTAATAGAATATTAATTTCAAGGGCTTGCCTGATATTCATTTTGACAATTTAGATAACGAAATGCTAAGAGAATACTTACAAGGCCAATGGAAGAATAGCCGTCATCCAAATAGCTTGATTTATAACTTTTCTTCTTCAATCTGTAAAATACATGAATTTGTATGTGCTTTATAATAAATAATTATATAAGGTAACGCAAATAGAGATATTCATAGATGGTATTAACAATAAAAATAATTCGATTCGGTTATTACACATTATTAATCAGAATAAATCTTTATTTCCCATGTCTAAGATTGATTTTATCTGCAATTATATCAAATTACGTAAATATAAAAGTAAAAATAAAAATAGTTCAAAAGCTGTCAGTTTCGCACAACCGAAAACTTTTGAATCATTTTTATTTGTAATAAGAGCTAATTTAGTGCATTTATTGCGGATTAAAATTTATACCTATTTAAATTTAGCTACACATATTATTAAATACATAGGCATATTCAAATATGAATAGGCTAATATTACTTTATATACTTAGTAAATAATTGCTATATTTTGTTATTTTTCTTCTTTGCAATACTAACATGAGTTTAGTAGACTGTGTAATTTGTTTTATGCTATTTGTTCTGCTTCATTTCGATAAAATATTATATTCAAAATGTAATTTTTTAAATCTTTTATTTAGTCACTTTCAGTATTACACATAATCATACACTATACAGAGTGTTTCAACAGATTGGTTTTGAACTTTCAGGAGAGATAAAATGCACCCAGACGATGAAAAGACACATAGCAATACATGGTCGGGAACGATTTCCTGGCTCAATATTGATGGACCCAAAACACAAGAATGAAAGGACACGAAGAGGTGAAAATAATGTTTATTATGCTTAGTGTAGCGGAAAACCAAGAAATAAAAACAAAAACAGACGATCATCATCAAAGTAGATTTTCGAAATTATGACCCGGACCGTCATGCAGGAACCATGCCTCATGCATCTTTCATACGTGATGCAGATCTTCCATGCGCTGGAGATGTGAGGCTTATATCAAGGTTCGGGGTCGTAATTTGAAACATCTTCTTTAATGATCATTGCCTGTTTTTGTTCTTATTTGATGATTTCTGCTATACTAAACATAATAAAGCGTGTTTTTTCACACTGTTCTTGTCCTTTTTTGTTTGTTTTCTGTAATCACTACCGCGCCATAAAAGCGTTTCTGACCATGCATTGCTACGTGATTTTCTACCGTCTAAATGTGTACTATTTCTCCTAAAATTTTGTAACCGATTTACCGAAACACCCTACATAATCACGCATTATATTTTCAGATCTTTCTATGTTATGTATCTTATTACCTTACATATTTTTGTATTTTAGAGACATGACATTTCAGTTTCATATTGCATTCCCCATGTAAATGCAATGTAAGTCAAGAGTACATCCTGTATAATCACGCATTTTATTTTCAGATCTTTCTATGTTAGGTATCTTTTTACCTTACATATTTTTGTATTTTAGAGACGTGGCATTTCAGTTTCATATTGAATTCCCTATGTTAATGCAATGTAAGACTAGAGTACACCCTGTATAAGCATGCATTATATTTTCAGATCTTTCTATCTTATTAATCTTATTACCTTACTTATTTTTGTATTTTAGAGACGTGACATTTCAGTTTCATATTGCATTCCCCATGTTAATGCAATGTAAGATTAGAATGCCAGCTAAAATATCTTTGATGATAAATGTTCTAATAGCTTATAAGGTATTTCTTCCGCCTTCGTGGTGTGGTGGTCTGCACGCTCAGCGCGTAATTGAGAGGTCCGTGGTTCGATTCTTGGCGAAGGCGGTTGCTCCTTTTTCATCTCTCTTGCTTCCAAAATACCTAATGTCTCTACAAGCTGACTTAACCAGATTTGTTTTAATATTTCTCAAACGTAAGCATTTAGCTAACTCTAGCGTTTTCTGCAAAGTAAAGAAAAAAAAGTTTTAAATTAGTTTTTTTAAAATAAACTTGAGGTGATTATTCTTGATTACACTTAGCTATTTCTGTTATCTTAAATAAATTTGCTGTCTAATTAGTTGGAAATTCCATTTCATCGTACAATTAATGCCTCTAGAAAAAGGCTTTACTCCTATTATTTGCTCCTTTCCTAATTTCAAAGATGGCTTTTATAATAGCTTAAATTGTTTTTATTCCTTAACTAAAATCCATTGGCACCTCAGTATATAACTGTAGTTCAACAAAGATTTAAATTTCATACAATTTTCTTCTTAATACTTACATTCTGTACTTATGGATCATAAATATTGCTAAAAGAAGCAGGGGTACCACTACGCTGGACATTACAATCAGAGCTATGCGCATTCCTTTCTTTCCTGCTGAAACGACAAAACAAAATAGATATTTTTTTAACAATGCAAAGGATAATATATAGGAATACTATTAAGGAAGAAAACGACTGATAATATTGAACAAAAATTGTGCAAAGATGAAAATAGCGATGCCATTAAACATTATGATATACAGGTATAAATGCAATGAAAGCATTCCTGATGATCTTGCGAAAAATTTGCAGGTATGGAAATTCCTTAAGGTTCTTTAACGTATGGAAGCTTTCGATAAATACCTTACGAACAAAACGATATGCTTTGAGAACGAGGTATCATTTCAGGTTTAGCTCTTCACTAGTGAGGTAGTAATTCAATGGCGCAAATTTTAAAGCACGGTGTATGCAATTTTCTTTATTGGAATATCATGCGACTTGAATTGATTGAATAGCATTTTATCTCTTAAATTATTTTTTATTTTGTATTTTTAGCTCCAAAATAAAATACTTTAATATAGATTTCTATTAGGAATAGGTAAGAATATATTTCTGGTTTTTCTTCTTCACAAGTCTAAACTTTTAATTTGCATTCAGACTTATACAGTTATTTTCTTCACAAAGAAACATTAGGGCTTAAGAAAGAACAATTTATTATGAAATGACCGTTCATTTATTGGCTATATCATTGTTTGTGATTAGTAAGTAGCCATCCAATACCATATTTAAAAGCAATCGAAAACTTATGATTAGAATACAATTTCTTTTCAAACAATTAAATAAATATTACATTACAATATTAAGATATATAATTATAATATTGAAGAGCAAAACAAAAGACTCTGTTCCAATTCTGCGGTATAAGGTGTCCTAGGAAAGGCTTAAGCTTTTCTTTAAACCCCCGGCCAAATTTTGAAATTTAAACTAAACCAGTAATATAAAAATTTTTTTTAAAGTCCATTTCTACTTAGTCAACAAAGAAAAATTAAAAAAAAAATTGAATACCAATCAAATTTTTAAGAATTAAAAATTTTAAAAAAAGATTTAATAGTTGAAAAAACTATATTAATGTCCCAATGTCTTCACTATAATTAAAAAAAATGTATTTGAAATTGAGTGGATGAATAAAAATTTTGTTAACGAGCGAAATGTAATTAAATAATAATTATTACTTAAATTTTTACAAACATTCCTACTTAGATCGCAAAGAAAAATTTAAAAATAGAAAAAAAGTGTTGTTAATTATTTGAACAAGATATAGGAAGAGTGTGAGCTAATAGTAGGAATTTAAAAAATGCAGGTAGGCCTCCCTCCTACAATGCGGTAGATACGTTCCTTGAAAATACCGCATTGTAGGAAATCGTACTATAAGAAACACCAACTGAATACAAAAACTGAAATTCAGTTCTAAAAAAGAGAAAAGCTGTCTTTTATAGTATAACTTTTTCATCTCATTCTTTAATTTATGTATATAAAAATATTTCATAAAAAACGTAATTAAAATTCAACATCATATAGAAACTAAGAAGATTATGATTTCAAGTCAAAATCAAAAAGAAACATAACGTTTTTCTCGCAAAATTCCTCATTGCCACTTATTGTTTTAGTTGATCAAGAACGTTTTACTGGCTTTATTTTAAGCTGCTATGAGCTTGTTTCATCGACAAATTTCACTGCACTTACGGTAGGTTAAGGTTTGGAGAAAAAAAAATTAATTTCACTGCACTTACGGTAGGTTTAGGTTTGGAAACAAAAATCTATCATTAGAGATTGCATGCTTTGGTTTTCAAATCTTTATAAATTTCTTGATAGGCAGATAAGCAATTTTAGAGATTCCGTTTTAAATACTTCTGATCTCTCCAGAGGAGAATCGTTCTCTAAAAAATAGGATTCCATCTGTTTCGCCATGTCCAAACATTTTTCTATACCTTTCCGAGTGAATGTTTTTTTGTTCTTCATTAAAAAATTGTTCAGAATTACCTTCAGTCGGCAGTGTTTTGAATAATGCTTCTCCAAATCTGCTTCTTATATTTAATTTTCTATAAATAATTCTAGAGTATCATCAATAGTTATTTCAGTGAATCCATTACCTCATATTGCGTGCGTAAGACTTACTATGTTAGATTCACACTGAATTGGCTCAGCAACATTTTCCTATGTGTGTGTGTGTGTGTGATTATGGCAAAGCCTCGAGGGCTATCTGCCTAAAGGGAGGGATGCCTTGTGGAGGACTTTCTAAGACACTGCTGTATACACGTTACACCTTTGAAACACGAAACGCCTGCAGCCCGTTCGCGGGCTTCGAACTCGGACCGACTGCCAGTGTTCAGCGACTTTACCGCTCGGCCGCTGGTGGGCCCAACGTTTTCCTAACTCATCATTTCCTGTAATCATACTTTTCAAGAAGTTATGCGATAGGTGAATGCGATAGGCGCATTTATCGCAGGGACGAGTCTATAATTTCTACACAATTTAAAACTGAAAATTGTTTGCAAACTTCGCTGACTGTGATATCTCTAGAATCTATTTTCTTAAAAATTAATTCAAATGATTTATGGATATAGGATGATTTAAAAGTTGCTATGATTCCTTCATCCAAGGGTTGCAATAGAGGATTGCTGTTGAATGGTAAAAATGCAATCTCAACATTGGGATGATTTAAATCAATTAGACACGAGAACGCATTATCTAAGATTAGTACGACTTATAATACTAGGTTCTTTTTTATTAAATAAATTTCTGCATCCGGAACAAAATAATTATGGAACTGTCAGTCGGTTAGAGGTTTATCCAGCTGGGGACTAGGGGAGAGTCTTCATTTTTTAAACCGCGTTGTAAAAGTATCGCGTTGTGAAGGTACCAAGTTTTGTAGGAGGCCTACCTGTAGGTTTTTTCTCTTGAGTCGCAATAGCTTCTAATTAAAATATAGAAAAGCATCATTTTCGTTATGCTATTATAACATTTCAATTGTCTCCCTTGTAGACCTTACCAATGCATCATGATCACATTCGTGAGACCATTGTATGTGAGAACTTGCTGTCTCAGAAATATTCTCAAAAATGCAATCAATCTTTCATGTGAAGTCGTCTCATATTTGCACCAAAATGGTAAAATTGAATAATGAGTTTCAGTTTTTTATTCTGTTTTTTTTCTTTAAATTAAAATCTAAGCACAATTATTCGCATATATCTATTCATCAGTTTCTTTTTTTCATATATTTTATTTAGTTTCTCTTTTTTATACATAAATACTCAGCTCTCTCATCTTGGGTTTATATGTAATATTTGTTTATTATGAAATACGAAGAGGTTTTCTTTATTAACATTAAAAATAACGGCAGTTTTATTGAATAAAAGTTTTACGTTTTTCTTATGACATGACTCTAATTATGTGAATCTAATAATATTTCTGCTATATTAATTCCATCCCGTTTGCCTGGAACCGAACGCAGGTCAGGACTACCAAATTATAAAGGTAGGACTCAGAATTTGTTCCTATTTCATGTCCACACAAAAATAACCTTTTTTTTTTTTTAGTTAACTAAACTAAGGTAGCAGACTACATTCTAATCCTTAAATCTGATGAAATGTTTCAAAAACTTCTTACCTTATTTTAAAGCTTACACATTAAACTTCCTAAAACTACTTTTATTTTGTCTCGCCGGTCTCAGAACCAGATTTATGGCTCTTTTTGTTCTACCCATGAACCATAAATTCCTGTTTAAGAACCCGGAATCTGATCTCCACAGGCACACAAAGTTCTCTAAATAACTTTACAATGAAACTATTTCATATAAATACTTTTGGTAATGTTCAAATGATGATTTTGAAACTTTACATTTGTTATTTAGTGCTCTACAAGATTAGTTTTTCAATTTAATTTTCATACGTGGCAACATTTTCTTTTTCATTCTGCTTGTGTTTGCACTAAAGTAAAGCTATTTTTTGCAAAACTGATTGTTTTCACCTTTTCTGTTACGAAAAGTCTTTAACTTCAAATATTACTATAGTATTTTTATGAAAATTCCCAAAAATATTCTGCGAAACATAGTTAGCTAAACAGACTAAGTTTAGGTTTACGTACATGTCAAAAATAATTTCAGACAATTTTGTAAATTAAAAGAGAGAAATTTTTGGAAAAATAGCTAAAGTGTATACTCAAACAGGTATATTTTATTTTATCACTTAGATTTCGTCCGTTTAATTCCATTAAGTAGAATAATGATATATATTTTTGCGAGAACTTATTTAGTAATCCTGAAATTTAACAAATTTCTAATTCAAATTTAAGAAAAAATCAAAAATTGTACTTTATCGCCTGTTCCTATCATTTGAAATAGTATATTGCTAATTAACAGCAATAATAGATTTATTTGTAATTTTTTCCAAAATTTCGGTGTCAAATATAGCCGAATATCTTAAGAAATTAATTTTCTAATAATATCCTAACTCATTTTTATCTATATTCTAAAACGCACTACATAAATCATAGTTTATAATATTGTAAATAAAGTATAGCTTTTCAGGATTCGTTATGGCTTTCTGAATGCCATTAAATATAACCTAAACTTTTTCCTTTGGCTAATGATTTTCAGGGCTAAAAAATTTTACTCTTTTTCTTTCTCATTGTTATTGTGGTATTTTCAAAAGCAGGTATAGTATTTCATATTAGTTGAAATCCATGTGAAAAGCAATTATATTTAAGTCAAGTATTTTTCCACCTCACCTTGTCTAAGCTTTCAGTTTTTTTTTATTTCTCAGTGAGAGCAAATAATATGATACACATTTGCTACCATTACTATAAATTCCAGGTTTTTATTCGATTAAGATTAAAAGAAAATTAGAAGCGTAGTAAAAAACTGAAATTAAAGTAAAGAAATGTTTGATAAAAAGAAATTAAAATATTTTTTTGAATAACCTACATATATAACTTGAAAATCAATAGAAACTCACTTTCGTAGATAGAATTCAGAATTATCAAGTAAAGCTATCAAATGAAATACATCAAAAGGAAGAGACTCTCCTTTGTCAGGAAATCTTTGTTGAAAAATATTATCAATGAAAATGGAACTTCAAATAAAAATTAACCAGTTTCATACTTTGGGTCATAAAAACAGAAATAACATTCTTTTATCTTTAGTCTCTGGCAATAAAAGTGTACCTATTCTATGAAAATTCCTAAGTAAAAATGCAACATACCTACTGTAGCTTCTTCATCACAGTTAAGCCCAGTGTAACCACTGTCACACCTAGAAAAAAGATAAAAGATTAAAATACTATTTTTTACTTTATTGCTGCATGACTCTGAATAGAATACAAAAAACAAAAAAAAAAAAAAAAAAACATGATGAAAGGCAATGTTTATACATCGTTAAAATGGAAAAAGTGAGTAATTTAAAAATAACATAAATGACAGAACGTTTTGAACATATTGGTTGAAAATGTTATGTAGAGATTATGGTTTCAGGTTTAATTCTAGATGTTGTGCCATTCCTTAAAGTTGATAGATAGAAGTATGAGAGGTAACACATAGGTTCCAGTAAAAGTTTGTGTGTCTGTAACAGAAAGAATACTTTCTGTTGTTTTAATGTGCAAAGAATGTCGATAAGTTAAAAAGCAGTATTTCCTTAATATTCATTTTAATTAATAACAGTTTTATGCTTAGTTTTGCTGATAAGATCAATCTTGCAAAGATGATAAAAATTAAGATGCATTGCCTCGGATTCTATTAACCGACAGTTGGTTACAGCCGAAAACATCGCGGCAAAAACACCGCGGACGAAAACGTCGCGGAGAAAACAACGCAAGGCGAAACTCGTGTTACAAAATCGTGGGAGAAAAATCGCAAGAGAAAATCGCAGTTCTAAAACATCGTGTACAAAATATCGTCGTCGAAAATAAAGCGTTCAAAACTTCGCAGTTTAAAAATCGCCGTCGAAATATCGGTAAAAATAGTACTTACATATCATCCATGGCTTAACATCGCAGACATGCTTTTTTCAGGCTTTAATAATTGTAATGTATTCCCATGATGTTTGGAAAGAAGGAGAATTTTCTTTCATATTTTTTTATCCTATAAGTTTTGCGATAAATAAAAGAAACTGAAGCATGAAATTTGCAACTCATACCTTAATAAAATAACCCACATACTAGTTAACTATTAAGGTATGCATATTGCACCGTCATTCCCTGTCGGGGTGTCCGCCGATCACATCCGCGACAACCGCGACGAAAACGTCGCGGAAAAACAAGCAAGCGAAAACGTCGTGTACAAAACATCGTGGGAGAAAACATCGCAGTTCTAAAACATCGTGGTACAAAATCGTCGTCGAAAATAAAGTTTCAAACGTTGCAGTTTAAAAACATCGCGTCGAAAATCGTTAAAAATAAGTCTACATCATCGCATGACGTTAATCGCAGACAGCTTTTTTCAGTTAATAATTGTAAATGGATATTCCCATGATGTTGGAAGAAGGATAATTTTTCTTTCATATTTTTTATTACTAATAATTTTTTTAAGTACTTAAGATAGAAAATTCATGCAACTTATAGCACTTAATAGAATGTTAACAATATTGAACAGGATATTACAAAATTAGTTATTAGTAAGGGATTATTAAATGATGTCCTTCAAGAACTTATTTCCTATAAATGAATATTTCAGTTTTATTCTCTGGATAAATTATTATTAAATTATAATAGACATTACAATTTATTTTGTGCTGTGTTAGTAAATTAAAAATTCGTATTATTTTGTAAATATTTTAAATTTAAATAATTTTTCATAACGTAAAATTTATGAAATAAAGTGACACATTTGTAAAGCAATAATACAGAACACTTACTTGCATCGAAACTGAGCTCCAATGACCTCGCATGTTCCATGTACGCACAGCTTAGAATCACATATTTCTATTAAAAATGTAATTATATATTAAAACATACAAGGCAATAAGGCAATATACAAAATTTAAATAATTCTTAAAATTCTCCTTAGTTCCTGCAATAAAAATTATGTTTTGATTTATTTAATTACCATATACCGAAAAGTTACTTGGTAAGTTTTCGAATACAGATTTTAGTTTTTAATAATTAGTCATACATAGTCGAATCATTGGTAAAATCCTGAAACCATCGGGAAATAAAACCGTACAATAAAAATATCGCCGTAAATTCTACAAAATGTACGCCAAAATACATTCTGGAAGCCAGATCAATATTTGCCTTTGGAATCGAAAGCAAGCGAAAAAAGATTTAAAATTTTCACACCAGAATTTAAGAAAATACGGAAAAGCTGTCATAGTATAACAGAGAAGACTTGTTTCAGAACTGATGGAATCGAAGTCTGTTAGTAGGGAAAAAAACGAAAAGCGAAAGAAAGCGGAAATTTTCTAATCTTTTTGGATTATTACACATTATGTTGCTACCATTTGTTGAGTCGCTACTGCACCAATATTCTGTTTCTATACTTTGCCGTAAAAATCATGGGCACCAATGCTGTGTTACAACTTCCTCTTAGGGAGGAAATAATGCGAAACAACAGGTGAATCGTAACTAAATAATCACTGAGAATCTAACTCATTTGCTTTAGGTAAAGTTCCAAATTCAAAATTTAGGAAAATTTATAAACACTTAGCTGTGATTTGAAGATTGGAAAGCACCGAAAGGTAGTGGGCTTGACGTCTCCGATAATCCCGATCCATTCCTTTTCGCAACACAATCCGTCGACCAACCCTGTCGAAACGAAGCCCTCGAACACACCCGAGCAGAATCTTCAAGCTCGCAGTCAGGATGTCGAGTATCAAATCTCATGTTGGCCGGGGTGGAACTTGGCCAATAATTTTGGAAATTAATACTTCATACTCGCTGGATCATTTTTTTTCTTTTCGACAGCAAGGCGACGGCCCGATAGTGTCCTCCGTGATCCGCCTGACTCACCACTTATTCATTCACACAAGTCCTTCAGCCTTGAAAGTCCGGCAAAAAAAGTTTTAATTTTGAAAGTCTTAAATCCTTCAGCAAAACTAGTCCAAAGTCGGGCAAAAAGTAACGTCAAAGAAGTTCCAAGCAAGACGTCTCGCCAAGTCTCGACGAAAAGTCGTTAAACTCGAATTTCTTCCTCCCTCCACAAACGCGGGCTCCCATATGGCTCATATCGCCCCCTTATTTTACAAAATTGCGTTTCAACCATTAAGCGAAAATAAGGTGATCGGCATGCCGCCCTTCTGCACTACCACCCGACCCTATCGCCAAAAACATGATGACTTAAATCGAAAGTCAAGTGCAACCTGACCTTCTGTCACGTACTTCTCTCCTAAGGTACCGCACCTGAATTCCTTCTAGAAATTCAAAGGACAAGGCGCGCGAAATATGTTAGGCAAATTGCTTCCCTTTCCCCCTCTTTCTGTCACAATGAATCAAAGCTTGTACAAAAATGCAATAAAGAAAATAAATAATATCTTTAAACTAAATAATATCCCAGAGCATCTTTTTTCCGCAAAATTAAAGCATTAAATATAATTCAGAAGCAATAAAATCAGATTTCCATAAATCAGAAATCATTCACCTATTTTAAACCGATCAGACAAATTCTCTACACAAATTTACCATTATTTATCAATATGCAACTAGATAAAGGTTCATGGATGAACATAGAGTATCAATGTCTCTAAATTTAATCGTAAATATCCACAACTGATGATTACAAGATAAATTTTATATTTAATCTTTAGTTTTAATCAAATAAATAACTAAAGCATTTAATTTACATTTAATATGTTTATAATTATTAATATTAGTAGCATACTGAACAACTATTTTTAAAATTTTGCAGTCAGTACAAAATCGTTTGAGTTGATTAGAATGACAACATGTGCTTCAGAAATTCATGTTTGTGCTTCAGAAATTCATATCTTGAACTCTTTTACTCGTTGTCCTAACTTGCTTTCTTTTCACAATTAGTTTTGATTATTTTGCTACTGACTAAATTTTCCATATTAATTTAATTAACAAAAATATGTAATTTATTAAGAACTCAGATTTTTGTTATTCTATACCTTTATAATTAGTGATTAGTCTGAAAGGGAGCATTACCCGAATAGGCTATTTAGTTTCGAAACGGGATTTTACGTCGTCCACTATAAACGGCGAATCACTTTTCCTATTTTTTCCACCAACTATTGCCCTCCTGTATTATTTTTAATGAATTTAAATAATGAAATATGCATATATGTATAACATGCATACACATGCTTTCACATGCATATATGTATGCATGTGAAAACAGACGGTACCAAGGGCCATCTGATTTTGAATAAAGTAGTCCTCCACGCGAACATGTGCATTTGGAAACCCGAACTTTGAATTTCGAATTTTATATCTCATATTTGGTAAAACTTTCATTAATTTTTTTAATAAACTCAAAGACTTGAAAGCGACCAGTGGCAACACTGTACAGGGAAAAAAAAAAAAGCATTTTTATCTCCAACCCGCGAGACTGTCTATCGGAAGTTCTAAAGGATATGCTATGTTTAAATATTATGTGAATTTGCTGTTCACACCTTTTAGTAAAAACTGGAAAAAACTGAAATATTTCTGTAATATTTTAAAATGTTATTTTTACACATTCGGACAAGTTGAAATAAGGCCATGTCACAAACTTGAATTTCAAAGTATTGTATTGAATTGAATACTGTTGAGTTGATTTGCGAATGGCATGATATTTAATTGATAAATTTAACACACAAAATATTAATAATAAGAAGACAAGAAAAGCTTTCCGAGCTATCTTCTAACTAAGAAAACTGAACATCGATATGATAAACTGAGAAGAAGCTGAAAAATGTACAGAAATGTATGGCAGCACTTAATACTGCATCGGGTATTCTAAACATATGCTGCTGTACCACTTTTAAAATTTTTGCAATTTTGTTGTTTAATTGTATTTGGCATAAGTGCGAGGAAAATGATGCTTAATAATAAAGCTGAACAGATAAAAAGAAGTGGGTAAGCAGGAGTAAGCGCAACAGTAGACTGGTAGACTGCGAGCTCAGCGAGACCGTAAACAAACCTTAACAAATCCTTTTGGGCGAGTGTTAAAATCTGAATCCTTTCAGATTTAGATTTTGCCTTTTAGTTTTATTAAAATCAGATTTTTATTCTTTTTACTTCCTTATACGAAGTAAAAAGGAAGTATTGTAATCGCGAAAAGTTTCAGGCAGCATATTTCAACCAAAATATCCATTTTGACCGCTATCGAATGCAATTTAACGATGCTTTTGCATGACATTTATTTGTTAGAAGGACAGAATAAAAGATTCTTTTCTCCAAAAAAATTATAAAACTGCTTTAAAATGAATTTTGAAAACATAATGAAGGTTCCACGCAGAAAGCATTGATCACCCAAAAGTTATGACAACATGTGCTTCAGAATTTCTTCTTCACTCTTTTTTTACTCCGTTTCCTATTGCTTTCTTTTACATTAGTTTTTGATATTTTCTGCTGACAGATAATTTTCACATCCTTAAAATTAATAAAAATATTATTTTTCAAGAACCAATTTTTGTTCGTATATATCAAATATCGCGCATAATCAGCTATTATCCTTTAAACTACTAAAAACGTTAGAATAACGCAATGTAAAGAGAAAGCTAATCCGGTCTGACCGTGAATTGCAAAAAAATAAAAGCAGATAACTTAACAACAACTGAGCTGAGATTTCTCTCTCCTGCCTTTTAAAGCTTTTTAATGGCCACAAGAAAGTTCGGGGAATTTCTGCTTTCTCGAGATTTCTAGAAAGCAAAAAGAGTAGAATTACGGTTACAGCTAACACAGTAGTCAATTACACTTATTCAATTTAAATATAAATTACGAGATATGTATTTATTAAGTGTTAAATGCGCGTGCTTCTGTATTTTTACTTTTCCGGCGTAGCTTTCTCTTAAAATATGTCTCATGCTGCATAGCATGAGGAAATAAAAAAAAATTAATTATAATTCTACTAATATTAGCAAATAAAATACAAAATTCGTAATAAGATTATATAAACATTTTAAGTTTTGTACAATTTTACTAAAAAGTGTTTTGGAACTAAAATTGTCAGACTTCGAAAGGTTATTTGTTTAATTAATTTTTAAACAAGTGTTCAAATGCTATTTTGTGTGACATCGTTCTCAAATACCATTCATGTAGCAATGCTGAAAATTAAACAACTGTGGCTACGATGGTAAACTTGCCATTGATGATCAATTTCTTATAAACTTGGACAAGTAGGTAGATAGTCTTACCTGCACAGCCAACAATTTTAGTATCCGAATGTTCCTTGAGGGGCTTATATCCTTCTTGGCAAGGGCATTCAAAACTGCCGTAAGTATTCAAGCATTTTGTTCCATTCGGGCATGCGTTCGACAGCAAGCATTCATTGATATCTGAAAATAAGATCCATAAGAATATCAGGGATTGATGAAATTCGGAATAAGAATATCAATAGTTAAATTAGGGCTTTTAATATAACGTAGCATACTTTAAATGCAATATGATGATTAATAATATTAATACCTACGAGACAATGCGGCTATTAACAGAAGTAAATAAATGTGCAAAACAGTATTACCCAGCACTACTTCTCAAAGGAAAGGCATGGTTTTCATTCGAAGATCATAACACAACTTATACATAAAATGACATCCGCCTTGCATTACCTTGCATTACCTTCTTTGAAAATATTTTAAGACCTAGAAATGCTTATAATTTTACTGCCGAATTATTCTAGATAGAGTGACCTGAGCCAGTACAAATTGTTATCTCTTTCAGACTTCTTTGGAAATACTTTAAGATCTAGAAATACGTATAATTTTACTGCCGAATTATTCTACATTGTGTGACCTAATACCTGCGGTAGTACAAATTGTTTCCACATAAGTAGTAAAGATAAACCTTAAGTCAGTTATACATATCTCTAGCTTATCAAGGTTTGACCAGCGTTTCCATTCTTAGTAAATCACTTAAAGATCTGACTGCCTTCTCTATGCCTTTTGGACAGTTATTATCCCAGCCAGTGAATTAAAACAATTGGCAGGGCTTAATTTCTAAGATTAGAAGTGCCGGAGCCCTATGGAAGACCGTCAGTAGAGAGAAACAAAGAGTAAATAAATAAATAAAATGACTATTAAACTCATTAATAATTTTTAAATTAAATACTTAATTATTATCAATTTAATTAATATAATTTAATTATGCTTCTTGTTTTTAATCACCTTCTATAATTAATTAATTATAATAAATTTATTTTTTGAATTTTCTTTTTTTTAAATTGCAAATTAATAACTGTAAGAGATAATTGAATTTCCTACGCTTTTAATACTTTTCTATTTTGTTTCCTTAATTGTGGTTCCATTTTAAAAGATACAGATCTCTTATTTAAGGTTCCGGTGCGCTCCGGCTAAAGTTGTAATTTATCTTAAAATTTGAGAAGCACCGGAGTCAGGCTCCGGTGGGCTCCGGCGCAATTTAAGCACTGACAATTAGAATTTGGAATAAATCTGCAAATGTGTTGTGAGGTTTATTTTAAAACCTAAATTAGAATTCGGAATGAACTATAAGCATGGTGTGAGGTTTATTTAACTTACATAAGAGTTATTTTATGTTTGAAACCTTTACTGTCACTTCTTTCTTACCGTTTTCCAACCAGACTGCAAATTATTTCGCGCGTATTTATGGGAAGGGTTTAGATAGTTAAGCCAGAGCGTGGTCTGCAGTTTGAAGGCAACGTGACTAGTTTTGATATTCTAGATAAGAGTTCCTGTTTTTGTTGCATTGCTTCTTGCCGAGAGTTAAATTCACACAGGTGAACTCCGAGCCAATTTCGGGATTAAACTGCTCTGTGTAGTCTTTGGTTATCAGCTATTTAAACTTAGTTTTGCATTTGAAATTTTGCTTTGAGTTTCTCGTTATAAGTGCTGACGGACTTGTAAGCACCTGGAGTGCCTTCTGTTCGTCTGTTTGATTTGAAGTAAAATGGCCTTGTACCCCGTTCTCACGTTTCTGTACTTATTTGCAGGCATTACGATAAGTTGCTTTAAGCCTATCAAAAGGTTAGAGTCACTAAAAGACGTTAAACCTTAAAATAATGTGCGTAAACATTTGTTACACTCACAACCTGAATTTTGCATATTTAAAATGTATGAAATATTGGTGGCTACTCTCAGTTTGATAACAGAAATGTTGTCTCAAGTATTTATTTATAATCATAGAGCAATAATAGAACTTGAGGAATTTCCAACAATTCTGATTAAATAATTCCGTCACCAGACTATTTCAAAGAAGCGATATTTTCCCGGGCTGTTAATTACCACTGTAAGTTGGTATAGATAAGAAATCTCGGAATCTTACAACACAAGGCGCTTGTTCATAGAAACTAAAATCAAGATTTATCTCATTACTAATCGAACATTTATAATCACTAACTCTCAAACTATTTTGTTGTAACTCATTTACATAGTACTGTAATGAGCGTTAGAAATGAGAAAAAATGAGCCAGAAGGAGTAAGAAAGAAAAACAAGAAACCATTATTGTTATCAAAAGAATAAAACATTACAAATATACACTCAAGAGCCAAAACATTATGATCACCTGTCATAACGAGTTGGGCCACCTTTGGCGTGCAACACAGCTTCAACCCGCCTTGGCATGGATGCCACAGTCCTTGATAGATGGCCGGAGACAGATTGTACCAGATGTTGTAACAACGGTCACCAAATTCGAGATATTGCGAATTGGTGGTCTTTGACCTCAGAGTTCCCGTCCCACGACATCCCAAATGTGTTCTTCGATTGAGACTGGTAGTTAGCGGCCAGGACATTAACTGGAAATCAGCATCATGTTCCTGGAACCACTCCAAACAGAGGCCATGTAAGGGTGCAACTGGTCCGCAATGATGTTCAGATACCCTGTAGCATTCATGGTCTGCTCTACCACAACCCGTGTCCCAGAGACGCCCAATAGAACGTCCCCCATAGCATAATACCCCCACCACCGGCTTGTGTATGCCACTGTGCATTGAGGGAGCAACTGTTCGCCTGGAACGGCGTATCCGCACGGCCATCGGAGTGATGAATGACAAACCGTGATTCATCTGCTCAGGCAACTCTCTCCCCTGATCAATGACCAGTCGCGATGTTCCCGCCCGCGCAGTCAGTTGGCGATGACGTTGGTCCAAAAGGCACCCAGAGGGACTTTGCTGTGTAGCCCCATATCCAACAGTGTCCGCTGAACAGTGGCTCCGTAACTTTTCTATTGGCTCGCATTGTATTCGCTGTCACTGAGCCACTGTCCGGCTCCGGTTTTGCTTTACCATGCGAGACAGTCTCCGACGACCTTTTTTCTTTGATAGCGTGTGAACCATGTCGTCTACTGATGGTTTCACGTCATTCACCCTTTTCATACTACGAACAACTGTAGATTGCGAACCCCACGATCGTGCATTCGGAAATACTTGTCCGAGCTTTCGAGCCAGACATTCTCTTTTATCAATGCGCTTAATCCGCAGCCTTTCCCATCACCACGATAAGTGAAAGACTGATCTCAGACGGCCAGCAGCAGTTAAATACCACTTCCACCTGATCACGTGCCTTCCACGTCATCCAGGCGCGTTCATCGCAAAATGTAGGGCTGGTCAAAATGTTTTGGCTCATGAGTGTATGTTCTTACATTTTAAAATACAAGAGTATTATTTCCTAAGCAGAGGGCGTTTTCAATCACTCAGATGATAAAGTTATGCCCTATGCAAATTTTAGCATCTCCTTATCCAGTTTTCTCCTATTGTTTCATACCAGCTGTTGACTGGCGTACTAAAAACCCAATGTTTGTACGTTAAGACTTAATTGACTCATCTGGTATTAAAGATAAAGTGCTGGAATGTATAACTATATATACAAGCCATCTGTATTAAATTTGTTCCTAACATACGAATACACTATCACTCTAGATGTTTTAAGAATGTAAAATTATTGCATAATGAGTCTCAATATTATTTCATAAGTAGTTGCTATTTAGCATCTCCTATAGAGACTTGTTTAAACACATTATTTTATGTTCTAGACGAAGAAAAGTGTAATATTTTAATTGCCTCACAAAGTATATTAGTTTATTTAATACAGATACACAGTAAAAAAATCAGTACAATAAATTCTAATCGAAAATCTTTCAACGGCTAAATAGTTATATATAAATGTTAAATGTCCCCTTTTTAAAATATTTTAAGTAAGTATAATTGATTTATCTTTTAGCACACTTTCATATTTTGAAATTCAAAGTAGGATTTGGCATTTTATTAGAAATAGCTTTGAAATTCACGGAGAAATTGTGAAGGTTTTCATTCTATCAATATCGTCTTAGCACTATCAGTTAAAATGCGAGAACGTTTTAAGTTAATAAACAGAAATTAGATTTTAGAAATGCTGAAAGTCAGATGCTAAATGTGTTGCATCTAAAGTCTCTGCGAAGGCCAGTGTTTAAAACCTTTCCATCAAAGATATTGGGGAATAATTTCCTGACTAACTGTCTTGAACTCCTTTTATGAAAGAGAGTATTGAGCTAACAGCATTAATTTAATTAGAAACTTAAAAAAGGTTCTGCGCAAATCCAGATAATGTTGTATAATTTGGAATGGCTAATTGATCTTTAATAATCATTTAAATGATAACAGTAAAAATAAGTTATTATTCAATTAAATTAGTTGCTGTAGAAAGCCGTTGTCGAAAGCTATCTCCAATAATTATTGAAGTTGAGAGTAAAAATAAGTGTTCATTCAACTAAATTAGTCTCTGTATAATCTAGGTAGTATGTAAAAAGCAATTTCGAATTAATAGGACACTAATAACGATTAGTAGTCAATAAGTATTCTTCGAAAAAATTCACAAAATAACAACATACTGTAAGAGTCTTGAGATAAAAAGGCATTTTAGCTGCCAGAATTATAGGCCAAAATGTAGTAGAACCGGACTTTTAATTTTATTCCAGTAATTTCTTGCGATCACTTTAAACATCCATAACAGTAAATAGTTTTCTCATTTTCATTAACAATCACTAAATTAGGATATACTTCAACGTTTTTGTGCTAATTTATGAAAAAAAAAATCTTTTGTAATAGAGATTTCTTATGTTATATTATTACAACGTTTACACTGATATCTCCGTATTAACTAAATTCAGTAGCAAAATATCACTCTGTTAACACATAGATTATCCTTATTTTCCAGACGTAAAATCAGCATTAAACAATACCTGACACAAAACTTTTTCTCGATTCGTAAAAATTAATTTTCTGAAAATGACTGTAGAGCTTACTTATACTAAGCATAACATTTTATATACTTTCCAAACCTTATATCATTATAAACTTTTGAACCGCTTTAACTTTCAGAGATTTTTTTACTATTATTTTATGTGACTGTTATTGGTTTGATACATTTGTGTTCTGCGCGTTTCTTAATTTTCAAGCTAAACCATTTTGGAAAAATTATTGTAATGGTACCCATTATGGTAAATCATTTTAAAATTTTCAAACTTACGTTAAAAAAAGTTAGCTGCATGAAACTCTTATTTGCAACCATTTATCGTTGCAAGCTAATGTTTTGAATTTAAGTTCCTTTCTGCACACATTGCTCCAACATCTGTTTTCCAATTTACAGATTTTGCTTTTAAATGCGAGATAAAGAAAGAGTTAGCAGGCTAACGTTTTTCTGTTAAATAAAATGAGATACACTGACCAGCCGAAACATAATAAGCATCCCCACATTTTACAATGAACTTGTATGGATGATGTGGAAGGGCCCGTAATTAAACGGGAATTGTATTTAACTGCTACTGAAGAAGGTAAGGAAACATTCTTACAGTTAATTTTGCGAGTGTTGGGAAGGGCTACTGATCTAAGCGAATTTGATAGAGGGTAGACTGTAATGACCCGAAATCTCAGGACGAGGATCTCCGAAACTACGCGAGTGGTAAGTTGTTAACGATATTGCCGTTGTTAGTATTTATGCAAAGTGGATAAATGACGGCGAAAAACAGCAGTAGACGCCAAGATGTTGGACGTCCACGCGTCATCAAAGATAAAGAACGTCGAAAACTGTTCCTCTTGATACAGCAAAACTGGCGTCAGACAGTGGCTCAGTTGACAGCCTAATACAATGTAGGTCCAATGTTTCGGAACACACGGTTCGGCGAACAACGTTGGGTATGGGACTGTGCAGCAGACGTCCCACTTGTGTGCCTCTGTTGACCAAGCGTCATTGTCAACTACGCCTACAGTGGACTCGGGAACATTGGGACTGCACCATGGTTAAGAGGAAAACAATCGCCTGGTCGGATGAATCACGATTTAGGATTCCTAACGTAGACGGTCTGTCAGGGTACTCCGTCTTCCAGGCGAACAGATGCTCCCTCCCTCCAGTGCAGCAAATTATACACAGGTTGGTGGTGGGTGGTATTATACGTTGGGGGCGATCTCATGAGAGGCCCTGAGACCCTCAGTTGTAGTAGAACAAACCATGAAAGCTACGGACTATCCGAATATAACTGCGGATCATTTGCAGCCTTACATGATTAACTCTTACAGTTTGTCTTCCCTTACAGTTTGCCTACGGTTTCCCTTACAGTTTGTCTACACCCTTACAGTTTGTCTTCCCAAATGAAAACAGGATTTTCCAGCAGACGTCAGGTCACAAGGCTCGAATTGTGTTGGAGCGGTTCGAGTAGCATAAAGATGAGTTCCAGTTAATGTTCGGCTCACCTAACTCGCCGTATCTTAGCCTGAGAGAGCACATTGGGATGCCATGGATGCATTGGGATGCAGCTCACAGCTCAAACACCACCATGTTGGCGTCGGAACTCAACAAAGTCATACTGTCACCTGTAAGTACTCAAGGCTGTTGCCAGCGTCGAGCGCAAATTTGCCTCCTTGCCACGATTAACTTCGTGGTTTTGTTTTGATTTCAGACAAGCGAAATTAGTCACAACAGCAACAACACTAGACTGTATATACCGAAAATATTAATCAAAACTTCTTAACACTAGTATCTTTAGTACATAATAATTATTAAGTATGCTTATAAATTGTCGTATTTTTATATGCTTATAAATTGTGCATTTATGCGTTATTCTTTTTTACTAAGCAATTCTATTGAATGTGAATTTTAAGATTGCTTTAGATATAACTTCACTATAAATCGAATTTGAGTAATGCATCGAATCTGAGTTTACTTGTAAGCAGAGCCGGGACAAGGGTAGGCAAGTGAGGCACTTGCCTCAGGTGAATCACTAGAAAGGGCACCAAATTGGCTGTACGAATTTGAAAATTACTTTAATTATGTTTTTAAATTTGTGAAATATTATTAGGGGAAATAAGCTTCGGCAAACATAAATAAAACAATAGGAAGAATTGCAAGAAAACATGGAAATTAATGCAATGTGCATTTTGATGTTATTTTTTATTTATCAAAAAAGCAATTTTTAACATTTTTATTTATAAGCATACTTAATAATTATTATGTACTAAAGATAATAATTGATTAAGTTGTAAATAATAGGCTACATTATTTTTCTGAATTTATAAAGCTACGATTAAAAAATACGTGAAGAATTATGGCATAATTATGCTATGAGAATTATGATATTTTGATTTAATACAGTTACTTTTGTTTAATGCAAATATAGCTATTTTGATGTATATATATATGTGTGTGTAAGAAAAATAGTGAACATGTAAATGATAAAATTAGCAACGTAAATTTCCCTTCTCAACTCTAAAAATAGTAACCCCTCTCTGCTCCGCGTTATTTCGAGACTATTATATGTCATATGATTCTTACGTAATTCTGGTGATGTAAATTGAACTAAAACTCAAGCAGCCAATAAATAATTTTACAGCAACATTAACTATCCAATCAAAATGCTTTGAGAACCAAAACTAACTCAATTTGATTCAGATTTTATCCTGAACATTACGCACTTGCTTTCCACTTGAACATTACGGCTTAGCTAGAATGCTGTCTGTCTACTGCTGCTTTCTTGCTACAAAGGTATAAAAAATGTAAGCCTTTTGGAACAGTCACATTTAATATGCCGACTTGTTGTGTAGCCGTAACATGTTGCGGAAAATAAAACTGAAGATTTAATCTGCCTTCGCCTCCAATTTCCTAATAATTATGGATCAACACTTTTACGGCATCCAAGTTCCTGCTCCTGAAATTATTACATACACATATATATATAGAGGAGCGCATTTACCTTTTTGCCTCATGTGAAAAAATGTCTTAGCACGGCTCTGCTTGTACGCTTTATTCGTTTATACTAAGTTAACTCCACTGAACGTAATTTATAAGTTTGCTGTAGTTACAACTTCACTGCAAATGTTAATGTATCGAATTTTAAATTGACTTAACTTAACACAGCATGATTTAGATTTTAAATTAACGGTAATTAGCTTGTAAATTTAGACCGTGATTTTGCGGAAGAAATTTTTCTGCTTATATTTCCCTATATATATATATATATATATATTATGTTGGAATTAGTACTATGTTAAATAAAAACTTTACTCGTGATCTTTGCACATTAAAACACATAGAGGATTATGAGAAAATAGCTTTCACTCATATTTATGTACAGAAACGAAATTCTTCTATGATACATTTAGAGATTTATCACTATTATTTGACGTAATAGTAGCAGCGTTAAGAACGTTTTGGATCATTTAACGGTACGCAAACCCTTTTTTACCTTGACATTTGTGGATGATGGTTTGCTTGTCTGAGAACGGCTGATAGAAACCAAAAGAAGAGAATCCTTGAGAGCATTTGCATTCAAAATTTCGAGAACCATCCTGCGCTTTGTTGCAAACCATATATGGGCCACATATTTTATTCTTTATATCCTCCTTGCAGGGATCCGTTGAAGTGATGATATCTACAATGGAAATAAAATGCAACACAAACAGTTACTGATTATGGCAAACTACCTCTGAAGCAAAAATGATAAATGTATAAATAAAAGAGAATCAATAAACATTGCCCCTTTCTAACGAAAACGAGCAACTTAAATACGAGTCAATGGTTCTTAGAAAGATATTCAGGAAGGCATCCTTTTTCTTAAGCAGTTAACCCTCACGACCGTTATCATAAGCAATTAAAGAAATAAACAATATTAATTTAACGATTTAATCCTTGCTCTTGGAAGACATGTTCAACCAGATTTATCCGCATTTAAACAAGCTGTAATTACAACAAAAGTAAAATTTCCCAGAGTTGAATGAATGAACTTGTGATTTATTTAGCCAAATGCTATTTAATTCAATATGTTTTAATGTTTCTAATTTCAGTAAGAAGTGTTTTAAATATGCTTACGTAAATAAAAACATAACTCCGTTCGTACTTAACAAAGTGCATTTAATTCCGTTAGTTTAACAGTATTTATAATTCTAATTGAATGTTTAATTTTTATACATTATTTTATTTATTCCTTTGGTGCGCCTTCCACCATTTTTTGACAACTAAATGTAGACGTACAGAAGTGTTGAAAATGATCCTCGTTTATGAGTAGAAAATGTACACGTAGCAGCCGTTTTCTGTCTCTAATGGTTTAAAAATCTCTACGTTAATTCGTGAGTAAGTTACGTTTATTTTCATGGACTTAAAATTATCGGAATTATTTGTATAGAAATGTCCTTTAAATAGCACTACAGGAAATAATATTAGATGACAGACCTGATTATCGAACAGCCATAGTTTTTTTCCTGTTAAATATCTATCTAATGTTTGTCACACAAAAATGCTGCCATTAAAAGGATTAAAATTCAGAGCAATATATGTTAGCTATTCGGTTCTGGTATTCATTCTTTTTCCGATATTAAACACATAACGTGGCCTTCGCAAATTTTTGCATTGTGCTGTGATATTAACCTTTGTACGATTTTAAATTAAAAACGTACATTTGTTTTCAACTCTTTTAACTTTGGACTTAAGCAATTTTACAATAAATCTTTATAAGCATAAAATATTGTAGGGATTTTTATAGTCAATCTTTATAAGCATAAGATCCCGGGATTGTATCCCAGAGAAGGCATGGATGTTTGTAAATGTATAGTGTTTGTGCGGCGTGGAGGCACTTTAAATATGCAGTGAGCCGAAAGTCCTTTCGAGAGGCTGATCGTAGAGAAAGAGGGGTAAGAGACCTTTGGACCGCCTTCCCCCGGGATGCTTTCCATCAAAACTGGAATCCGAACCGAGCAAAATCTACTCATCCCCATGCTGCATTGATACTATATACGTCCTGTCACCTACACCGTGCTCAAGGCTGTTGTCAACTGCAGGTACAATATTGCCTCCTTTCCCCGATGAATTTCGCGAGCTTGTTCTTTTGTTACTGTCAGGCACGTGAGATAAGTCACAATAACAACACATTTTAGTCTTAAACAAATTTTAAATGACAAATGTTTATAATCAAATCACAGTCAAACATTTACAGTATTACTGTCTTCAAGAATACTATTCATAATATTTAAACCGCATGCATGTATTTCCTCAAATCAACTCATTAAAATAATTATCCTATTGAGTAATTAATAGCCGCAATTAGAAGAATAAGAATAAATGGATTATATAGAAGTTTAGCAATAGATTTATTGGATTGAATGGATTTCCTATTAAATCATCAATACATGAAAAGAATAGAGTGAAACTTTTATTAATTGATTACTCACTGTAACAGCTTTAAATAGTATTAAAATCTTGTAGTTTAAATAATTTAAATAGATGAACATTAAGTTATTTGTGAATGGCAATATTTGAAACCAGATTCGAGTGCCACGTGCGACTCTCGCACGAAGAATGTAATTTATTTTTAAATGTTAGAATATGTTTTCTCTTCTTGTTTGTATGTCGCCATTTTTTTGAGTGTTAAATAAAAGTTATTGCTGTGTTCCATCATTGGAGTTGCTTCATTTCGCCAAAGAAGTATCACATCACGCATAAAATAAAATGGATTACATACGAAATAAAGTTTACAACATGTTAGTAAATTCGTATAAATTTTACAGTATATTAGAAATTTAACAGGGAATCTATATTTTACATCATTACACTTTGATTGTATTACGTTCGATAATGTGTTACGATCATTTAATGTAATGTAATCACCGAACTATGATCTTTGCACCAATTTTATGCATTTCTTATTTAAAACTGAGTTTTTGCATTTTTACCTGGTTTGATTTCTTTCTTGCGTAGCGTTAGAGCAGGAGGTATGAAACAGTCCTCTGAGTTGGAAGATATGCATGTTCCTGGTTGAGTGATCAATTTCAACTGCTCCTTCGGATCAGAATTGAACTGAATTTCCACAGTGCACGTTAAAGTCTTTGAAGAGTTGCTGCATTACATAAAAAGCAGAAAATATTGGGTAAAATAACGCTAGAAAGTTTAGCTATTGAAATATAAACAAATTTCTTTTCCTTATTTTGTTCGGGCCCACCAGCGGCCGAGCGGTAAAGTCGCTGAACACTGGTAGTTCGGTCCGAGGTTCGAATCCCGCGAACGGGCTGGCTGCATGGGTGTTTTCGTGGTTTTCCCCATGTGTAACGTGTATACGAGCCAGTTTCCCTTAGAAAGTCCTCCACGAAAGGCATCCCTCCTCTTAGGCAGATAGCCCTAGTGTGCTTTGCCATAATTAAATTAAATACACCTACACCTTATTTTGTTCCGTTAAAATACTTACAAATCCTATCAATTTCCTTAATTACCATCAATTTGAGAGCAATTTGTATTTGCGTATCACTATTTGTGACATTATTATAAAGATTGTACATGACAACGCTGAATATTCTACGGAAAAATTATTTCTACACATTAGAAAACTGGTTAATAGAATATGAAGAAACGTGATTGCGATAAACCATTCAATACTAACGTATATTAAAAAATAGCATAAGGCAGAGGAATAGCAAATTTATTGCAATAAGTAGAATTCCCAAATCTGCAGTTTTATTGCCGATGTGAATAAATAAAGATTAGGTTTTTCTTAACCTTCATATTACTTTTTCTTAAGAATATGTTCTTCTTGCTTCACTAATCACAACAGTCTATACTTGCACATAAACATATGGGTATGATTATATAAATAAACATATAAATAACAACGAGTTTATGGTATAATTACTGAGAAAAGCGATTTGAGTCCCTTTGTTAGTTTTACAGTCTAAGCTTTTAGTGCATTTATAAGTCAAAAATCCTTTGCCACTTTCACTTTCAGTTTTTGTTCTTTGGAACGCTTATTTCAGCTACCATCCGTAAGATTATTCATACACATTCTTCGTTACTTTGTGCAGAAAATAAGAGTTTGGTATAAGAAAAATCACAATAAAAGAGCAAACTAGAAGATGGCTTTTTATTTCTAACATTTCTTCCCGACATTTCAAAACGGCTTTGGAGAAGACAACGAATTTGAGTTGGCCAGGTCCAATCTAGTCACAGTTTTTTCAAAATTTGAACGAGAGATATTAATACGAGAAACGTTTAGAACAAATAATTGTTAGAAATAGGTCATACCTTTAATTAGGGTCCAATACAGTATTCTGCAAGTATTACGCTATAGATGAACTATTGATTAGATAGACTGATATAGTTAATAGTTCATAGATGAACTATTAACTATATCATTTTAAATCATGAGCGCATGGAAAGAATTTCCACTCTTTACCACGTGTATTATCTTCCACAATTTTTAAAAACTTTTTTTAGCCCTAAGGGGCTTTAACCCTAAGGGCTATTGTTCTCGAAACGGCATTTTGCGTCGGTTAACTACAAATGTCTGTTTTACTTTTCAAATTGTTTCCACCAAATATTACGGCCCTGTATTATATTTATAGAAATTAAATAATGAAGAAGCTGCATGAATATATAATATATCTTTCTAGCATTTTTTAAAAACAACGGTACCTAGGGCCATCAAATATTGAATGACATAGTCCTCCAACCAAATATGCGAACCCGGAAGCCAGAATTTGGAGTTTGTTTTATGGTCTACGTAACATTTTGTAACACTGTAACGAATTTTTGATTTACAAACTCAACTATTTTAAAGCGAGCAGTGGCAACACTGTACTGAGTAAAAATTTTTTAACCCCAGTGCGCACCAGACTGTCTATAAGAAATGGTATAGATATGCTGCTCTTAAATATTTTGCGATTTTGCTGTCAAATCGAATTTTTTTCTTGCGGCACAAAAGCCATGAAACTGATATTTAATAAATAAGCACACAAACATTAATTATAAAAAGATAAAAAAATTTGTAAAGCTATCTTAGCAAGAAAATTTAATATTGATATTGTGAAATGAGAAAAGACTGAATAAATCTATGCCAATACTTAATGCTGCATCGGGAATTCTAAATTTATACTGCTATGCTGCTTCTAAAAATTTTTTAAATTTTGCTGTTGATTGCATACGGCGTAAGTGCGAAGAAAATGATGCTTAATAAAGCTAGAAAGATAATATGTTAGTAGGCGTGAATGTAACTGCAGGCTGGTAGACTGCTATTTCAGCGAGAGGGTAAAAAAAAACAAAGTCCTTTGGGCGACCGATAAAATCTGAAACCTTTCAGATTTTTTAAAATTTTATTTCTTTTATTTTTGAGATAGGTAACATGTTTCAATTGAAAAAAATTTATAAGCATCATAATGATCAGAATACGAATAAAACCTTGTAGAATAACAGAATAAATGTAGCTGTATTAATAAAATAATCAACATTCTTAAGTTAGACTAGAAGAGAAACACGCTAATGTGACAATTAAAATCGTAAAAGCAACCCTGTATTTAGCGTAAGTATATTGAAACACTCAATCGATTTCGAGGGCAGCTTCGAAGCTTCATTCGAAGTTCAGATTTTGAGCGTGAAGGTGCAGTTGCCCCTCGCTCCCTATTTTTAATTTCGCTAATTTTTCTTGTCCTTTGTGTTATATGTTTGATCAGATAGCCTGGCTCAGTAAAAGTAGGCAGCCAGTGTAACTCTGATTAAAAATCCAGTTATAACCACTTACAGTGCTGATAAGGACCACGTGTTTCTGAGACTCCTTCCCCTTTTTTTTCTTTCTAGGTATTTCTTTCTCCTGATGAGGAGGGACCTTTAGCTGCCCTCGAAATCGATTGAGTGTTTCAATATACTTACGCTAAATACAAGGTTGTTTTTACGATTTTGATTCTTAGTTGTATCGCTATTTAGTGAATTAGCTGGATGATACGTCTTTGAAAACGGCATATTACAAAAACCAAATCCAAAATTACGTAAGTTGCTTAAAAATAATATTTTTTAGACTTTTCTTATACGTATTTCGATTGCATGCCGTCGAACAACAGTTACTGTTCAGAAGGCAAACAACAAAAATCAGCGTTATATTTTCAATTTTGAAAATATAACGCTGATTTTTGTTGTTTGACTTCTGAATTAGTATTTATTCGGCGTGTTATTGTGTATTAATAACAGTTACTGTATTAATAATTTGGATTACTAATCTCTATATAAATAAAGAGCAGTTAGTAACACACAGTGATGTATTACTAATTTGCGTTGCTGAATTTCAAATAAATAAGTTCTAAAATTGTCATGAAAGTTAGAGCTAAATTAAAACAAAATATTGCGTAGAAATGAGGTTTGAGGGACGTGATTCAAATTTCGTACTTACTTGCAGCTCAAAACATCTGCGAATTTGTAATTTGGGCCAAACAAAAGATGCATCTATAAATAGGAACAGAAATATATTTTAGAAAAGTACTTTCTTACCAAAGTTTAATAAAATTATTAAACTGATACTTACTGAGGCTTGGAGATCTTTCGTGATAGCGTCGTAGTCTACAAAAGATCCAGATTCTGCCTGAGAAGGTGAATATTGGAGGTTGGATATATAATGAGTCGAAGCAAGTGGAAGAACTGCTGTGTATGAGGCTTGGGCTTGCAAGGAAAGTATTTCGTATTAAAACATACATAAAAACAGACGTTATGCATACAAACTGCAAATATTAATTTATGTTAAACTCTGTATATTTGAGTTTTATTTTTATTAATTAAGGAAAATAATTGTCTAAGCATTTTGTGAAACATCTATACAATTTAACAAGAAACTCTTTTATATTCATTACAGAGATATGCAAAATGTTCAAGAAAAATAGCTAGCTACAGTCTTGAACTTTTTTGTAATACATAAATTTCAGGTTATTGAGTTACTTCAAAGAATGTAGAAAGTTCAATGAAAGGACTTTCAGCAGTGTTCAATGCGAGATCATTTTTAAGAAAGTTAAATTTTTCACAGTTTCTTGTGCGCAAATTTCGGTTAGTAAAATATTTATTATATTTTAATAAATTTAGTGTCCTTCGGTAACATAAACTAATTCCAAACTCCTAACAGACTGGAAGCAAATTATTGCTGCATCTGAAGTTAACGAAAGAGTCTTGGGAAGGTTTTAACACAAACTTTTCTGTTATATCAGAACTTGAACATAAAGGCACGATTTATGCTTACAAATCAGTCACCACTTGCGGCGATGAAACTTAAGCAACAGTAAATTCAAATTTCAGACTAAGTCTAGTAGTCAAAAGCTATACAATTGATTTACCGCGAAGTTGACTGAAACTTCTTACCGGCTTAACAGTTTAAATGTCGGCGCTAAAATACAAAGTCGAAGAATCCTATTTTTATCCGAGCTAGAGAAACCTCGTAATGTGGTCTCAAAAGGCAGAAACACGCTCTGTCTTACAATCCTAAAATCTCACCTTAAATATTCTTGAAATAATTTCCATTCTGGTAGGGAAACGAAAGGAGAAGCGACAGTAAGGACCTAAATCATAATAAATGGTTAAATTAACTTAAGGAACCGTGCAAGGTTAAATACTTCCTTATGTTCATACCCTCATAATTTCTGCTTAGCACAAAACTAGCATTTTATCCGTTATAATAATTCCCCAAACAATCAAATTTTGCTTTGTTGTGCTTCCTAAATTTGATGTCAAAAACTGTGAAATGTGCTGTTAATTGGCAATCAAAGAGGCATGAATAAAATATTTTCGAATATTATTTTGAATTTTATAAAGAGAAGGAAATTTTCATATTTTAGGCATTAAAGCGTAATGATTATTTTACTATTTAGAATTTTTGCTTTACGAAGGTCATATTAAATATTAAAAACTCAACTCCATATGTTGCATATAGTGACATATAAAAAGTTACACTTATATTTGCAAAAGTCATCAACCCATAGTACTAAAAAGATTTCACGAACTTGTTTACCTTGTTTTCAGAAATTTCGTTATTGAAAGAACCAAGCTTAGATTTGTATATAAAGAAATAAAGATATTATTGTCTTAGAAATAGATTTTTAAATATTATTTTAGATATTTAAAAGATTGTTTTACGCTTTCAAGTTATAAAGTTTCATTTTTGCTGAACCTTAGATAACATATTTGTATGAACAAAATTTTAAAATTAATTAGATACTGACAGCGATCGTTTGCAAATAGCATGGATTATAGCTTTATTACTTTCTGAAAATTGTTTCTTCTGTTTAATATTTCGGTTTGTAAAAGACTGTTAATTCGAAACAAATAGTGTGTGTGTGATTATGGCAAAGCCTCGAGGGCTATCTGCCTAAGGGGAGGAATGCCTTCGTGAAGGACTTTCTAAGGGAAACTGGTTCGTAAACATGTTATACATGCGGTAAACCACGAAAACGCCCATGCAGCCAGCCCGTTCGCGGGATTCAAACCTCGGACCGAATTACCAGTGCTCAGCGACTTTACCGCTCGGCCGCTGGTGAGCCTTCGAAATAAATAATTTGTTTATATTCGATAAATAAATAAATAGCGTTCCTAAAAATTAGAATGAGGAATTAACTTTGATTGCTCAATGCTAATTTGAAAGGAATAATACAGGAAAGCAATGGTTAAACTGGTGCAACAGAGGACACGTTAACACTGTATTCAAAAGGTAAATTGAACAATCTTAATATTTATTGCTCTCAGTTAATATTTTATATCACTTATTATTTTTAATTCACTTGTTAATCATTATATACTTATTATTTTCTTGCGGGCTAATATGGTTTTTATTTTGAGAAATTAATGCTGAAAGGATAATCACGCAAATATATGTTTTCAGAACTAAAATCTCAGAAATAAATAAATAAATACAAAGAAAAATAAAAGATAAAATTAAATAAATAAAGTAAAAATAAAGAATAAGGTTTTTTTTTTATTTATTACACAGAATAAACTTACTTTCGATTTTTTTTTTTTTTTTTTTTTTTGTCAAAATCCTACTTTAATCCGGTAGCTTCAATACCTTTAGAAGAGCAAATTGACGTTGATGGTAAATGAGAAAATGTATAAGATTTAGTTAATATGCAATTATGAAGAAAAGTAGTGAGAAGGCCACAACGATTTAATTTTGATTAATGGACATATAATATGTAATTTAGTACAACATTTTACCAGTACAAATAATAAACTGTGCAAACCTTTTCAAATAGGAACAATAACTGGAGTAATTAAAGCCACAATAAACGAAATATTCATGAATTTTCAGGAATAATTTCGAAGGTTATAAACTTTTTTTATATAACCTTTTTCTTGAGCAGCAGAAATGCAAAATTGCTTTCGTACGCAGCGTAGGAAGTGCATCTTCTGTAATGTTTTTGCACTTCAGGTTTTGAAGAAATGATTTTGCTCTTCTGCAGCTGAAAAAGAAAGTTCTATATTTTAAACTTCAGAAAATACTTCCGCAAATTTATGAATATTATGCTGATTCCTGTTGTTTTAATTCCTCCAGTAATCGTTATTCGGCGTATTATTTCAACTCTAATGAACACTAATTTAAGTTATGCGCGTTCATATAAGTAAATTTAAAAATTACAAAAAGGTCATTCAAATTTTTAAAAGCAAATTACATTTAGTTAAAGTTCTAATATGGCTTTTTCAGAAAAACTTAACCTGTCTGTTTGATTTTAAGTGTCGAAATAGTCCTCTGTTAATTCAAATCAACATTGAATTTGCTTTCACACGTTTCTGCAAGGTGTTTTCGGAAGTATCTTACACACAGAAGAATAACTGAATATATTATTACACTCAAATAAAATGGAAAGGAGGTAAATTTTGTCAATGACTAAACGGAGTAAATATATTCCACACTTCATTAAAACTGAAAAAAGAAACAATAAATAAGTAGTAATTGTAATAAATAAATAATTATGATTAAATAGATAATAAAATATAAAATTAATTTGAAGGAAAAAATAAGTACCAATTACTGTACATCGTTCTTGATCATCAAATGCGAGTAACGGTGGGCATTTGCAGTTATTCAAGCCATTAATGTCACAGACCGCTGACCGCTGTTTGCATAGTTCCTGATACTTCTTTAGTTCACATAGACCTGGAAAAAAATTATTTGCTAAGAAGATTCATGACAATGAAAATTATGATTTTATATAAATGACATTATAGAGAAAATTATGCATATAGTTGTGAACATAGTTATCGATAATTTTCTAGTTTACATTTTTCTAAAAACGAAAATTACTAGTTATGAAGATTCATGTGAATGAAAATTATGATTTTCTACAAATGAAGTTTAGAGAAAACTGTGCACGTAGTTACAAACATAGGTGACGATAGTTCTCTAGTTCACATTTTTTCTGAAAACGAAATTTATTAGTTATGAAGATTCGTGTGAATGAAAATTATGATTTTCCACAGATGAGGTTGTAGAGAGAACTAAGCACATATTTGTCGACACTTTTCTAGTTCACATTTTTCTGAAAAAAAATTATTAGGTAGGAAAATTCATGTGAATGAAAATTATAGTTTTTACAGATGAGGTTGCAGAGAAATCAATACAAACAGTTGTGTAAATAGTTGTTGACATTTCTATAGTTCATATAGTTCTGAAAAAGAAAATGAATACATAAAAGAATCATGTGAATAAAAATTATGGTTTTCTAAAGAAGAAATTGTAGAGACCATCAGACACTTTATTTTAGAACAAGAAACGTGAAAAATGAGTAATGCCTTAGCCAGGATTCGAATTTCTTACCTCCTGATTGCTAGACATACTTACATCCAATTACACCACGGAAGCGCTCGGCCAAGAGGGAGAAAATACTGTTACAAATTTTGTATTTAGTTAGATATTTTTATTAGAATTAAAATTAAAACTCTTGTATTCCCTCCTGAAATGTAGCACGAGACAAATATTAAGAGAAAGCTATGCCAAAAAATTAAAAACACAGAAGCACGGGCTTTTAACATTTAATAAAAGTTTATCTCGGTAATTTGTACTTAAATTGAATAAATGTAATTGACTACTGTGCTAGCTGTAACCGTAATTACATCCTCTTTTTGGTTTCAAGAAATTTCGAGAAGCAGAATTTAATAGAAAATCTCGCGCGGCTGGTTAAAAACTATTTATAGACATCTCAACCCAGGAGTTTAGTTAGTCGCTTAGTTACCTTTGTTGAGATTTGTAATTCCGAGAGAACTGAGATAAATCCGAGTTAGCTTTCTCTTTAGATAACGCGTTGCACTGCATTGTATTTTAACGTTTTTAGCAGTTTAACACATAACTACTGGTTATATTGTGTGATATTTTGAACACTTGTTCGAATACCTCTTAGGAAAATTCCAGCCTTCTGCTTTACTTCTTTTGATAAGAATAAATTTTATTAACCATTTATCGGATTTGCGCATTCAATCTATTACGAACCCGTATATTGTGTATTACCAACCGTAGATTACCAACGGAAATTGCTAGTATATTTCGTTTTTGCTTTTAGTGTATTTGTTGCTTTGGAAACGACAGAATGAAATAATAATTAAATTTATTAATTCCCCATTTAAAAGTTTAATAGAAATTCCAATTTTTTACAAGGGATCATGACAAATCAAACAATGATATGTCACTGTAATTTATGCAAATGTGCGCCATTCGAATTCGTTCCTTTTACTTGCTTGTTTTCCTTTCCACGAAGCAAAGGAAATATTGTAATCCCGAAAAATTTCGGGTATCATATTTCAACGAAAAACCCCTCATTGTATGTCGACTCACGGATTTGGTTCTGGTGTAAAAGAGAGGAGTATATGTACACGCTGCCATTCCAAAAGGAATGGTTTCCACAAATAAATGCAGTTGTAAAAAAGCAAGGGCCTCTTGTGCATTCAAAGTGTCATAATAATTTAAGTTGTTGCATAAATAAGATTTGAATCACATAATTTGGTAAGTTTGTAACTTTTATTTTTCCTTTCTCATTGAATGTACTGTGTGTTTTAATTCTATTCTGAGTCTCTGCGTTTTTTCACGAATGAATTACAGAGAAGGAAATAATAATATTCTTATATGTTCAACATTCATTAGTACATGGTGAATGTCGACATTCCCTTGTAAGTCAGAAATCAGAGTATTTGGAAAATTGTCGGACATACCCAAGCGACTAGTGAATGTTTCCCGTGAAAGTCGACACTCTCCAGATTCGGTTTTCACCGTAACTAAAACAAAATACAAATATAGATATTATATATAATTCTCATCTGTTCCCCTGCTCGGTGATCACTTTTTTTGAACGCTCTTGAATCCATTTGAATGATGTTTTTGCATGTCATCTGTACGTACGGACAGAATAAAGAAATCATTTTTCCCAAAACGGTTTTTAAAATTGATTTAAAATTAATTCGAAAGAGATTTTTTCATGAAATCTGTATCTATAATAATAAAAGCAAGTGTAATGTGTCTGTCTGTCTGTCTGACCGAGCTCTCCAGCCAAATCTATCGCACGCAGGGACCTGGAATTTTTTATACGGAAGCACAAAGGGGCTGGCCACCAGACCTCGAAGCCCGATTTTCGATTTTTGAATTAGAAAAATTTAAAAAAATTATTTATAATTAATTAATCACGGTTTTTTTGACTCACTGATATTATTATTTGTTTTCAAATAACGTTCGATTGTAACAATTGATTTCTTTATTCTAGCGTTAGTTGCTGTTTTGACGATACATTAAATCGATTAATTACAATTCATTTCTTTTTTGTAGCTTGTGGGGGGGGGAAGAGAGAGAGACAGTCTACATGTCCTACACTACTATTCCTGCGCTATTCACTTATCTGCATTTTCTAAATGCACGGGCAACGCCGGGCGGGTACACCTAGTGTACATATATACGAATGTGTGTATCTCAGATAACTAATAAACGAGTAACCGTAGAATGTTGAAATTTTGTATATGGGACTGCTATAACATTTCGTTGTGTACTTCGTTTTCTCACTGCGGTCAGCCGCAATAAAAAAATATAAATGTATATATGTGGGGACTGTAACTGTAACTAAGATTATATAAAAGTGCCATCTAGTGTAGGGTGTAGTCAGACGAGAGGTGAACGATAGTGAGGACGGACGTGTGCAAAATATTTTGACAACTATTCTTTTACTTTCACCTTCGTTCTAATCTAAATAAATAAATCCTAGTTTAACTTTATGAGTTATAGTCATGTTTATCATCAAGTCTTACCTATATTTTGGTGTCAGAACGAACCACGCTTACAGAAGTGGACTGGGTTCTTATACTATTTGTATTTATTATTTGGGACTGGGTACAGGAGGAAGTATATATTATATATATGTTACCGTGAAAGACCGAAATTGGAGAATGTCGACTTTCACCGGAGAATGTCAACATTCACCAAATACGTCGGTGAAAGATCGAATATTGCATTACATTCTTGTACATTCGGACCCTCACCGGTGTATGTCGACACTCACGGATGTGTTCTGGTGTAGGTTGAAAAGAGAGGAGTATATGTACACGCTGTCATTGCAAAAGGAAGTGTTCCACAAATAAATGCTGTCGTAAAAGCAAGGGCCTCTTGTGCAATTGAAAGTGTCATAAGAGTTTAAGTTTTTGCAATAAATAAGATTTGAATCACGTAATTTTGTAAGTTTTAAACTTCTATTATTTTCCTTTCTCATTTTGAATGTACAGTGTGTTTTAAGTTTCTTATTCTTAGTCTTAAGTGCGTTTTTTCACGAATGAATTACAGAGAAGGAATATAATATTCTTATGTGTTCAACATTCACCATTAGTAGATGGTGAATGTTGACATTCACCGGTGTAAGTCAGAAATCAGAGTATTTGGAAAATATGTCGGACATACACCAAGCGACTATGTGAATGTTGACATTCACCGGTGAAAGTCGACACTCTCCAGATTTCGGTGTTTCACCGTAACTAAAACAAAATACAAATATAGGTGTATATATATATATAATTCTCATTCTGTTCCCCTGCTCGGTGAGCTCACTTTTTTTTATTCTTGTATGTTCAAAAATTGAGAATTTTTTGTTTTAAAAGTGATTGAAATAAGTTGTTTTTATACTCTGGTTAAGGTTTTTGTGCCTTTAGTTAATCTGCATGCAATTTTAGATTTATCAACAATTTAAAAGTTGTTTAAGCGGTACTAAGCCTAACGAGAGCGCCATTTGTTTACATTTGAAACTCTTAATAGAATAGTGAATTACGTCAGTTGGTGCAACAAGTTCAGTGCCTTTTTGCCCAGTAGGCTTAAAGCCAACTTTCATTTTTATGCATTGAAAGTTTTGTCTTCCTGCCTGCTGGCAGAAATGCTTGACCGAAATGAATGAAAATTTTTGCATAGAAACTCCAATTTTAATTGAATTTTTTTGACTGTTTTTAACTGTATTTGACGCTTTAAGTTTTCTGGTATTTTACAATTTTTACAATTAGAAGTTGTTTTGAGGTTTTATGTATTTTTACCTTTCCGTAAAGTGGAAACGCAGTTGATTGAATGAGAGATATATCTCTAATGAAATTCGAGGCAATATGCTTAAAGGCATTCGAGGCAAGATGCAGCAAGAAATGTGCATAATTTATTATGCCGTATAAAGATGTCATGGGGTGTCCACGTCACATATTTCTCCTTTCAGTTTTGTGGTTACATAAGTCAGAGAAATGTATAGCCACTGAAAAACTTCGCTGTTAAAACTACCACAGAAAGAAAAAAAATGGAGAATACAGACTTACAGACAAAAAATGGAGACTTACAGACTTTATACCCGGTAGCTCAAAACACCCAGAAGCATTCATTTCAGACTTGCAAGCCCATTTGAGAGCGTAAACCTAAAAATCTAATAAATGCTTCTTTCTGATAAAACATGTTTGCAGTCTGAAAGCTACTGTAAATTGTGTAAAATGTTTTCACATAAATTGTATTGAAAAGTAGCCTTTGTAAATATTTTGTAGAAGAAATTCTTGTTCTTTTCTCCATTCTTTCATAATTCGCTTTCATTATAATGCTGAAATAGTGTTCCAAAGTAATATAATATATCATTATTCTTGGTTACCCATGTTAAAGTGAGTTACTAATATTGAAGGTTCTATTACTTGTATAACAATGATTGGCCTCCGCGGTTCTGAAACAAAAACGTCTTGGATCAGGTTTTGGATACAACGGACATAAGACTATCATCAATGTATTTAAGAGAGTGACCACGACACAATACTGATTTACACTACAGAATTTGTAAATAGTTATCTTTGAAGTTGACTTCATGCCTAGGTCTATCGCTTACTGCCTAACTTCTTAGTACAAGTAGATACATATCTTATGAGTTTTAACTATCAGTTTAAAATACTATTTTGAATATGCTAAGAAAGAATAGAAAAACAGTAATGAAATGCATAAATTTTTTAAGGTAAACATGTTTTATTTTATTGTTAACGTTATACGGTTCTTATTGTACAAGTCAACACTGGCTTAAGAAGTTTTAATTAATTTCAATTAAATCTTGAAATGACCACAATGCAAAATTCGTGCGTACAGCAATCTCTGCCGCTTGCAGGTATTTAAAATAACAGTTTTGATTTCAAATTGAAAATTTCGTAATCGGAGACTACATAAATTGGCCTACCTAAGCTGGTTCAAACTTTAATGGCATGTATTCACGTCGGCTAGCAAAAGAGCTAAAACCGGAATATTAACCGGTAGAGTTCGGCAATAGAAAATAAAGCTTCGAGCGCCTCTGTCAAAAACTCTATCTTTACAGCATTCAAAACCCTCACCTTAAATACTCTGTAAGCTCATTTACATTCCAACCAAAGCCAGCGGAAGGAAGAAGTTGCTATAAATTTTAAATCACAGAAATGATTTAATTAACATTAAATGCCTTACAATCTTTACCTCTTCAAAGTATTTTAAAACATTTATTTTCACTAAGTAAGAATGGAAAGAAATTTAATTTATAAAAACAATTCTGAAGCAGTTTTTTAAATAAAATATGAAATTACTAACTTATTTTAATTTTTTTCGTGACTGAAAAAATATTTTTGTATTTAGAAAAAGATATCTTTCAGCAAGGAATTTTCGATTGCTCTGAAAATGAAATGCTTTCTTATAAAAAATTTGAAGATAAGAATCTTCCTTATAAATAAAATGTCATTATTGGTCAAAAGAATTTTTCTAGTACTAATGAATAAATGTTCATTATTTATTGTTATTTTACATTATTAGGAACTCGAGAACTGTTTTTTACATTATCAGAAATGCCTCTATCATTTAGAAATAAAGCTTCATCAGTTCATGCTAAAATTATTTTTAACGTTTCCTTTTTTGCTAAGACTTCGGCTTTTCTTTTACAATGCAGTATATCTTAACCATACTTTGACATATTATATGAGCAGTATATCTTTGCAATAGCAGTATAGCTTTTACAAGGCAGTATAGCTTAACCTGCTTTAGCCAATCTTTACTTCTAAATAATGCTTTTTTTCTGGGGTGGTGAGGTAACCATCTTAGTGGGAATGTGTTATTAATACTAAACGAGACACGCTCTAGGTGTCGAAAAGAACGTCGCATTATGCCCAATAATTGCTGGCCTACGCTGAAAATTAATACATTACGTAAATAACCCTAGAAAGAGAAATACATAAAACATTTAACTTACCCTCTACTACGTTGCAGTGCTGTTCAATAAATTCACTCGTAATTATCTCAACTAATTTATTTAATCATTCATGAATGAATATCAATCTTTATTCTCGGTTAAATATGAAATATGAAATATGAGAACATTTATCATTCCAGAATATTGTCTACACACGTGGCACGTGCATCCATTTTCTTTCGTATATAATCTGCCAACATGCAACAACTATATAATTTCTTATATAATCTGCCAATATGCAACAACTATATAATTTCTTATATAATCTGCCAACATGCAACAACTATATAATTTCGTATATAATCTGCCATCATTTAATTTTTCTCCAGTTTTTTATTTTGTATTTCTTATATACATTTTCCATTTAACACGTTTATTAAATGAAATTTCCTTCCTCTAATTTGCATAAATATATTTTTAATTCTTATCAATGCTAAGATTTATTAAACTGATTTCTTGACTAATGTAGCAAGACACAACATATTCAATTAGTTTCTCAACAAAATCACATTAAAACTTTCATTATTATACATAGATAATCCGCTCGTTGTTATCAGCAGGTTACCACTCTTTGCAAAAATTAATTTGTTCTCACTTGCACTGGTGCAGTCAAGCTACTCCCGATGTATTACTTATTTTCTGCCAGAAAGAGTTCTGAAATGGAATTCACTTCATTTTCTAAATTCGAGCACTAGGCCGTTTTCTTCTACATACATCATACGTTCATAAAATGCGCATCACGTGCTTCAGTCATGACGAGAGAATACATAAAAATTGCAGAAATATAAAACTAAAACGTAACACACACAAATTGTAGATGATTATCACCCCGAAAAACTTTTTAAAACATGCAAACGTTGATCCCTTTTAGCCTCAACTGCGTTTTCCTTGCTTACATTTTCATAACACATTTTCTCTTTTCGGAATCGTATCATTTAATTATTCTCCAGTTTTTTATTTTGTATTTCTTATATACATTTTCCATTTAACACGTTTATTAAATGAAATTTCCTTCCTTTAATTTGCATAAATATATTTTTAATTCTTATCAATGCTAAGATTTATTAAACTGATTTTTCTTATCAATCAATGCTAAGATTCTTATCAATCAATGCTAATGATTCTTATCAATCAATGCTAATGATTCTTATCAATGCTAAGATTTATTAAACTGATACATAGATTAAACTGATTTTTCTTATCAATCAATGCTAAGATTCTTATCAATCAATGCTAATGATTTCTTATCAATCAATGCTAATGATTCTTATCAATGCTAAGATTTATTAAACTGATACATAGATAAACACAAATTGTAGATGATTATCACCCCGAAAAACTTTTTAAAACATGCAAACTTTGATCCCTTTTAGCCTCAACTGCGTTTTCCTTGCTTACATTTTCATAACACATTTTCTCTTCTCGGAATCGTATCATTTAATTATTCTCCAGTTTTTTATTTTGTATTTCTTATATACATTTTCCATTTAACACGTTTATTAAATGAAATTTCCTTCCTTTAATTTGCATAAATATATTTTTAATTCTTATCAATGCTAAGATTTATTAAACTGATTTTTCTTATCAATCAATGCTAAGATTCTTATCAATCAATGCTAATGATTCTTATCAATCTATGCTAATGATTCTTATCAATGCTAAGATTTATTAAACTGATACATAGATTAAACTGATTTTTCTTATCAATCAATGCTAAGATTCTTATCAATCAATGCTAATGATTTCTTATCAATCAATGCTAATGATTCTTATCAATGCTAAGATTTATTAAACTGATACATAGATAAACACAAATTGTAGATGATTATCACCCCGAAAAACGTTTTAAAACATGCAAACTTTGATCCCTTTTAGCCTCAACTGCGTTTTCCTTGCTTACATTTTCATAACACATTTTCTCTTCTCGGAATCGTATCATTTAATTATTCTCCAGTTTTTTATTTTGTATTTCTTATATACATTTTCCATTTAACACGTTTATTAAATGAAATTTCCTTCCTTTAATTTGCATAAATATATTTTTTAATTCTTATCAATGCTAAGATTTATTAAACTGATTTTTTTCGACTAATGTAGATTGATTAAAACACAATCTTTTCAATTTGTTTCTGAACAAAATCACATTTAATCTTTCATTATTTTACATAGATAATCCGCTCGTTTATATATACAATTTGAGACTCCAACTATTATTCCCATCATGTTGAATTCCTTATTGTGTTATTATTCCTTACTTTTGAATTCTTTATTGACTTACTATTTTTTAATCTAGTATTGTGAAGGGGTCGTTTTAGATAGGGTCATAGAAGAGTCCTGTATAGTGTAACAAGTATTTATTAACAGGTTTAAGTTACACACGGACATTACATTTAACTTTAAGAATATTACAGAGCAAGGGACTGATACAACCTATCAAGTGGGAGCCTTGGCTTTTACTGAAGTACTTCTCTGGTTACTCAACCAGAGGGTAGCCTTGTTGTTACTGTTAGTCCAACAGTTTATGTTAAAGGATTGGTTACAGTATCTTAATAAAAATGCAATTTCTAAATTTTCAAAGATTATATTAGAGAATAATTGTAGCCACTGGATGTACAAATGTAAATTTCAAAATTATGGACTTACCTCTGCATACACCATCAGCATCCTTTTCTTGATTTTTACTACATTCACATCTGTATCCAGCAGGAGCATCAAAGTCTTCTACACAAATGGCAGACTTAGCTGCACAAGTTTTGGTCCCATTGCCTTCGCTACACATCAGTTTTCCTGTTAAAGATAATAATTATATATTTAAATGCTTTGCAATAAAAAATTCACATTTATAAGGTTTTTCTCCCGCTTTCTTAATAAGCTTTCGTGATGTAATGGTCAGCACACTCGGCGCGTATTTGAGAAGTCCGTGGTTTGAGCACCGTTGCTCATTTGTCATCTTTCCGCCTTCAAAATACCTAATGTCACTACAGGAGCCTCGAACTAAAAGGTGGTGGATGATGATTCTCCACCACCAGGATTTGGCGATTGTGTCCGCAAATCCCCAGTCGCCCTTTAAAAGTGGGAGTATATAATAGGGATGGCCAAACTTCAAGACAATGAGAGCAGCATGATAAATTTATGAACGTTTGAGAGCCGCAAGTCCAAATTTATATCGTTTCAAAAATAAAGAAAGAGGGTTTTCATACGTATAATGAACTTTTTGAAGTAAATTAATGAACATGCTATTAACATGATTGTATGTAAATATGAATATATACATCTTGTACTGTTTTGGTGTTCAGAAAAGTTAATTCCAAAAAAATAAAAATTTGTACCCCTTGCATTGGGTAACTGAGAGTTTTTTATTCAGGCAGAGAAACCAAATGGTTTCTTCTGATTTCCTTTATAACTCTCCGTTTATAATTATCATTGTTTTATTTTCAGTAGGAATAAAATGAACCGGAAGCATATTCATTGGTCTACAATTGCATAAAAATGTTATCTGAGTAAATTACAAATAATTATTTAAAAGAAAATTTAGTGTTTTTAAACTCATGGGCTGGCTTTCAAAAAGGATAAATTAAATGATACACGTCAACGCACACTGCAGAGAAACTATTATTCGAGATAGGTTAGATAGACTATAATTCAGGTACTGGCCAATGTGGTGGAGCACCATCTTGCTGCAGAATGAAGCCTGGAACCGCTTCCTCTAATTGAGAGAACAGCCACTCTCATAGCATCTCTTGTAAATGCACACGTTAATCGATTTTCCCACGAAAAAACAAAAGCAAAACTCATATGTTGAAAATGGAGCAGAAAATGTTCACATTTCGAGAGTTACCCTCATGTTCCATTACACCATGTGGATTTTCCGTGCTGCAAAATCATAAATTAGGGCGATTAATTTTGCCAGAAACGTAAAAAGTGGCTTTCCTCCTTAAGGGGACTCATACACCTTAAACCCCTCATGATCTTCGAATATGTGACTGTTGCAAGAATTGGGATATTTTATTTATTTTAAAAGCAATTACTTCCAACGTTTTACAGCTGACTACATAATATAGCTGCTTTGGAAACTAGTAACCAGAAAGTTTGTGTTGCCACAAATATTTTTGTAATTTAATCCTCTTTGTGACAAAATATTTCGCCATGTTTCCACCTTGCGTGCATGATATTTTAAAAATTGCTAATGGTGCATACTTGAAATTCGGTGGAATTCTTTATATGGGCACTATTTTCTAACCGAACCAACAATCTGATGAATATTTTAATATTGAAAAATTTTATGGACGAAAACATTAAAATTTTTTTTAATAAAATACATTTTATAAACTCAACTCAAAATAAAATAAAAATTGAACGTGAAATTTTTAGAATTTTAGGTTTACAGTCGTTTCCAAATGTTATAAAAGCTATATATTAAATATGGCATTAAATTATGAAACAGAATGTTTTAAAATGTGCGCGCAAGTTGGAAACATGACGAAAACTGTTGTCACAAAGCGGATTAAATTATAAAAATATTTGTGGCAACACAAACTTTCTGATGACTATTTCAGAAAGCAGCTATATGATGTAGTCAGCTGTAAAAAGTTGGTAGTAATTGCTTTTAAAATAAATAAGTTATCCCAATTCTTGCAACAGTCACCTATTCGAACATCTTATGGGTTTTAAGGTGTATGAGTCCCCTTAAACACAAGTCTGATTACGAAACCGTCTTCATCCGCCTTTTTGTGGGACTTCGTGAAAACGTTTCATGCATTTTTTCAACTACTTCGTTTGGACCTTTCGCCCTGGGCAGGTTTTTTTACACAAGCAGACACCACATTTGGATTTTGTGACGATTGGATGGCTCTTCACTAAACTTCGTGTTAAAATATCTTTGAATGAGGATAAATTATGATTTTTTTGGTGTACTCCAAAACATAGCAGGTTTTATCTTGCATGAATACTGCCATTTCGATTTACAGTGCCTGTAGCGGCGATTTCGTAATGGGAAGATTTTTTTATCCTACCAAATGAAACTTTTGCGGTTTCAGAATTAGTTTGTTACGGTTTATAAATAAATTACAGAATTTGTACTGTTGTTTTTGTTGTGTTCCATGTGAAACAACCTATGTTTTATTATTCATAACCCAACATCAACATGAAATTACGGAATCGGAAATTTCACTGTATTTATAAGGCATCTCAAAATTAAACTGAGCATTGGTTACTGACAAAAGTTACTGACTTACTCCTGCATGTGACACCGTTTTTATCGTAGGTTAATTTGCCTTCGCATTTGCATTTGAAACCAAGCTTTTCATCTGGTAAGCAGGCATCGCCCGGACAAATTCCTTTTGGATATTCTTTAGCTGTACAGAGATCTGAGGGGGAAAAACATGTTTATTATTTAATCGTGGGTAATAAAGAGATCATTTCATATTAGTCCACAACATTAGATCATTTCACATCTAAATAAATTTCATTTATTATTCACTTTATTTTCCAATGTTTGTGCAGAAAGAAAGGAAACAACATTTTTAGCATTACTCATAAAGTGTAAAATCAGAAGTAGTTTCAACCAATATAATTTTTCTACATCAATGAAGACGAAAACAAGTTCATTAGGCTTCAGTTTGTAGGGTTTATATTTATTTTAACTAACATTTATTTTAAGTTTAAACTATCTTTCCTGTCAAGCCTTACTTTCCCATGGAACTGCCAATGCCAGAGTATGTAAATTTTAGTAGAACGCGCAAGGATTAAAATTATCAGCGGAAGTATTCTGAGTTAAATAGAAAGGAAACGAGTTCGAGATGTGCTGGTCTTACTTCACGAGCGCGGAGGTAGTTAGCCAAAATTTGAAGAACCCCGCGTTTCGGCCTGTGTGCTTGCCGCGGAGAATTGTTAATCGTTCAACGTGATATTCAAAGTTGCTGAATTAGCAGCGGTATTGTAAAAACGCGGTGAGGTTAGTTACTTTTAGAGAGCCTCGTAGTTAGAGTCTTGTTATTATTTTATTTTCAGGTTCTTATTTTTACTTTACCGCCGGGTCGGCGTAGTTTGTGAGCGTCAAGAGCACGCAATTATAATGTCTTATGTTGAATAAAAAGGGACTTAAACCCTTAGCAAGACTCTGTCTATTTTCCAGTTTCAACAGTCACCTCTTGGTTGCGTGCAAGTTGGAGGCGCGCAACTCTGCAAGTTATATATGCTACCTGCAATGTATAAAAGCCAGCATTCTATACGATATTTACGCATTTTACAGAACACCGAAAATTGGCTGGTAATGTATGAAACGATTAACATTTTATATATTTCCTAGGCATCTTCCGATTCGTATCGAATATCCATATATTTAATACATTCATACATTCAATAGATTCATACATTTAATACATTCATTCCATAATTCCATATATTCCCTATATTTTTATACATTGTTTTCTTTAATAAGAAAGACATAGATTTTGTTTTGTGCAGCATTTTTTCTTTACGTGCTTTGAATAAAGGTTTTCAATGGCACACTTTCATTATCTTTTTCAAAACAGCATTTGTATTTTTCAGAAATGCACGTCTATTAATTAATAGGAAAATTGCCATATTTTCCCTAAATAGAATTTGACATTTTATAGAAATTCTATTTGTGATTCACCAAAATGCAGGCATTTCATATATTGACGGTAACATATATATCTTAAATTATAATATCTCGTAAGAGAATCCTGATTCAATTCTTTAAGATGTGATTTTCTTAACAAATTTGACATTAGTTCATATTTTGAATATGAATTTCATATCGCGTTAATATGCATGCAAAACAACATTTGTTGTTTTAAAATGACTTTTTGAAAATAATTATAATCTCGTATGCATATCTTAAGATTTAGAATACGCTAAAATGTTTGCATATATGGAGCATAGTTCATTTTTATCTCTAATTTTTATATTATGCATTGTTAAACATTCAGAAATCTTATATACATAGCTGAATATTTAGGAAATATATTAATATAGATTTTTTTATACCTGATTTTTACACTAAAGAAAAATTTATTAATTTTGCCGTAGAACAGGGATTTAGTTTTATTCTCTTTCTTAAAAAACATTTTCAACATGATATATATGTAATTTTACAAACATTAATCAACCATCTTGAAATAAACACTTTTCATCACAGAATGCACAGTCGCTGTATAAGCGGTTAAGCGCTGGAAAGTGCTTCCATTTCCCTACTCACTCCAGATACACACACACACAGATAGAGTCGTCTGACAGAAAAATAGAGTTGTCTTCTTTTCATTCATGTAACATTCCATTCGAAATATCTATTAACGATCTATGAACCATGAAACTGACGCTTTCGTCCCCAAACATTGCGCAGGATACGCCATATCCCATTCAGTGGAAATAAAACCATTGAAGAGACCCCCAAACATTACGCAAGATGCGCCATATCCCATTCAGTGGAAATAAAAACCATTGAAGAGACATGGGGTAATTAGGTGTGGATCTAAGCTCCTCCCTTGACAGGTAGCAGCGAAAGAGAGAGGTTAAGTGAGAGCATTGTCTCATAGCCAAGATGCGCCATATCTCATTCAGTTCAAATAAATCCATTGAAGAGACCTCCAAATTTTACGCAAATGCGCTATTCCCATTCGTGGAAATAACAAGAAGAGGCCCCCAAACATTACGCAAGATGCACCATATCCCATTCAGTGGAAATAAAACCATTGAAGAAACCCTAAACATTACGCAAGATGCGCCATATCCAAATCAGTTCAAATAAATCCATCGAAGAGACTCCAAATTTTACATAAGATGCGCTATATCCCATTCAGTGGAAATAAAATCATTGAAGAGACCGCAAACATTACGCAAGATGCGCCATATCCCATTCAGTGGAAATAAAACCATTGAAGAAGACTCCCAAACATTACGCAAGATGCGCCATATCCCATTCAGCTCAAATCAATCCATTGAAGAGACCCCCAAATTTTACGCAAGATGCGCCATATCCCATTCAGTGGAAATAAAAGCATTGCAGAGACACCGAACATTACGCAAGTTGTTCCATATTCTATTCAGTGGAAATAAAACCACTTGGAGAAGCTCCCAAAGATTACGCAAGATGCGCCATATCCCATTCAGTGGAAATAAAACCATTGAAGAGACATGAGGTAATTAGGTGTGAATCTAAGCACCCCTCTTGACAGGCAGCAGCGAAAGAGAGAGTTTAAAGAAGTGAGAACATTGTCTCATAGTCCAAAAATGTTACTTGGATGGCAAGAGAACTTCAGGATCACGCATTAAAACATCAAAAGTCATCACTTGTAAGTCATGTAATGTCCAAACTGGACAGAATGTGGAAAACAAAACGTGTAAAAAAATACGAAATGCGAATGTAAAAATAGAAGAATTGAAAGATATATAGTAATGACACTACATAGTCAAAACCAGCGCTTTTTAGTACCATCACGCCTGAAAGTACCCTCTGTCTGTCATTGCAAAAGATCTCGTGTGAGAAGAAAGGTGTGGTGGTGTATTTAGTTATGGCAAAGCACACTAGGGCTATCTGCCTAAGGGGAGGAATGTCTTCGTGGAGGACTTTCTAAGAGAAGCTGGCTCGTGTACACGTTACACATGGGGAAAACCACGAAAATACCCATGCTGCCAGCCCGTTCGCGGGATTCGAACCTCGGACCGAACTACCAGTGTTCAGCGACTTTACCACTCGGCCGCTGGTGGGCGTGAGAAGAAAGGAAAAGCGTTTTCCAGCGGATGTGAGATCAACGCATTTCATTCTATAATGAAAAATATTTAGTTTGGGTTGTTTTATCATCTCTACAAGTTCGTTCTATTAGCTTTGGAACAATCTATTCCTATAAAATGAAATACCTCCACTTTTTAAACTGTTGTGAAACTTTTTCAAAATGCTGTCTAGGAATCATTATGAAACTTGTTTTCTGCTCTTCTAACCTAAGTTTGGATGTAAAATAAAGCTGTAGTAGACAAGAAATTTATTAATTAAAAGGAAACTAAGTAACTGTAGAAACCTTCTATGCTTTAGCTATTATTTACTATAAGACCATAAAGTACAAGCGGGTTTTGATAAGCGGGAAGCAAAGGTAATAGAAGTTTAATATACGTTTAAACTTCTATTAGATATTTGGTGAAGATTAAATTTAAAAATATTTAAATTCCTGTGTAAAGTATTTATTAAGAAACAAATTCCATTTGCTTCAGAATAAAAAATGCAATATTTAGTATTTCAAGATTTTGACAATTTTTAAATAATTAATTTTCTGTATAATATGCCTTGCAATTCAAAAATAAATATTTACTTTTCAGTTTTTTGAGTACTAAATTAACTGCTTTGAAATAAGTTCAAAAGTTAATTTAATGTTTCATCAAAATGAAGCTTAAGTCAACGGCCAAAATCCTTTTAATCATTTTGCAAATTACACTTCTATATACCCATGCTTAGCTATTGACGAAAGTAATGAGATGCAAATGCTTAGATTTCTTTCCAAAATGCAAGCAATCATATTTTAAATTTCGTTACTTTATATTTTAAATTTTATGCAGTCTTTATCATAATTCTCAGTTATATTTTTCTATAGTTAAATGACAAATCCATAATTGCTTATGGATTCTGACAAAACTGACATTCTGACAAAACGAAGTGACCTTCTATTAATTTACTTAGAAGTAATATAATTAAGAAAAGCAAAATTATCATTATCAAAATGTCTTACTGTATGTCTACGAGAAGAATAATCCCCGCCACAGTATCTGGCGGGTGGGGGTCGCTATAGCAACATCGCTAGTACATTTTAAATGGGGATGAACCAAGGGTTGCCAATTCATCTTTAAATGCGCCAAGATGGCAAAGTGAAAAGTAAATCTTCAAGACACCCCTATGGAAAAATTGATCAAAGCTCGTTTCTATGGCAACAGACAGCTGCAGACTAACTGACGAGAGCTTTTCTTATGATAAACAGACTGTACTACTGTCATTATCAAAAAGCTAAAACATTAACATTATTATTGTTAGGAATATGTAAATAATTTTATTTAATCGGTGGTATTTTCGTATAATGTTACATGAAAATCTAAAGAAGTGGAGTTTTGCCGGAAAGCAAGAATACGTAGGCAAGTTTATTTAACATAGAATAAATGGTTATCTCACTACATTGGCGAGATATCGCCAAGCTGGCAATGGCTTTTTTCGAGCAAATTTTTCTCTCCAAATAAGGCGAGAAATCGTCAGGAGTCGAAAAACTTGGAGATATTTCGCGACATTTTGGTCTGGTCTCTGTATAACTGTAATAGGTATTATAACTGAATAACTGTAACTGTAACTTATGTAACTATAGCTGTATACTGGCCCTCATATGCCTTCCAGTTGTTGTTTTTCCTGCTGTCTTATCCATGTATTTCATGGAAGAACGGTTTCCTAAGCCTGAAGGAAGTTGGTCTTCTATTTCTATCCCAATTTTGAAGGAGAAAGCACTCCGGGGGGGATCCAAGGCTCTCCCACCCCTCTCCCCTACCACCAAACCACACGAGAGAATTTTCGGGTCGCCATATAACTATAGTACCCCCATACCGCAAAAACATTATACATTTACAATTATCAGTGCCTTCTCCGAGATTGGAACACTTGACCCTTCGGTATCGCAATAGGGCTCCACTATCCACTATAAAGTTTGAGCAGCATGCCTTCCAGTAATTTCGAGAAATGGAATTGGTGGACGTGTGAAAACTATATAAAACCGGAGAGAGCATCTGCTCTCAATTGATGGTTGAGAGCTGAATTCGGAATGTTGAGATATTTGTGAGAGCTTCGCTATTTAAATGGGTTTTACATTGCTTTGTGTTTAACGTTCTAGTTATTGTAAATTATGGGTGCATTTAATCTATTACTAAGCCGCACGCCGGAACATTATTATGAAAATACAATATTGTTATTAATTTTATTAAAAACTTCAAGTAGTAATATTTGTTTACAAAATAAAATTTAGTAAATGTTTTACTTAATTATTAAAAGGTAACATTATGAAATTTCTATTTTATATTGCAGAGATATGCGTAAAGACTGATGTTCGCCTTCAAAAATTTCGAGTTTACGTTCGAGTTAAATTATATCCTTTTAGTGAATTATCCAACATTGTTACTTTTTCAGTATAGTTCGTCTGAGATCAGATTTGTTTGAAAGCTTATTCATTTACGCTCACTTATTTTACCTTAAGTGCTGCCCAGATGTGAAAGTGGTTAGTGACTCTGTTCTGACGTTCCGAAAAGCCATTGTTCGAATCTCGCAGGGCCCACCAGCGGCCGAGCGGTAAAGTCGCTGAACACTGGTAGTTCGGTCCGAGGTTCGAATCCTGCGAACGGGCTGGCTGCATGGGTGTTTCCGTGGTTTTCCCCATGTGTAACGTGTATACGAGCCAGTTTCCCTTAGAAAGTCCTCCACGAAGGCATCCCTTCCCTTAGGCAGATATCCCTCGAGACTTTGCCGTAATTAAATAACCTAACCAATCCTAACCGAATCTCGGAGAAAGCATGGGATGTAATTTGTTCGTCATTTCACAGGAGGCAATGGTGGTGTTTCTTGTAAAATTATTTGGTGCCTCCGTAATCAAACGATCACCGTTTCCGGCCCTTGTAGCAGCAACGCCTATAAAGGCCTAGAGCCCAGCAATGGGGGGAAAACTGCTTTATGTAATTAATGCATATAAATCGACAATGTTTATCCCTAATCACTTAAATTTTAGCTATTATACTGGCAAGATGCCATCCAGTTATTTATTCGATTGTAGTTTCCAAGCGCTATTTCAGTGTGTATCGGAAAAATGCACTGAAATAGGTCTTGGTGCAGTCTACAATCTGCTAAATAACTAAATGACATCCTGCTATAGCTATAGGCAGTCAAAAGAAATGACATAAACTTGAAAAATGCGTGATATGCATATTGTTTCAATATAGTGATATATCAGCGAACAAAATTAGAATGACTGGCAGGACTTAAACTGTCTGATAAGCAACATCTCCAAATAGACTAGCTGTTCTGCCTATGGAGTAAAGTAAAGTAAAGGTGTAAAGCTACCTGTATTATAAATGATTTTAACAATTGGTTTTCTGTAATACATTTGGAAAGCTATTAAATGCATGTAAAAAACACTGTTCGGGGTTAAAGGGAGTTGAACGATTCTGTAGAGATTGCGCACATTGAATGTATTAGAATTGTGTGTATATTTCACTAAAGCCAATTTAATTATTGTTCAGTTGTAATTTATGTGTTTATTTCAACTATCATTCATTATAAGATACTATTTTAAACTCATACAAGATACAAATTTAAGGTGAATTATGTGATGAAGTTACATGTTACTGGATAGATTCGCTTATTTCTCTACCGGAGCATGATTATGATATCATTTTAATCTCAGAATCATATATACCTATGCATTTTAATCCTTTAGCCTTGTGCGTTCTTGGACAAATGCAGATATCGCGTCCTCCTGTCGTTACGCATAGTCCAACTCCACAATTATTCTTTTTACATTGACTACTAGGTTTAGAAATTCCTGTAAAATCAAAAGAAATATGTTAATGACTTAAAAGGTTAAAATCATATGCAAGTTCATCAAATGTAAGCTTAGCTAAGACAAACATGTTCTAATAACCTAGGAGAAAGATTTGCTATTGAAAATAATTTTCATTTCTACAATCTCAGTCAAATAGAAAAAAAGTTTCTGACAGTTTAATTTGTAATTTGAGAGTCATTTCAATCATCCTTTCCAGTAAGTCATGCTATAACGCTAATCATTGTTAAAAAGTTCCATCTGAAGCAAAGTTTTTAAAAAGCGCAAACGTATGAGTAGCCCCAATAAAAATGATCATTAACTCTTTGTTGCTTAACTCATTTGTCTTGCGAACGCCAAGTCTAGTAGACAAGAAGGTTTTAAATTTGTTATTTCTTCTGTAACATGTCTTAACTGGTTCCATTCCTGTGTTTATTCCGAAGTTCCTATTCATTATTAGATTTTTCAACTGTTCGAGTCATGAGATGGCTGTATAGCATCACTCTAAGTAAAGTTTATTCAAATGTGCTATATTATTAGGAAAAGGATGGCTACTTCTGTTTCCAAGTTAGTACAATTCCTCATAGTAAACATTATATAATATTGCTTACATTTTCTTATACTGCCATTTTTTATTCACAATTAGTAATTTTAGACATTTTATTTTAAATGACAGTTTGAGGAAATTGCATAGTGGGTAGAGTAAAGATCTACCGAAAAGAGTGAATTGAAACCCAAACGTACTGCTTATCAAGCCAAAACACCACTGGAAATGTTTATGTTTGGCGAGGAATTTCTAGAACATTTGACTTCTTGAATCCAATAGGTACAGGTTACAAAATCGTATCAAAATGAATTCAATCACAATCGACGAAATGAAGGTATTTTGGGGGATCTATATGTACATATACCGTTTAGAAGATGATAATGATCACTGCAAACAAGGCAGGAAATGATTTCAAATGCGATGACCGTAAATCGTTGGGAAGAGATTTGTATATGCACGTACGTATATGCATGCTGTCCACTGTAGTAAACAAACTGTAGCAATTATTTAAAACGAAATTTGAATAAAGTAAATTTTTTTAATTATTACTAAGGTTATTTTAAGTAGAAAAAAAAACATTTTCGTTTTAACTTCTCTAGATTTTTTGTATGCAACAAAGGGTTAAAGATCGCGCAATAGATACATAACTCATAATAAACGAGAATCCAGTATTATTGCTTGAGAGGTCAATTATGCTTGAGAGATAATTTTAAGGGCAAATCTTAAAGAGGCATCCATAAAAAGAATGTTAAAAGTGTGATGTTCCTTAATTACTTTGTCTAGGTTAAGATGGGACTAGTCTGATGAACTACATAGCGACTTATCGCTGAAGTCAGATAACTAAAATGTAAACTAGAGAAGGGTTAAAAGACTCTTTTATTCACTCGAATAAATAATACCGAAAATAATAAATACCGAATGTATAATACCGAGGCGGTCTTTTCTCGGGTTTACAGAAAAGCCTCTACCCGGGCTTAAACTAAAAATAAGAAGATATGAAACTAATCTAATATTAACTAATGAAACTAATCTAATGTTAACTAAACTAAACTTAAGCGAAGCTAAACACAATTATCTAACGTAGTCGACCCTTAAATATCATTAGACAAGTATAATACGACCGACCGTTGCAGCTTCAAGAATGGATCAGCCAGAAAGCAAACACGCTCCACTAAGGACTTCTAGCACTCTCTATCTAAGTTAGTTGAACTTCTAATAAATACTACTTCTAACTCATTTGCATTCAAAACGATTCTAAAAACTCATTCTGGTAGGAAGTTGTAAGTGGGAAACAGGAATTGAAAGGAAAGGGTTATAAGTTATTTCTCCCATTTCCCTAGCGTGCCTTCGTGGTGTAACGGTAGCACGCTCGGCCGGTATTCCAGAGGTCCGTGGTTCGATTCCCGGCGAAGGCGGTTGCATATTTTTTCATTTTTTCTGCTTCCAATTAATCCTAATGACTCTACAAGTGGCGCCTGAACTAAAAGGGTTGTGGATGATGATTCTCCGCACCGAGGATTTGGCGACTAGGTCCCCTAAAACCCTAGTCGCCCTTTAAAAAGAGGATATAAGGTATTTCTCCCACTTCCCTAGCGTGCCTTCGTGGTGTAATGGTAGCACGCTGGGCCGGTATTCCAGAGGTCCGTAGGTTCGATTCCCGGCGAACTACGGACTATTGTAATACCATCTTTTCTGCTTCCAATTAATCTATTGACGCTACAGGCTTTCAAAATTAAAATAACTAGTATTATAAAATTTAAATACTCCTTACAAAAGAAACAGCTGCTATATTTACGATATTGATTTAAAAACATTTAATAAATGCAAGGAAAGAAGCTGGAAGCCTATTTAGATTAGATTTTTATAAGCGTTGTACTACGACCTGCTACGACCAAGGATTATTCCTGAATGATCCGCTTTTTGAAGGAAATGTTATATTCATATAATGAATTTATGAACCAATGAACAATCAGTTTCACACTGTTCAAAACATAAGTTTTATTAGACACAATATATGAACTTAAAACTGTTTTCTAGACTAAACGTTTGACTATAATCTGGCGGATATCATTGTGCAGAAACTCTCTTTTGTTAGTTCAAAATAATGTCAAGTATAGTGTCTAGTACCCAGACACTGATTCATATTTTATTAAGGATGATAATGAAAATCTAGTTATTGAATGGCACAATTAGCACAGAAAAAACGTTACCATATTATTTCTGAGGAATCTAAAAAGATTACACCATGCGAAAAATTTGGCATTAGCCTTGCAATGGTTTGAGCAAGAATGGACCATTTATCTTAGGGATTTATTTGTACACATTTTGGAAACAACGTAATTTCCCGTAGAAGAAACGTTCCTTTTCATGAATTTAACATAAAGCAGCTCCATAACGCCGTCACTTGAAGCAGGTTCAGAAAGCTATTTTATTCTGAAATCCAATAACAATTATGTTTTTTCAGGGATGTACCTGTGAACGCCGAGAGCTTTGCTATTGTTTCACAAAACATAGAAGGGACGTATATTTAAAATCTGTAATTATTCCGATATTTATGTGCTAAAATTTGATAGAGCTTTATTATATAGCACCAAATTCGGTATTCTTCGTTCAAGCACTTGCGGTATTTAAAGATACATAATACACATAATTAGAAGCGTAAATTATAGCAACTATTAACCGGGTTTAAAAATTTGTAAGTATATTTTTTGCAATAGTTAAAAACATTTTAAGAGAATTGTTGGCTCTTTAACGCTCTCAGTATCAAGTTACAGAGTAATTAATATTATAATTTACAAAAGTGGCTACTCAGTGTTAATAACTTACAGATCTCTAAAGACTAATTCAGTTTACCTTGGTGAAACTTTGCTAAAAATAACTTATCAGAAATCTGGCGTAAGTTTATTACTTTTAAATAAAATCTGCAAGATAATGACCTGATAAAAAACAAAGAGCATACATTAAAAATTATTTGTTTCTTTTAGAAATTCTGTTTTCAAGTGCTATCAAAATAAACATATCTAGATTCATTTATTCTTAATGTTCAATGCATGTAAAATGGTCGTAAATATTATAATTAACCGTTAAAATATAAGTTACTTTTAAACGAAAAAATAAAATGTCCATAAATAGATAGTAACATTTTGTTTTACCTAAAATACTTAAAATAAATTATAATCCAAGCCAGGCCAACAAGAGGAGGGGAGAGGGTGTTATGCTTTGCTCCTATTTGTACCATCAAAATATAAACATTTTATATTTTCGACCTGAGTATTCATACACACGGATTTATCGTACAGAATAGGGACATATGTCCCTGTGCTTCAGTTTTCCTTTCTCAAAGTGCGTATGTTAGTCTTTTTCAGCGTATGCCAATATTCCTCTAATAGATGTCTGTATTATTTTGATGCGAAAAAATTATTTATGTTAGTCTTTTTCAGCGTATGCCAATATTCCTCTAATAGATGTCTGTATTATTTTGATGCGAAAAAATAATTTTTTCAAAAAGCTTCTCTTTATTATATTATTGCCATTTAAGTGCGAAACGTTATTAAGAAATATATTGCCCATAAATGACTTATATTAGTGCGTGGATAAGTACTACGATTTCTTTCTGAGCGATACGGGTTACTTCAGGGTAGCCCTGAAGTTCCTCAAAATGTGACGAATAAGTGATATTTTCTTGATTTTAATTAAAAAATGACTCTTTCATTTTGTACCTTGATTCCTTTTCTTCCAAAATACATCCAAACTGAAATCCGATACATTAAAAGCTAGCAGAAAGTTTCATGTATAATGAATGTGGAAAGCAACCTTCTGTACGGAAATTTCCGGTCGTAACGCTGAGAGGGTTAAAAGATAAATAAAATATCTTATGTCGCATGAACAAGATTTTCAGCTTTTCCTTTAAGTGTTTTTGGTGCTACTTTGGTAGACGGTTGCACGGATTTTTGGCGATTTACGTTGGCGGCGCGATTTTTGCAATCGTCAGCCATCTTGAAAAAAAATCCATTTTTACGCATAGCAAAGTATTCGAAACTTAAAAAAAATTAAATATCGTTAAAAGTAATTGGATTAATTTTTTGTTGAAAATGTTGTTTTTTAAGATGGCAGGCAAGTGTAAATCAATACATTTACAATGAGTATAAAATACTAAAGTAAGGCTATTATTACTTTCATATAGCAAAAATAAAGAATAAAAACACCGCTATAAAAACATTGTGCCAACGTTTAATTAGATTAAAATATTACTGAAATTGAATATCGAATTAAAAACCATCCTACCAACTTTTAAAAGAATTAGAATATTATTGAAATTCAAATACTTTAAAATACGTTATATGAGAATATAATTAACATTAAAACATATGTAACAATAATTATCTCAGCAATTTTTGAAAATAGTGTATTAATTTTTTTAACAAAATTGACAGTATACAATTATATAGAATAAAAGAAAAATATGTACTTACATTTTTTTGAGTATTTTAACCTCTTGTTTATTGATAAGTACCACATAAAAAATCGAAATCATAATTGAAATCGTCTCTTTTAAGCCATCTTCATCTGTTATCCACATATTCTTGGCACTTCATTGAAGAAGTAATTACTGAGGTTTCCTCCAAAAATTTAAAATAAATTTCCTCTGACGCTATTAACAATTTATAAATAAATCTTTGATTAGGAAAGACAGGTTGGCCAAAATAAGGTCTCAAAGGGCAATTTTTTTATTCCAATACCAATAATTCTTGGTAATTACCAATACCAACATTCGTCTTCGAAACGAAGATATCTATTCCATTTGAAATCTGACGAATTCGAAGAGATGAATAATAAAATTTTAAAATGGCGCGGTAATGCACAAATATTCAGTAACCAATCAGGAAGCTGATTACATCACGCATAGAATTAAAGTTATTTAAATAATCATTCATAATAAAATCATTTTTAAAACAAATGCAAAAATAAATTGTATTTTAATATTTAACAGCCATAAATAATGTTTAAAACTTCAGATTAAATTTATAGATATTAATAAAACCAATTACTTTTTAAGTAAGGTGACGTCATTGATTATATCATCAACAGCATAAAATTATATAAAATATTATAAACAAAAAAATTTTTATTTCAAATAAAAATGTAAAATTAAATTGATTTTTAATATTTAGAAGCCATAAATAATATTTAAAACACGGAAGTTATGCATAATAAAACGCATTATTTTTTTAATAAAATGAAAACAAAGTATCGGTTACCATAAATAACTTATCCACCTATGGGTTTACCATAAGTTGTATTGCTCGCCAAAAGAAAAATCGCCAAAAAATCGCCAAAATCCGTACAACCGTCTACCAAAGTAGCACCGTGTTTTTTACTGCTATGTAAAGACAAAACTAATGCGTTTACTGCAAAATAAAACATTGCAGTGAAACATCATCTTTACAGCTTTAAAAATTATTCTGGACCCATATAATTAATCTTGTTACAAAGTTCAACTTACGGCATGTTTTATTATCAGAGTGAAGGGTAAATCCAGGTCTACAGTCACAGCTTTCATCTGCAGGATGGCAGATTTGCGAGCATCCTAGAGTTCCTGGTAAATCACACTTGTTAACTAAAAATACAGAGAAAGTGTGAAAAAATATTTTATTCTTTATTGTCAGCTTTATTGTAATCATTCTGTAAAATATTGACATATATACTAGATGGACACATAAATTTTTGAGAACTGCACTTTGTTATCTGTTCAAAGAGATTTAAATACAACATTTCACTTGCTTGGTCGGAAATATTTAGCTTACTTTATAAACCATATAACATTTTATAACATTTTTTTAATAAAAAGAATAATGAAACTTTAAGGAAACAGATATTTATTGTAAAATTTTCATGGTACAGAAACTAATGATTCTTTTTGTCCTGGAAGGAAAACTGATAATAATTTAAAGTATCTTTTTCATTCCAGGAGAAGCCTTTTTTTTGCTAAATTTTTCTGAATTTAAGTCTTACCTTTTTCGCAAGTTTTGCCGTTGAATAAATAACCTTCCTTGCAGGTGCATTTCACATTGCCAGGATCATCCAACAAATCTTCGCAGAATCCATTTTCACCACACGGGTTTGATTTTGTTTCGCAGAAATTAGCTGAAATAGATTTATATGGTATTTACTATACGTAAAGGTATAATTTCTAGCAAGTAAAGTTTTGCTTTCCAATATCTATGTGCTTTTTCTCCTTCGAAAAGTACTATTAATTAGTGTGAAATATTGTTAATAGGATTTGGGAATTTTTGTTGCAAATATTTAATGCATCGCAAAACGAAGAAATCTTTATTTCATCTGATTTCGAAGACATTATTCAAATGTTCATTAGTTTATCTCGCCCCATTTTAATCCTTCGGTAAAGTAACACTTGGTCAGAAAAATTTAAAAAAAAAAAAAAAAATCTGGAAGAATTCAGATTTTAAATGAGATACATTCTGATGACATCAGAGATCACGTGATTTATGTGTAGCTAATGTAAACAAACAATGCAGATGACCTCTGAGATCACATGACTTATGTATAGCTAATGTAAACAACAAGGTCATTCTTCCTCTTCTTCTCTTGCGGAATGTATCTCATTACGTTCAAAGGGGCGTTTTTTTAACATTTTGTGTATTACATTTATTTATTAAATATTACGTTCTTCGCACTAAAACCATAAAATTCAGTTCAACAGCAATAACGCAAAATAGTTTTAAAATGAGCGTATCTTTAGAATTTCTGATACAGAGACTCGCGCGCTGGAGATAAAAATGTTATTTCTGTACAACGTTGCCATTGCTCGCTTTGAAATACTGGAACTTGTTAATCAAAAATTCGTTAAAGTTTTACAAAATATGAAATCGATAATAAAAAAAAATTCCAAATCTCAAATTTGATCTTCCACATATCCATATTCGTAGGAGGATTACGTCATTCAAAATTCGATGGCTCTATGTACCGTTGTTTTATCACAATGCGAGAAATACTATACATCCATTTATGCAGATTTTTCATTTTTAATTTCTTCAAATATAGTGCAGGACTCTAACATTGGGTAGCAACAGTTTGAAAATTAATTCGCCGCTTATAGTGATTCGACGCAAAATCGCAAAACGAAAACAGTAGTCCTTTAGGGACAAAGCCCCTTTGGACTAAAAAACACTTTTTATTTAATCTTCAGTCGAACTGTTTACACAACTCGTGCAGAAACCTCCGCTGCTTGAAAGATTAACAAAATACAAAATCTAAAGCGAAAATGAAATATAGTAGTGCTGTTCATAATGTCCACCTATAAATGTTTGCTCAAGTCCTCGATTCATGCAAGCAAACAGGGCTAGCAAATTCTAAGGCCAATTCAAGTTGTTCGGTGTCTGAAAGAGTATTGCTTGGCAGCATTGTTTTACGCCAAGCAGAGTTTGGCTTTAGTGTAACCCTAAAGTTATTTCGTTTTTGCTTTATTAGTATGAATGATTTCTAACTTGATGTAAGAGCATATGGTTGCTCGCTCTTTAGCTAAGTTACATAGGTAACTAAGCACATGTGTGTGCTAGTATTCAATAATGTTGTTTTTGTTAAAATAAAATTGTTATTGTTAATATTACAGTCCACTTACTGAAGTTAAGTATCATTAAATAAGTTCGAGCTATCTTCGGCAAGAACAGTTTGGTCTCACGTTAGCCGGAGAAGAAAATGGCTACTAATATTGTTTCATTGAATCGCCAACGCGGCGTAGTGAAAACGAAACTCGGAGCTTTGATAAAATTCCTTGATGAGTATAAAATGGAGGAGAATAAACTCAACCATGATGTTATTATGAAGACTAAATTGGATTCTTTGTTGGAATTAAAATCTCGGGTTAAACAACTCATAGTGGAATACACCAATTTGCCAGAGGAAATTGACTTGAAGGATAATCTAAGCATTACACAAGAATTGGAAGAAAGCATCGAAGAGTTCGAAGTAAGATTTAGAATTTTTCTTTCTAATTGTGAAACAAATAATACAGATAAATTTGAAACCAAAACTGTTTCTAAATCAAATTTTAAACTGCCTGATTTACCTCTTCCTCAATTTTATGGTAAATATGAAGATTTTAAAAATTTTAAAGTGCAATTTATGTCTATGATTGGTAATAATAATAATTTAAATGATACTGAGAAACTGTTTTATTTGAAAGCATCACTTAAAGGTGAAGCAAAAATGTTAGAATCATGTCAGGATACATTTGAGTCGCTATTTTCTGCACTTGAAAGCAGATATGAAAACAAAAGAGCAGTAGTTGATGCCTTTATCAATAATTTGTTGAAATTTGAAAAAATAAATGACTCACCTTCTCAGTTGAGATCACTGGTAGATAATGTTAAAAGATGTTTGAGATCTTTAAGTGTATTAGAATTTGATAGAAATAATTTATCTGATGTTTTGATATTAAATATTTTATTGCATAAATTAGATAGAGAATCTAGAAAAGCATTTGAACTAAACGTAAAATCAAATGAAATTCCCAAACTTGATGAATTTTTAGAATTTCTCGAAGAAAGAATTCGCATTCTTGAAGAAATAAACAAAGTTAGTTTTCCTAAGCAGAGCTATGCTACTAAAGTATCAAATCAATTAAGTCGCTCTAGAAATTCAAAATCCTTGGTAACTAAAACAAACCCTTTTCGAAAGTGTATTATGTGTAAAGAACCACACCCAATTTATCATTGTTCGAAATTTAAGAGTATTTCTGTTTCTGAGCGGTATGATTTTGTTAAAGAATATAAATTATGCATTAAATGCCTTTCTCCATCACACGTATTATCGCAGTGTAAGGCTAAACTTAGCTGTTGTTTCTGTAAGAAAGACACACATCATTCGCTGTTACATAAAATTGACGAAAAACAAAATGAATCATCGAAAGAAAATGAATTGACCTTGAACCTTTCGTCAGTGAATGGGAAAGAGGACTGCCCCTCTCCCCCCCACACAACTTTGATGGCAGCTGCAAATAAATCTAAATTTGTGTTAATAAATACAGCGATTGTTTATCTTCGCGATGTTTACGATGAACGAATTCCTTTTAGAGCCGTGCTTGATTCAGCTTCGACTTCTAATTTTTGTACTGTAGGTGTTATGAACTCATTAGGAATAAAAAAAGAACGAGCATTTATTCCAGTTAGTGGAATAGGCAACACTACTTTGAATGTTAAAATCGCAAATAAAGACGCGTTTATCGAACTTAGAAAAGGAAAATGAATGGGAAATAGAGTTATTAGTTGTTCCCAAAATAACTGACATGACACCATCGAAATCTATTGATATTTCGAAATTAAATATTCCGAAAGGAATAAAGTTAGCTGATGATGAATTTTTCAAGGCAAAAAAGGTAGATTTATTATTAGGTGCGGAATTATTTTTTGAATTTTTAAAAACAGATAAAATACGTTTAGAAGATAATGAGTTACTTCTTCAAAACAGCTGCTTCGCTTCGGATTTTTTAGTTTCTGGAAGCATTAGAATTCCAAATGTAAAAAATTATGACTTAAATTATTGTTTTTTGTCAACAGAGATTAATTCGTTAAATAACTTAGTAAAGTCATTCTGGGAAGTTGAAGAAGTAAATGAAACTAAATCTACAGTTAATTCTGAATTAAATTATTGCAACGAACTTTTTAAAAACTCATTTTACCGGCATGCGGATGGAAGATATGTGGTTAAAATGCCGTTCAAGCCAGATATTGGTGAAAACATACAATTAGGGGATTCAAAGGAAATCGCTGAAAAAAGACTGAATCAATTGTGGAAACGTTTGTCGAGTGATTCTGTAATGAAAGAACTTTATGTTTCATTTTTAAGGGAATATGAATCATTAAATCATATGGGAAAGATGGAAGTCTATTCTGAAACTGAAGGAGGATATTTTCTTCCTCATCATGGCGTGCTGAAACCTGATAGTAAAACAACAAAGTTACGCGTTGTGTTCGACGCGAGTGCCAAAACTACTAACGGTTGTTCATTGAACGACATATTATGTAAAGGTGGAATGATTCAAGAGGAACTTTTTTCCATCATGATACGGTTTAGAAAGCATATTTATGCATTTACTGCCGATATTGAGAAGATGTTTCGACAAATTGAAATATTGCCATCGCAGACCAAATATCAGAAAATACTTTGGAAGGAAGATGAAGATAAGCCTATAGAAATATACAGACTCAAAACGGTAACTTATGGCACAGCATGCGCTCCATATTTGGCACAAAGGACTCTTCAACAGTTAGCGAAGGATGAAGAAAAGGATTTTCCTGTAGCATCGAAAGTGGTCTTGGAAGATTTCTATGTAGACGACTGTCTTACTGGATCTTCGAATTTGAAGGAATGCATTCAGCTCCAGAAAGATTTGACAGAATTGCTCCAAAGAGGAGGAATGAAGCTACACAAGTGGTGTACTAGTTTTGATTCTCAGAACTCTGATTTACAGAATTTTTCATTTGATCGTAATAGTAATACAACTGTGAAGACGTTAGGTATGTTGTGGAATAATAAGAAGGATACATTGCAATATAAAGTTACTGTTAATGAAAAGCCTGATGTTACGAAAAGAGATGTTTTATCTCAAATAGCGAGATTATATGATCCTTTAGGCCTACTCGGTCCTATTATTAGCAAGGCAAAGATATTCATGCAAGCACTTTGGTTGCTTAAGCTAGACTGGGCGGAACAGTTACCACCACCTCTTGCCAATGAATGGAATGTGCTTATTAAAACTCTTCAGAGTATAGAAAATATACAAGTACCTCGTTGCATTTTAAAAGAGACCTTTTCAATGCTCATTTTACAGGGATTTGCGGATGCCTCCGAGAAGGCATTTGGGGCAGTGATATATCTTCAAAGCATTACAAGCCCTGGTGAATATTGTAGTAAACTTCTTTGTAGCAAATCTCGTGTAGCACCAATCAAGACTATGACTATTCCTAGATTAGAACTATCAGCATGTCTACTCCTGTCCAAACTTATGCAAAAGGTTTTAGAAGCTTTGAAACTCAAAATTGATGACGTTAAGCTCTGGTCAGATTCAAGCATTGCTTTAGCCTGGATCAATACATCACCGCATCTTTTGAAAACCTTTGTGAGTAATAGAGTCTCACAAATTCAACAACTTACTTCTAACTATCAGTGGGGACATGTGTCTTCAGAAATGAACCCAGCCGACATCATTTCCAGAGGATCAGATGCTACAACTCTTGGATCTAACAAGCTGTGGTGGAAAGGTCCTGATTTTTTAAACAAGGACAATTTTCAAGATAAAAATGGACTTAGTGATGAGCTTTATTCTTCAGAACTGAAACCAGTTACGACTTCCTTGTTGACTTTAAAAACTGATTCATTCTTTGATGACTTCCTAAAAATAACTAATGATTTCTTGAAACTAATACGAATTCTTAGTTTACTTTTCAGATTTATCTACAACTGTAGGAACACAAGTGAGAAACGAACAGGTAGTATTAGTATAGATGAAATGGAGCTGTCAAGGAATACACTCCTTAAATATATCCAAGGTAGGTATTTTGCAGAAGAAATTTCTTTGTTGCAGAAAGGTCTACAGATAACATCAAGGAGTAAGTTAAAATATTTTGATCCCTTCTTAGATGAAAAAGGTCTGTTAAGGGTAGGTGGTAGGATAAAGAATTCTAATTTAAGTTATAGTAGTCAAAGACATCCCATTATTTTGCCTGCCAAGAATAAGTTAACTGAACTTATATTTATTTATTTTCATGAAAAGGATTTTCATAATGGTCCACAATCACTATTAAATTCTATTAGACAAATTTATTGGCCCATTAATGGCAGGAATATAGCTAGAAAGATAGTCCAAAGCTGCATAATTTGCTTTAAGGCAAAACCAATAATTTCTCAACAACTAATGGGAGAATTACCTAAAGAGAGAATTAATATTAACTTTACATTTAATTGTTGTGCTATTGATTACTGCGGCCCCATTTTTGATAAAGTACAAAGGGCAACGCAAGGGTAACTATCATAAGATATATGTTTGTATTTTTGTTTGTATGGTGACAAAAGCAATTCATCTAGAGATTGTCAATGACTTAACCACAGAAGCATTCATTGCTTGTCTGAAGAGGTTCTTTGCCCGACGAGGTAAACCAAAAAAAATATTTAGTGACAATGCAAAAAACTTTGTTAGTGCAAATACAGAAATAAAAAAATTAATGAGTATTTTTCTAAAGCAGAATGGAACTTTAGCTAATTTTCTAGCTAGCCGAGGAAGGTATACAATGGAAGTTTATACCCCCAAGAGCACCAAATTTTAATGGTCTATCTGAAGCAGGAGTAAAATCCTTTAAATTTCATTTTAAACGAACAGTAGGAAATTCAGTATTAACCTACGAAGAATTTTTGACAGTAACAGTTCAAGTAGAGGGAATCTTAAATTCTCGCCCTCTTACACCGTTAACTTCTAATATTGATGATTTAAATGTTTTGACCCCTGGTCATTTCCTTATAGGTCGACCGATCAATTCAATAATTGAACCCAATTTAACAGAAGTAGATAATAACAGACTTAGTTTATGGCAAAAAACTACAAAAATGGTACAAAATATATGGAAGAACTGGACTAATAATTACTTGAGCACTTTGATTCAAAGAAATAAATGGATGATTGCTAAACAAAATATTAAAATAGGGGATATGGTAGTGATCAAGGAAGAAAATCTTCCTACCTGTAAATGGTTGTTAGGGAGAATTGTAGATGTGTTTTATGGGAAGGACAACCTTGTGCGAGTTGTCTCTGTCAAAACCAAAAATGGTATTTATAAACGAGCAGTTACTAAAATTGCTGTACTGCCAATTGAGAAATAATGTACGAATTTTTATGTTTATTTGAAGGTTTGAATTGTAATCCATCATATTTGTTCTTTTTACACATTGTAATTACTTGTATTATAATTTGTGCATTAATTTACATTGTATCATTTTGTATTGTATGAACATTTATTACTTTTTTGAATTTTACTTATTGTATTGAAATTAATATTTCAACGCCGGGCGGGATGTTCGGTGTCTGAAAGAGTATTGCTTGGCAGCATTGTTTTACGCCAAGCAGAGTTTGGCATTAGTGTAACCCTAAAGTTATTTCGTTTTTGCTTTATTAGTATGAATGATTTCTAACTTGATGTAAGAGCATATGGTTGCTCGCTCTTTAGCTAAGTTACATAGGTAACTATAAGCACATGCGTGTGCTAGTATTCAATAATGTTGTTTTTGTTAAAATAAAATTGTTATTGTTAATATTACAGTCCACTTACTGAAGTTAAGTATCATTAAATAAGTTCGAGCTATCTTCGGCAAGAACACAAGTAAATTTAGAAGCTGGATGAAAACAGCATTGAGTCGGTCAGCGGTAATTGAAGGCGATGGGAGATCAACACTTTGTAAAGAAGATCTTGACATGATGTAATTTTTACTTCATCTATTACTTGTGCCCTAGGGCTATCAGATGTAATCCCTTAAAATTCGATCGATACAGAAGGGCCTGTACTAAGTAGTACATAAACTCGGAAGAGAACAAGAATGTAAAATAAGCATTAAGTGGCGGTAATTCACATAAACTTGCGACAGCAATTTGCAATTATAATTCCATTTCACACATAAAATATTAATACAGTGAATACTGGTAAAATATAAAGAAAATACACAAGTCCCTTTTCTAATTTGCATTCGCAATGGGGATAAAGGACATGTTCAAATCCGTGAAAATATTATCTTAAATTTATAATAAAAATAACTACACGGTACTAATTTAATGTAGAAATTTCTCGTAAGATCAAACTCGGGAACTTCCTTTATTTTAAAGGGCATCGTTTTGTCCGCTTGGCTAAACAAGTACAGCCGAAAATGAGAAAAGTTACGAAGTTCTTTCCACGTGAGAAAGATTGAACTTTATCAGCTTATGTTACGATGTATTGTTCTTGCTCTATTGTGAAACTGCTCGATGATGTAGTCATAATTTCCAATATTATGAACTATTTTATGGGAGTGATTGTCACATTTTCTACAGAACTAGTGTGTATGTGTAGTTAGTTGCCAAAAGCAAAGTGCTAAACTCAAGTACATTAACTATTGTCTGAATACCCATCTTTTTAAAATTCGAATTAAGGACTCATCAGTCTGTACTTCTTGTAACTCTGAACAAGACTAATGACATAGTGGCCAAATGTCTGGCATTTGTATAAATAAAACACATACATTAAATAATGAGCATCTTGATGAACATCGATAAAAGCAGAAATGATAGTATAGGTAAATAAAAAGATAATTAGTTAATAAATGTAAAACTTTATAAATGAACAAAAATATTCAGCTAGGAATTTAAAAGATCTAGTAATACAAGAATTTTGTGACCCTAAGAGCTGTGAAAATTGGCATAATACACGTTCAGAAAAATTATTATGTGTGTTAGTTATAAGTTTATATGATAACATAAAATTAAAATATTATTCACATTCAAGATCGTATAAACATTTCAATTAATTATTTTCATTAAAATAATATCGATGAGAATAACATATTCAGAAATCAAAGAATAACATCGATGAGCTCGTTTGCTCATGGCGACGGACATCATAATAGTAAAAAAATACCTCCAATTCAAAGAAGGGGAGTATAAACAGAGCAACAACAGCGGTCTGAGATAAGCCAAACTGAGACAGCTAAGATGGGTGGTTGGGACTTTGGGTAAAATCCCTTTCGAAACCCCTTTTGAAACCTGTTCAGAGGAGTGGATCCTGGGAAACCTTAAACCATTTAAATGCTATACTTGAAGATCTGTTGTTTGGTTTTTATGTTTAATTTATATGTCTGTACTAACCACTATACGAAAATTTCATTATCATTGTTTAATTAAACAAATTAATTAATGAAATTAAATGGAACAAGCTAATTTTCTCCGTAACATAACCTTGAATCTTCGAAATCCGAATAATTGTAGCGATTAATATTATTTATGGCTGCTTATGATTATTAATATTCGTAATACACTGAAAGTAATTAATTTTACTTAGAAGAAAGGTTTAAAATCTATAAAGCTCATTCGAAATGAAAATTAATTAAAATCTGATCAGAAATTAATTAGCTCATAGTTAAACTTCACCGGTATAACGTCAGCCATTTAAAATGTCTTCAATTAATTCTTGACTATAATTCGTTAAAATTTTTCATTAAAAGTACTCGTTAAAATTCTTGATTATAATTCATTAATTTATGAGAATAAAAATAGGATACAAAAATATTTACGAATGCATTTCTTTTCACTGTTTCTTTTGAAATGTTCTTTGCAATGACAATCACTATTCCTGCATTCTTCATTGATTCCTCGACACTTTGTTGTCATCAAGGGGCATTTATCTATAACTGGAAGATAAAGTAAGGAGATATTTAGACATAAGCAAGCACTCTTCTAAAAGATATTCTCGTTTAGATGCGCATTTGCCATTATGATGCATGTTAAGTACAGTATATGAGATACAGTTTTATTTATAAAAGAAATAATGCAATTCAAATTCATTTTGGGTGCAATATTAGAAAGTCATGAATACTAATTAATGTGCTATAGACTAATATAAAATTTACATAACATTATTTACATAAAAATAATGCATAAGAAACAATAAATCCGAACACTAGAAATACATTTTGCTATAAAGTTATTAAACTAAGTTTGTAACAGATGGCGTGAGTCATTCTTCAAGCGATCACATACTCTAGGTCACGTGATGCGTGACTCGTACAATATAAATCTTCATCTTCCTATTTACAGGTCATGTGACAAAATGAACTTTGGTTCGGACTTGAATTCTTCGCCCCAGCAATTGTAGCTTACCAAAATCTTTTACTTTTATTCTTATATTGTGTACTACTTCGTTAATAAATTTGATGTTCGTCATTGTTTTTAACAGCTCCAAGATGTTTAAAGTCTGCATTATATTGCATACTACAGCATTTGCCAGCGTGTACTAAAGTGCAAGAGAAATAATTTAATATAAAAATAAATCGATGCATGATAGATGCAAAACAACAGCATTGATAGTTAAAAATAATTTTGTTGAACACAGTTTTCTTAGCGTTTAAATGGTAGCATTTAAAAATAAATATAATAATTCGGTTTCGTAAACCTCTGCACTTATGTACTAAAATAAACTTTTACATTGCAGATTGGTATGAGGATTACCGAGAAAACATAATAATTAGAATGACTACTTAAAAATAGTTTGACATCTAATTAAGTTTATGTGACATTTCTTTATTGAAAAGGTTCATGGGTAAACCATGCCATATGTGCGAAACTTGCAATTGTTGCAGCTGTGTCCGAAGGGATTTTCGTGCTCTTTATAGGAGATGTACATATATATGAATGGCATCATCTGAGACGGTGTAGTTTGTTTAGTGCAAACGAGTTAAAATATCTTTCGACCGTTTGGTATGATGTTTGATCCTGAATAAAGAAGCCTGGATTTCCTTTACCTAAAACTGCCTTGTCATGCCACAACTACCTTATTGGCCAAATTTCTCACCTTTTGACCTTACAAGATCTTTCGTGTAAAGGTACTTTTAGAAAGTCAAAGTTTCGTCAATTAAAGCTACTTAAAACGACGCAACGGCCTGCCTATGACAGATATTGTGCTAGACATTATACTAGAAATGTGTGTGTGTTGCGATGGATGCTGTTTCGAAGGTGATGAGGTAATAACGTTTTACATTTCGAATAGAGCTGCCCTACAAGCATTTTGCAAGAATGTTTTGAACAAAGGAGTGCATCTTAAGGATGAAGCTGTGACATTCCTAAAAGCATCTTGCATTAGCTGTTATCAGTTATTAGTATTATCAGTTGCGTTAGCTGTTATCAGCTTAGCAGTAACAGGACATGTAGTGCTAAGCTGTGATAAATCACATTTTTCTTTGGAATGCCTTTCATAGATATTTGATCCGTTTATTAGCAGAAGTAAGAAATGTTGAATCGAGCAATATTTGAAATCCTTTCACCGGATCAGAAAACCATTCTAGAAATATTTGTGAAATGTCTCAGTACGTTTTACCCTTTAAAAGAAGGTGCTTGCAGAAAAGAATGCTATTGCCATGTAAAATGCATTTAGTCTACATGCTTTTGTAAGAAACGTCTCTGCATGAGGCAGTCAGTGGAGGCATGAGCACAGAAGATCATGGTTATTTGACTCCTTATTACAGATTAGAAGAGTATTCTCTAACGCAGTAAGCTAATAATGCTAATAAGAATGCGAATAATGCTAATTAGAACAACTTGTTAGTAAAAACTATGAAGAAATATAAGTATTCTCTAACGTAGTAAATATAAGAACAACTTGTTAGTAAGAACTATGAAGAAATATAAGAATATTAATGAACACTTTTTATATTTCACGTGCAGCTTTATATGATTTGAACTTACCAATATCCAATATCAAATGAAAGAAAAATGGGCTCGAGATCAGTAGCTCAAAACTCAATTATATATGGTGTACTGATAGTAGATTTTGATTCTGTAAACTTTTCTGCCAGTATTAAACTACATAACTATAATTCTGATCTCATTAAAAGTAACAAAAATATTTTCTTCAGCTTTCTAAACCTCACAATATAAGCAGCTCATATCGTAAGGCATAAGTTTTCAACTTACAGAGAATGTTTGCACATTTTTAGTCAGCATTGTGAGTTCCATGATAGAAGCGCTTTTTGTAAAATTTCTCGGGGTATTTATTTCCACTACTCTTACATTTTTTTCCAGAATCTGTCAGTCGTAGTGGGTTTGATTTTAGAAAGAGCTCTTTTAAGATATCAAATACATCATAATCCATACATGGGGCATCAAGAGACTGGCAGGAATACGTTGAAAATGTTTATATGCAACATCTATAAAAGTCTTCAATTTTTCAAGGAATTCAGTAATACTTGTCGAAGTGTAACTTGTTGCTTCGTCTTGATGAAGTTTCACTCAGTCATTCGGATAAAGAAATTCAATTTCTTCTGTAAATATAGGACGAAAACTTTCATTTGATAGTACGCTGAATTCAATTAATATTACTTTCCCACGCTTCATATTTTTTATATACTGAAACTTTATTTGCATTGTCGAAAATGGGATTGTAAATTTTTTCTCTCCGTTTTCGATAAGAAACTACCTTTTTTGTTGCAATCACTTAGGTAAACTCATGCTTCATCATGGGTCACGATATATTTCCAATTAGCTTCTCTTGCAGAATAATTTTACTACAGGGTTCTGCAAATAGTTCTGCGTTGAGCAACATGCCGTGGCAAAATTTGCTGAGCATTATTTAAAAAAATAATTTTGGTTTATGATTTCTTGATTTATAATTTATTTTATTGTTGCTACTGATGTATTTAAAGAATCGGCAATCAATTTCTGCGTCGATGGATTTTCTCTTGGTACCAACGATTTAATTTTTGAAGTATTAAAAACAATATCTTTTCAGGCATTCTTTTGGAATCTTCTTTTCATGTAGATCTCAAACGAATGCCTGAAAAGATATTGTTTCAAATGCTTTAAAAATTAAATCAATGTAGAAGTAATGATTGATGCTTTCTTCCCTTCAGATTATAATGTAGCTTAATTACTTCACACTTGGAAATTTTTAAATACTTAATTTAACAATGTTTTTGAATTATAGAAAAGGAATATTTCTCTTCGGATAGCACAGAAACATATCCTTCAATGACCAGCTTGTTCACATGTGACATTTTTTGAATAAATTTAAAAGTAGCAGACAATATTTCTCATTTCAAATAATAAGCTCTTCCTAGAAATGGCTTTTGTTGAATGCTTGTGGAGTCTTCTCCACATATATTCCGTTTCACTGCTGATCAAGTTGCTTCAACTAAACTGGTATGTGTCCCAAGTCAATATCTTTGAATGGGAAACTGTATTTGAAGCACCAGTGCACATATCCTGATTTCGAGAGATTGTTATATACTTTTCGATAGCCCAATATTATGGCAATCTTTGGCAGTGCTCAACATTCCTCCTTCACCACCTGTCATTAAAGGACAATACTAATATTTGTATCCACAATGAATAATCTGCTAGTCACACTCATGTGATCATTTTTGAAGTGCTTGAAAATCTGAAGAATGGCCTTTTTTACCACCGTATGCAGCAGTAATATTTCAAGCATTTCATTACCGCTCATCCCAAGTTTAACACGAAATTCAATCTCATCTTACACATATTTTTAAAGACAACAATGAAACACATCGGGTGTTTCCAATCTCAGCGACTAAATTATGAAGACCATGATTTTCCAGCTGCAAGTTAAAGAACACGAAGACATAACATTCACAAAAACCTAGTATCACGGTGCTATATCTAATTATGTGTACAGAAAAATAGAAACAGTCTTTGTAGAGACATTAGGTGTATTTTTGGAAGCACTAAAAAGGAGCAACCGCCTTCGCCGGAAATCGAACGACGGACCTCTCAATTACGCGCTGAGCGTGCAGACCACCACACCACGAAGGCATGCAAAGAAGGCGGAGAAATACCTTATATACTCCCCCTTTTAAAGGGCGAATGGGGTTTTTAGAGGACTCAGTTCGCAAAATCCTGCGTGAGGAGAATCATCATCCAACACTCTTTTAGTTCGGGCGACACTGTAGAGATGTTAGGATTTTTTTTTTTGAGAAGCAGGCAAGATGAAAAATATGCAATATGCCTTCGCCGGGAATCGAACCACGGACCTCTCAGTTACGCTCTGAGCGTGCAGACCACCCCACCACCATAAAGGCATGCCAAGAAGGCGGGAGAAATACTTATAACTTAAAACGTTTCAGTCAGCCCTTGTGTGCACATTAATGTCAGTGTGAAACGCAACTATTCTAATCCAAAAACAGTGTAAATACTTCTGTGGCATGTGCCAATAATTTCTCCAGCAGCATTTGGGAATTTGCTGCATATTCTGAAGTCCATGATCATGTGCTCAAGCTGTCGTAAGCTGCGGTAGAATGTTGCTGTCAGCATCACAACCCCCTTATGTTACGTTTTATGATTGCATACCCTGAGTAAGATAAAAATTGGAAGCTATACTTTCACAACTTCGTTCGCATCAATCTGAGAAGAATATGAACTGTTAGATATATACGAATAGCCTGCATATGGACCAGACGTTGGAAAAAATCTTGATAAACGATGATGCTTCAGAATTGCTAAGTAATATAAGATAGCACAAGAAACAATGTAAATTAAGAAATGTAACAAATCTCCCTTACCTTCACATGAACGTTCTGCGTAGTCGTAATACTGATCTTTAGGACATTCACAGTAGCCTACATTGGTAGTGAAGTTAAATTGGCAATTATTTGAAGAACACAAAGTTTTGCCCATTCCTTCTGCACACCATTGGCTATCTTCACAAACGAGCCCTCCATATGGATATGGACATAAGCATTTTTGTCCATCTGTTTCTTCAATACATGTTCCTCCATTTTTACAGTGATTACTTTTGCAGATTTTGTATGCTAAGGAAAGAAAATACAATTTAGATGATAATTGGCATTCCATTTCATAGAAATTGCATTTGGTAGGAAACAAAATATAGAAAAGACGTTGCCATGGAAATATTAAAGTGACAAAGAAAATAATATTTATTAGTTAGAAAAATTTCATCCTTACGCATTTTGGAACTCGTATGAGGATAAGACTGTGTTGTTGTACGAGCAATGTCCGATGTTCCGTTGATAGTAGATGATGTTTCAAGGTTTGTGTGGGCTGAAAGAGAACACTAAGATTAAACAAAAATTGACATATGTGTTTTAATTTGTATACAGTCATGAATTATTTAATAACAAGTCATAAAACCTGAGAGTAAAAACCTCTTCATAAAATTGCAGTAAATAAAAATATATGACGAAAATGCGCTACAAAAGACTAATCCTACAAAAAATAATGATAAATAATTACCCAGTGTTTATCGATAAATAGTTACAGAATAACCAAAATTTAATCAAGCGAATGGTATGGTATGGTATGTAGTAAAACAACTCATGGAGCAAGTCTTCTTCTTCCGTGTTCTTAGAAGCGATGTGTTAAGATAACTTCCCAAATGTTACACAGTTTTCCAATAAAACACATGTTTCAATCTAAATATATTCACAGATTTTCTGTAGGGCTGATGTCTGGGTTTCCCATTGGAAAATACCAGTTTGAATACTTCATTAGTTTCTAATCAGTCCTTTAATGATAAAGGTAATGAAGAGATTAATTTTCTTAAAAAAATCAGGTTTTACTATGTGATTTACATCTTTTAATCCTATCAAAAATAATTAAAACAGGCAGGATTCTGAAGACAAGATGTGATTTGCATTTTTTAAATCCTATCAAAAATAATTAAAACAGCCAGGATTCTGAAGACAAAATGGGATTTGCATTTTTTTAAATCCTATCAAAAATAACTAAGGCAGTCAAGGATTCTGAAGATAAGATGCGATTTGCATCTTTTAAATCCTATCAAAAATAGTTAAAACAGCCGGGACTGACTTCTGAAGACAAGATGTAATTTACATCTTTTAAATCTTATCAAAAATAATTAAGACAGCCAAGGATTATATTAAACATTTCTGATTAGAAAAATTAACTTTTCTTTTTAGTCTAAGTTGTATACTTTATCGCAAACATTGAAGTAATTTATGGTTTCCTACTCGTCTTCGAGTAAACAAGCCTTGAAATTATTGAAAGACGACAATGAACTTCATGAGCACGAAACCCAGTGGAATTGCAATGAAATTCATCAAGCAAAATTTATTTCGACGAGAAATTCGCTAAATCAAATTCATATTCTTCTGATCTCTGATATTCGTTTTATAAACCGGAGCATTTGCTAATGTTTTATGTAATCGTTCAGGTATGCTTTTGGTCATTCAACTGCACTTAAGATTATTTATTTAGTCGGTTTAAAGAATTTCGGAGCTAAGGTCCTATTAAGTTGCTTTAAAATATGTTTCCCTCTGGCATTTTGTAAAATTTCTGTGACATATTATATGACATTAAAATGCTTTTTATAATTCCAGGCCTCATTTGACGCCTCATGATGATATGGTTTGAATTTTATGACTTATTTGAATGAAATTAGTGATGCTTTCCGCTAACACATCCGCGGATTATTTTTTTTAAAAGATAAGAATGCGTGGGCATGCATTACATTCTTGCTTCAAAAGAGAAAACTGATTTTTTATGTTAATCTAGAAATTTGGCAGTTTTTATGAGCTTTTATTTAGCTCATTCATGGTTTCACTGTGGTCAGAATTTTGTCATGGATACTTACTTATCCTATTTCCTCATAAACTATCCAGTTCAAATTTTGTACACTCTTCATTTGCCGATGACAATGCAGTATGGTGAAGCTGTCACAGAAATTATGCTAATAACACTGCCTTCTTAGCACAGCGCGAGCATGCGCAGCATACATCATACAGATTCTAAAAGCGAGTAATGATTTTGTACTGGTTGCTTCTGCTGATGAAACACCCGCGAAGCCGGTTGCCCAGATGACTGAAGCTGCTTTTCATCCCGTTGAGTTTATTTCCATTGCCAAATCGGCGATGCTTTTGTACAAGGAAAGCTGTTCATCCTCAATAAAATACTTTAATTGCTTACCCAAGTGTCGTTAGCGTCAGATCAACATGGAATTATCGCTAGACAAGCGATTTTAATAAAATTTGACTTAGAATTTTTTAATGTAATATTTGAATGATTTTTAGCGTATATATTTAACGAAAAAATCTGATGTGTACACCACATGACTTCCTTGTACGGAATATTAAATTATACGCATTTTTTCTTGCATTTCATTTAACTCATTAGATTGAATTAAACCTACATCGCCGACAGCGCATAAACCACAATCGAATAAATGCATTCTTTAAAAATTCACTATGTTTACCATAGCGACACTCTGGCGCTAGGTTTACTTAACAGTATTATATTTCGTTCATATTATAACTCAGAATGCACAAAATAGATATCATTTAATAAAGAATTATCTAATCGTTGCCACATGTTCTATTCAAATACTATAACAAAGCCAGAACGATGTATAAAAGAAATGAAGCAAACAAAACGAAAAAGAAACAGTTTTTCACAGACAATTGAGTACTTCTCATTCAATTAATTCAATTTTCACTTCGCGACAAGGCAAAAATACATAAAACTCAAAATATCTGTATTAAAAATTACGAGTAAATCTTAAATACTTATTTCCTCGAAACAATTCCAGAAAGGATTAAGCATGATTTAATTCGCAATAATAAATGAAGGTGTCATTTTTGTGTTGCGAAGCTTAGTCTCTCTAGATTGGCAACAAATCTACAATTCTGCTGTTTCAACTGTAAACAAATATGTCCGCCATGTTATTTAAAACTTAACCGCACTTAAATAGCTTTTAAATTGTTGATAATTGTACAAATATTGCTTCTAGAATTACGAAAGGCATAAATACTTTAACCGGAAGATAAAAACAACATAATTCAATCATTTTTAAAACAAAAAATGTACAATTTACAAACATATAAGTGTAAAGAAATTGAGATCACTGAGCCGGGTAACAGAGGGGATATATTTATAAATATATTTATATACGTTTGGCGCGGCCGATTGAAACCAAAATACGAGGTGCACATCTACATGTTAAAGTAGTCTTATATACAAAATTTCAACGTTCTAAAGCTACTCGGTTGTGAGTTATGCGAGATACGTACGTACGCACGTACGTACATACGTTCGTACAGACGCCACGAAAAATTCTCTTCAAAATTCATTTTAAAGCAGTTTTTTAGCTTTTTTGGAGGAAAAGAGTCTTTTATTCTGTCCTTACGTACAGATATCACGCAAAAACATAGTAAATTGCATTCGAAACCGGTCAAAGTGGATATTTTCGTTGAAATATGCTGCCTGAAGCTTTTCGCGATTACAATACTTCCTTTTTACTTCGTACAAGGAAGTAAAAAACCAGAAATATGAAAGTCTTACTGTTTTCACCACCGAAGAGAGCGAATTTTTTAAAAAATGAATTTTATATGAGAACTGCAATTAAAGTTCTGTATGAGGAATTTTCGAAAATCATCCGATTTTTGTTCGATTTCTTGCCGTCCATTATTTTAAAATTTCATTATTTTAAAAATGTATCGGATAATTTTGAAAATTTCACAGATTATAAAACAAACACTTTTGAAGGAAAGTTATAAAAAGTATTAATTGGGAGATTTTTGTTATGACGTCACTACGTCAACATAATTCTTATCGCTTCTGCACAGATTGCATTTAAACAACACAGTTTTAGATTTGATTAACGTCTAAAATTATTTCTAACGAAATCCACTATGTCGTTTTAAATGTTTCGCATTAAATACGCTTACATATATTTTTTTCAGCATTTCAGTTGAGCTGATTTAAGTTGATTTTTTAAAATTTGACTGTGGTGTGCAATATTATTTTCTTTTATGAGGCTTTACAAATTCAACATCCATTAATGTATCCCTTATAAAAATTTCAAATTATTAAAAGCTAAAAACAAAATCGTTATTCTCTCTTAAAACAAGAATGATAAAAATGATAAGAATGAAAAAAAACAAGACTTCATTTGACTTTTTTAAAATTAACGTTCTTTTTATAAGTTTTATTTTCAAACTCTCCGTGGTGTTTGTCACTACGACAAAAACTTTAAAAAAAGATTTCTTGATTAGCTGTCCAGCTTAAACTCTGCAAACACACCCATAGTGAATGACAATAAAATGGTGGGGCAGCGCTAAGTTTTCAAACTTTGGATTATTTAGGTATTTTTAAATTTAATATTGAAATGATTTTTCACACATATCTTCGTTTAACAAAGTTACCGAAACTCACAGGATCTTACTATTTGCACCTGAAATAGAGCAGAAGAAAATCTCTTAAATGAAGGTTTTAACGCAGTTTCTAACGTTTTGTGGAATGTTTGGAAATCGCTCGATTTTATCGATCACTTGACATAACAGAAGTGTTAGAAGTAAAACAATGATTTTAACGATTTAAAAACGATTTTTCAACTGAATAATTTTATTGACAGTGTGTCACTGAGAACAAAAAGATGAAAAAATAAGGTTCTATGTAAAATTCGTAAAATAATCAATGAACTAAAATAAGAAAAATAACTTATCATACAGTTTCATGGGGACAAGAAATTAAATAATTTTATTTAAAAAACTCCTCTAGAATTTTATATCATGAATAATAAAAGCACGGAAAGAAATGGATTAATCAAATTGTATTGTCAAAAATATAAGCCATTATATTTACAAATTTATCAAGTACGATCCACCTTTTTATTAATGATCTACAATTTTAGCAGCTCATTTCTGTACAGTTTGATGAAATTAAAACCCAAATGTTAATTTTTCATACTAACTAACAAACGAAAAATTAAATTTTGACTACAGTTACAATTCGTATCCGAAATGCTACTGATATTACAGACACTTTCCCCTTCATAGTGCTATGTTTTTATTTTAATAATTCTGAAAATTAAAATAATATTTTATATTTTAAAAGATTATTTGGAAGTAAAATATGAATTAATTAATACAAGTTTGTTTAGCATTTCAAAATGACCTAACTGTAATTTGAATAATAAATGAAACAGATTTATTCATAGTTTTGAGAAGACTGTTAAGACATAACAAGATTAATTAATATTAGATTAGCTGTTAAGATTGCTTACCCAACTGCTTTAATGAAGCATTACTGCTTATAGTTTACAGACTATTAAGCCTCAAAGCTATATAGTCCATATGAAACAGTATTAAAAGCTTTCCAATGGAAATTTAGATCTATATGTTAGCAATTGAAAAATGAAAATACTACATTTCCTTTTTATTGGAATAATAATGATGTATTAAACAACCAAGATCTAATCAAAAATTTTCCGAACAAATGTTTTTAATTAGTTAAGTTAAAAGAAAAAAACTAACGAAAATAATTAGCTAAAATTTGAAAATTTAAGATTTTATATTACGCCTAAAGGGGCGTTTTTATCATATACATACACATACAAGTTCCGAGAGCATTTGGACTAATGTCATCTTGCTTAAAAATATTTAGAAACAGCATACCTTTAGAATTTCCTATAGACAGTCTCGAGCGCTGGAGATAAGAGTTTTTTTTTCGTGCAGTGTTGCCAATGCTCGCATTGAAATCGTTGAGTTTGTTAATCAAAAATTCGTTAAAGTTAAAAAATTATGGAATATATATTAAAACCAATTCGAAGTTCAAGGCTCGGGTTTCCAGGTGCCCCTACTCGGGTAGAGGACTACTCTACTCAAAATTTGATGTCTCTAGGTACCGTTGCCAGAAACATGCATACATCCATGCAGATTCTTCATTATTTAATTTCTTTAAATATAATACAGGGAGATAATATTTGTCGGCAACAATTTGAAAAGTGAAAGGACATTTATAAGGAATGTACTCAACATGCCGTTTTGAGACTAACAGCCCTTCTGGGCCAACGCCCTTTTGGGCTAATAATAAATAAATTTATAAATAAAATTATATTCAGTAAATGTTTCAAAAGAGCATATTTTGTGTTACTGAACTCTTAAATGTCTCTTTTAGTTCTCAGTTACCTAGTTTTAACTATTAAGTATCACAAGATTATATGAAGAAAACATAATATAGATTAATATGAAGAAAACATATATGATTAATATGAAGAAAACATAGTTGTCTGCCTAAAAGAACGAAATGTGTGAGAGAGGCCTTAGCTGCTTTACGTAACTTCCAATTATTATTATTATTATTATTATATTGTATGTGTTCTCTGTATTCTCTAAGCAATCAAAATTACGAACTCTCGATATGATAAATACTATACATTTATATTACCTTTCGAGTCCTTTTATTCATTTATTACACTGGTTAAAGAGTATAGCCACTCATTAATACTTGACAGCTTTAAAAACTGAAATGCATAATTCTCTTCATAAAACATAACTTATTTATCTTAATACTAAAGTATTCATATTCTACTCCTATCGGAACGTATAAAACTGAACTTAAAATCTCAAAAGTTTGAGCAAATCAATAAAATTATAGCAAAATGTGTGCTACAATAAGAAATTTGTTGAATATTAACTTCTTACTGACATTTCAGTTGGTCAGGTTTTCATTGCTGTATGCTGAGAAGTGGTTTGAGAAAGAAATTTTGTACAAGAAATTATCGTTACATGTAAATCATCCCAATGTATAAAATTTAACAAGAAAAAATGAAGTCCTTACTTGTTTTTGGTATTAATGTCGTTGAAAGTGTTGATTGCGTGATCATTGTAGAGGTCTTGTTTAGAATCGCTGAAGGTGAAGTTGACGATGGTGAAGTCTTCATTGAATATGTGGAAGAAACGGTCGATGAAGTTCTCTTCGTTAAAATTGTCGATGGTGAAGTCTTCGTTGAATGTGTGGAAGAAACGGTCGACGTCTTCGTTGAAATTGTCGATGGTGAAGTCTTCATTGAATATGTGGAAGAAACGGTCGATGAAGTTCTCTTCGTTAAAATTGTCGATGGTGAAGTCTTCGTTGAATGTGTGGAAGAAACGGTCGACGTCTTCGTTGAAATTGTCGATGGTGAAGTCTTCGTTGAGTGTGTGGAAGAAATGGTCGACGAAGTTCTCTTTGCTAAAACTGTCGTTGATGCGGTCTGTGTAGTACTTGATGACAAAGTGCTCGTTCTTGCGGATGTAGCAGTCATCGTTGAGGCTGTGGATGGGGTGGCCTTCTTTGAAGTCGTTGAAGAGGTAGTCGAAGGAGTGGCTTCTGAAATATTCACAAAAGAGAGATTTAATAAACTGTCGCAATTTTTTCCCATCAAGGGCAATAAAATACTTTATTTAAAAGTACATAATAGGTGAAAGACAAAATCATAAATATGCCAGTAAGCTACAAAACTGAATCTGTCAGTTGTGTGACGTGAAAGTGAAAACAGTGTCAATGATATTTTGAATTGAAGACTTACATACTCTCAGAAGTTAAATTACAAACACAAAATGCAGTTTCTAATTATATCCTTTTTATAGAAAGCAGCTGTGGAAATTTGTTCTTATTGAGCAGATTGTAAATATTTAATGCTCTGTTGCATCAAAAATTGCTGCCTCATAATGTCTGCAAATAAATGTTTGAATTATTTACTAGAAACAATTTAATGTCGCTTGTTTGGAAATTTATTAACTGAAAAATTTTATGAATTTGAGACATAAAATACGAAAGTATTCATTGTGTTATAGCTACCGTCGGCAACCTATGGCGCACGTGCCAGATTTGGAACGCGGTACAATTCTCAGTGGCTATCTACACAACTCTACAAAGTTATCAGATCTTCTCGAGAGGCTTGTGGTAGGGAAAGAGGGGTGGGAGACCCCAGGACCCATCCTCTCGCGATGCTCTTCATCAAAATTGGGGGCGGAACTGAGCTAAATCGCATTTTCACCTGTAAGGTGCTCAAAGCTGTTGCCAACTGTTGGAAAATATGACCTATTGTAACCCTTTTTCTGCATCATCTCTCCTCCTTGAAATATTTCTAACTTTTACATAAGGTTTAGTTCTTATTTTAAAGGGATATAGTAATTACTTCTACTTCGTTTTTCACTGCCACTGTTTGTATTAAGAACGGACTGTTCCAGCCTAATTAAGATGCAAAAACGAAACTTGATGTTACGTCATCTGGAAAGCTGAGTCGTGCCGATAGCTGATTGATTGCCGTGAGATGACGTCATATCTACTTCAGGTATAAGTATCTCGCGTCGCTCTGGCTTATTCCTTCTGGTTCCTGTTTCTTTGCTCCGTGGTGTGCCGTTCCAACCCCCATTGGAAGACGATATTGCGATGCATGCCAGCTAGCGACTAGTGCCATGATTCTATTCCGAAAGATGACTTTTTATGGATCCTGAAAAGCGGCAACAATGTGAGCGACAGCCGTGGCCGGCATCCTGTTTTCATGAAGGCGGCATCTTCAACACAAGTGTTTTTCCAGAATTAGCGGCGATGTTTTTACAAGCTGTGATTTCTCGTGTGTAACTACAGGGAGCAGCTTTTTGACGGTTTGGGTGCTCTCAAGGATTTAGTTTAATTTTTTTCAGGTGCCTTCTTGACCACAAACATGGACTTATTGATAGTGAAGCAAATTTCATTAAAACCGCGTAGTTTCTGTTTAGTGATATGTTTTTCGCGTATTGAATGCCAGTATTTGGAGATCAGGTAAAATATTTACTGTGTCTTTAATAGTGTAACATTCTTTAAAGGAAAAACCCTTGGGGTTAATGGATGATCAATTAAGTGTAATTTTTTTGATAATGATTATGTTATACTCTTTAAGTTTCTGATGTTGATTAAATTTATTCATTGTGTTTTTATTTTTATATATTGTTAATAAATTGGTTAAGTTTAAAACTTTTGTCTTCAATGTCTGCACAGCATATAACCTTAGGAAGCTTCTATTCCTACTTTTGCTAAAAATTTAATTTTACAACTTTAAACTTTGCTTTTGCATCACCAACGGCAGGCATAAGCTTGCGCTCTTTGCCACGAGGAATTTCGTGGGGTCGGGCTGACAATAGGTCAGAGAAGGGAGAATTAGCAACTACAACAACAGAGATATATCTCCTGTCTTTCCTCTCTGCACCGACCCACCTCACGCTTCATGCATTTTCTCTCCTTTCATACGGTTCGTCGCGCCGATACACGACTATCGAGAATGATTTTAGTCGAAAGCAGAATTTAGTTTAATGTACGTCATACATTATAGGTTACTTTACGATAAATTCTTAGTTTTTCTGTGAAAACTTGTATTTTGTTTATTAATTATGATGACAATTTGTACCTACATATTTAATCAAATGGCTACTAAAAAAAAAGTTTGATGTTCACGGTTATCAAAATACTTGGACAAATGAATATGGATTCGTCCAGCAAATACAATCGTCCCAGTATGTGTGTTATGTCGCGAAAGCGTCGTATGTCGCACTCTAAGTATACAAAGGCATTTTCAAACTAAACATCAGTCCACATTTCAGGATTCCGATAAGAAATTTGAAGTTATAAAAAGAGCTTTTTCTGGATATAAGACACAAGTTAAATTTTTTGTCGAACAATAGGAAACAAACCTAAAGCGACCGAATATGGTTTCGCATTTGCTCATCGTGTAGCTGTCAAAGACAAATCTTTCACAGATGATGAATATATAATGGGATACATTTTTAAAAAGCGCTGAAATATTGTTCGGCGATTTACAAACGTGCAAACAATATTATACAGAATTAAAAAAATCTGATGTATACACCACATGACTTCCTTGCACAAAATATTAAATTATACGCACTTTTTCTTGCGATTCATTTAAACTTATTGGATTGAATCAAATCTTCATCGTCGATACCGCATAAACCGCAATAGAATAAATACACTCTTTAAAATTCACTATATTTGTTTACCATAGCGACACTCTGAGGCTAGGTTCACTTCACAGCGTTACATTTCGTCCATATTATAACTCAGAATGCATATAAATTTATACCATTTGAAGAATTATCTAATCGTTGATACTGTTCTATTCAAATACTATAGCATATCTAAAACGATATATAAAAGATATTAAGCAAACAAAACAAAAAAGAAACTGTTTTTCATAGACGATAAGGTATTTCTCATTCAATTAATTCAGTTCTTACTTCCCGAAAAGGCAAAAATACACTTAACTCAAAATATATATATTAAAAATTAAAGTAAATCTGAAACACTTATTTCCTCGAATAAATTCCAGATTGGATTAAGCATGATTTAATTCGCAATAATAAAAGAAGGAGTTATCTTTGTTGTTGCGAAGCTTAGTTTCTCTAGATTGGCAAGAAATCCGCTATTTTGCCAAGTTTGAAATGTAAATAAACATGTCCGCCATCCGCAAAATTCATTAGGCTTAGCTGCGCTTAAACAACTTTTAAATTGTTGATAACTCCACAAATATTGCATGCAAATTTACTAAAGGCATAAAAACCTGAACCGGAAGATAAGAACAACATAATTCAATCATTTTTAAAGCAAAAAATGCACAATTTACAAACATATGTAAGAATAAAGAAATTGAGTCACTGACCGAGTAACAGAGTGGATATTTTCTATATTATCGAAACAGAAATTGTAAAGCTAACAAGTAAGGACGTAAGACCTATAATTATGTCCTATGGTCTTAAAAATTTTTGGCAGAATCTGCAAAAATATATGAAATAATAGGTAGAAAACATTGCAGCGATCGGCTAAAAAGTTACCAGGAGCGTAGCTCCACGAATAGTTCAACGCTGTATACTAAAATATTAAATATAAGCAAGAAAACTTTTAAAAAATTATTAAACTGAAAAAACTGGAAAAAACTGCTGACACGCGAAATAAAACTGTTAAAATCAATGTTGGAAGACATTGAATGCACGAAAAAACTAATCTGACCGTTGTGATATGTGAAAAGTTAATACACATAAAAATAGATCGACGAACAAGTTAAAACAAAAAAAATTTAAAAATAATTAAACATAAAATGCAAATTTATAATGAAAACATAAAATGCAAATTATAATGAAAACATAAAATGCAAATATAATAAAACATAAAATGCAAATTATATGAAAACATAATTGCAAAATTACAAAAAACAATAATTACAAAGCGAAAAATGGTAAATTAACCCACTCGAACCCTCAACCAGGCTTTTCAAGGGAAAAATGATTGAGTGTCGAACTAGGCCAAATACCATTACGCAATTTTATATATATATTTATATACTTTTGGTGCGGTCGATAGCAACCAAAACACTAGGTGCACATCTACATGTTATAGCAGGCCTACATACAAAATTTCAACGTTCTGAGGCTACTCGTTTTTGAGTTATGTGAGATACGTACGTTCGCACAGACGCCACAAAAAATTCTCTTCAGAATTCATTTTAAATCAGTTTTATATTTTTTTTTGGGGGAAAGGTTCCTTTATTCTGTCCTTACCTTGCGGATGTCACGTAAAAACATCATTAAATTGCATTGAATAGCGGTCAAAATCGATATTTTCGTTGAAATATGATACCCGATATTTTGGCAATTACAATACTTCCTTTTTACTTCGTACAAGGAAGTAAAAAATTCCGGCTTCTACGCGAACTATTGAAAGACGAATAATTTAAGGGCAGGAAACGTAACAACAAAACAAAATTCTGGATTACAAGAAACTGTAGCATTTAGCGTTACTCGTAATGAAAGTACCGAAGTGAATGATGTTGCTGCCCTTGTTATGTTGCAATATTGTTATATTGCTAATTTGTGTTGTTTATTTTTGATTTGAATGAATACATTTGAATGAATACATATATGTACAATTTAAATTTTTATTTATAGTTATATTTTATGTTGTTTATTTTTATGCTATTAAATATCTTTAAATGATGCATTATTAATATATAATAAAATTATAAATTTTTATTCTTAACCTCTACTCCTTAACTCTGCAATGCATTGCCTGGGAAATCGAATTGTTAATAAGGAGTATGAAGATTCCGCAGACTTTATACTCCGTGGTTTCAATTATTTCCTACGGTGCCGCATCCTGTTTAGTTTAGTTTAGTTTAGTTTACTTTACGAGTATGCTGCAACCCTCCTGGCCGACAGTAATCGGCCTCATGGTTAACGCAGCACACCCGACGCAGAAAAACAACAACAAAATAATAATAATAAAATAAATAAATAAAAGATTAAAATATTTAAAGTCCTATTCCTATGATAGTCTTATTTTCATTCACAATCCTCATAATTTCTGTTGCATAGCTATTTAAGAATTTTCATTTTTCAATTACATTTTGTTCATTTATTTTTCCAAATCTCGTCCTCACACTCTCGGTCAGTTTACATTCTTCCATAAAATGAGCTGCATTTCCGTACTTCCCACAAGCCAAGCATTGATCATTGCCCTGGAGATTAAATCGTTTTAAATAGGCCGGGAATCTACCATGATCCGTGATAACTTGAATAGTATCTATATTATTAAATAGATCCACTTTTCATCCTGTATCATATTAGTAGATTGGTTTGGCACATCTCAGCTACATATTTGCTGATCCCTGTGTTATACCATCTGCACGTAACTGTGACTGACGGTATGGTATTGTTTATAAAATTTAATATATTTTAAACGAATGCTTAATCCTGGAGAATTCGGGGTTCTGATGAACACTCATTAAACTAAAATTATTTTAAGCATTTGAAGTTATTTAAACTACACTTGAAAAATTTAAAAGCTTTCACTATGTCAATTTTTATAGCGGTCGGCTATAGGATAAAAACTAATTTCTTCGAAATTATCTTATAAAATTTCTAATTAAGGTTTCTTATAAGAAAATATTTATAAATATAAAACAGTTTTGGGAATGAAAGGTTTAGTACTTTTTTGTCTGCAATATTAATTTAGTTGACACTGATTAACTATGATTTTTTTAATATAGAGTCAGTTATAATTAAATACGCAAGTTAAATGCATATACAGAGCTCTCTCTATACCTATTTTATTTTGATATTAAAAAATATAATTTTCTGTTTATTATCTAAAGCAGTTTCTAAAGCAACCTTTAAAACTATCGCATTAAATAATCAGAAAAGTATTTTTTTAAATTTTGTGTTACATTCCCAAATATTTTGTTTCTGAAATTCTTTTGTGTAAGTCTTATTACATTTTAATCTGCTGTTTTTCTCTTCTAATACATTGGAAAAATTAACATAGCAATGTCATGTATAAAATAACGATGAATAGGTAGCAAACTATAAGCTCAGAAATAGCTTCATATCATCAAGAGAGCCTGTAGTTCTTCTCTCAGTGCTACCTTAGTAACCTTCATTTGAAAAGAATGATTTCTCCTCCACTAGGATTTCAAAGCCTATAAATTATTGAAATTCAATTGCATAGAGAGTTATTTAAAATGACTGACCGCATTTCAAGCGATTTAAATCTGTATCCTTTTAAGAGTATTTTAATCTAATACACATCAAAGGAAAATAAAAGTTCGGAAATTTAGAATAACATCAAATAACTGATAACCTAATGCTAGTTGTTCCTTAATGAACTATTTCTTTAAGCATTTGTTCAACTTTGAGCTTGTGAAATTTACAAATAATAGGTGGACCTTTGGTTACTGTACCTGTGGAAACTGTATCTATTATCAAAACTCGAAGTTTTTAGACATGAAAACTGTGATTAAAGGCATACATAGTTATGTCTTGAAGTTTTTGCTCAAGTACAGGAAATCGCATAGAAAGATCATAAGTAGAATTTGGATGGTTTCCTTTTTATATTATTTATTATTTGTACCTCAGTATTAAAAAAAATATGGTCTGTTTTAAATCGATATAGTTGCCAGGAATTTATGTTAATTTACTAATTAAGGCCAAGTTTTATAGATATGAAAGCAGTGATTAAAGATATGCATAATTATGTCTTGAAGTTTCAATATAAGTACGGCAAATCACATAGAAAGATCGTAAGTATTTAATAAAACAAAGTAAGTTTTGGTTTATTTAATTACGGCAAAGCACACTAGGGCTATCTGCCTAAGGGGAAGGGATGCCTTCGTGGAGGACTTTCTAAGGGAAACTGGCTCGTATACACGTTACACATGGGGAAAACCACGAAAACGCCCATGCAGCCAGCCCGTTCGCGGGATTCGAACCTCGGACATAACTACCAGTGTTCAGCGACTTTACCGCTCGGCCGCTGGAGGGCCCTAAAACAAAGTAATAGTAGATCAAGAAAGTAAACAAAGTAATACTATCTGTGCATGCTGATTTCAGCAAGCATAGGTAAAATGTTTCAATACAATGTTAAGCAGATTCTCTTTTTTAGTCAGATAAACTTATGTCATTTAGTAATGCATTTAATGTGGTAACTAGCACACTATATTACATAGTTACCACTATTTAATGGGGTAACTATGTAATATAGTATTTAGTTAAGCTTTTGTTCTTAATGTAAGTTTCAGCCTTTATTTGTGAGTGTTTTTCAATGAAGTAACTTATAATGCGTTTCGAGAAACGATACACATAAACCTGTGTCAGGCCAAAACATTCTCAGTTACATGACGAATAATAACTTTTATACTGAAAAAAAAAAAAAAAAAAAGAGAACGTATATCTTTGCTTTTAATGCCTAACTTTAATTCAATTTATGTTGAGAAAATGAGAGCTTCATACACATGGCTTGGATTAGTTAACATTATTCTAATTATTAATACCACTAACAAACCCTTAATGGAAATTTAATTTCGATATTTTTTCTATATTTAAAGCTTTTGGCATCAGGAAAAAACAACCGAAAATTAGAATAATAAGGAAGGCAAAATTGAATATTTTACTTGTTGTGATTCTCTTATCACATATTTCCCCGGTGTATCCAGTTAAACATGAACATTTGAAAGAATTTGGAATATCCAAACAGGTACCTCCATTAATGCATGGATTAGGTGAGCAAGGCCCTGTAAACATAGAATAATAATATATTTTAGGAAAAATAAGTTACATAATTATCAGGAGATTTTTCTCATGCAAAATATTAGTTTTTAGTTATCATGCTGATGTCCTAATAAAATATAATTAAAAATGTTTATATACGATCAGCTTTTATTTAAAATGGGTATAATAATTAATGCACTAAAAACAGAAAAATAATTTATTATATAGTTTAATGGGAATAATAGTTAAAAATTTTAGTTACGTAATTCATCTGCTATTTTATACTGCGAAAACTGAAAGCGTGGGAGCCCATGATAAATTCAAAAATCTAATGTCCACATCACGTGACTTCCTTGTACGGAAACGCAATTTTTCCTGCATTTAATTTAAACTTATTGAGTTCTACTTCTTCGATAGCGCATAAACCACAATAGAATAAATGCGCTCTTTAAAATTCACTATATTTATTTACCATAGCGACAAGGTTCACTTAACAGCCTTACATTTCATACATTTTATAATTCAAAATACACACAAATTATATCATCTGAAAAATTACCTAATCTTTGCCACACGTTCTCTTCGAATACTATAATAAATCTAAAACGATGTATAAAAGAAATTAAACAAATGAAAAATAAACAGTTTTTCACAGACGATTCAGCACCGCTTTCCTAATGCGCAAGCGCTACCCGTAAACATTCTTCTCTGTCCGAAACAGACTGGCGACAGTAGTTTTTGTTAATATGAAACACTTATATCCGCGAATTTCATTAGAAATATATTTCTCATTCAATTAATTCAGTTCTCAATTTGCGGCAAGGCTAAAATAATAAAAATTGAAAGTATCTTCATTAAAAATTGAAAGATATAGAAAAAGCATAAAAGACTGAATAGAGTTAAAAAAATTATAATTAAACTTGCACTCAAAAACAAGCAATTTGGTCAGCGGTGAAGAGGACAAATTTTTCAGTGCACAAAACTGAAAGTTTACTTTTGGTCTCACACGGCAAAAATAATATAATAATAACTTAAATAACTTCTAAATTGCTGATAAATCTACAACTATAGCATGCAGGTTAAATAAAGCATAAAAATCTTAACCGGAAGATAAGAACAGAATATTTCATTCATTTTTAAATAAAAAAATGCACAATTTACAAACATATAAGGATCATCATCAGCGAACATCAGAAACGTAATTTTCGAAAGAACTTTATACACCGAAATAAAAATAATATATTGTAACAGCAGAGCGGCACACTATGAGTCTAGTTTCATATTCATTTAATGTATAATATAAACCTTAAACCATTGTAATTATGAATAAATATTTTTATATACAAGTACTTTGTAAAGCAATGAATAAAGATAAAATAAAACTCTTTACCCTTGCAAATGCCTTCTACGTCTTTGTACCCTTTCTTGCAAATGCAGGTTTTGGTATCTTTGAACCACCCACCTTCAAAAGTGCAGTTTGAATCTTTGCCACATTCGCATGCTGCGGAAAAGCCAATATTGATAATTAATACCTTACGCATAAGATTATTAAATGAAAGACACATTTATTACTTTGAAATGCATTATTATTTATAACGTTAAGTATTGTAGATCAGAGTTCCCGTTCCCATTATCGTTTTATCCTTTTGCAGTTTTGTAATTAGACTTAACATTTTAAATTAAATCACGTGTTTGACGCTAAATAAGAAAGTCTAATGCTCAGGTTCCTAATCAATGAAAATATATTTAAAAATAATCAGTTTTCTCTTTTTAATTCTTAAAATCTTTCTAAGTGAATTCTAATTATTTCAGATAATAAGTGAAGTGAACTTCTATACGAAGAAATATTTTGTCGTCTCTCAATGTCTCTCTCCCAGCATTAAGCGCGGGGCTACCACTCAGATGTGAGGTATCCATCTCCTCATGAAGGTTGCACAATCGGTTCATTTGGTGCAGATGTTTTGAAAGGCAATCATGACCAGTAACAAGACCAAAGGAAGCAACAGATTGCTTTCTGGGCAATAAAGGCATGTCAAAAATTAAATAAAGGTAAATATTGGATCATTAAAAATAACAAAATGATCAATGAAATAATTAATAAACGAAAAATAAATCGAAATTGCTACGACTTCGAAAAACTTTTCATAGATCTTCCTTTTAATGAAATAATACAAATCTCATTCACCATTAAAATTATTTTCTGAAACTACAAAAATTATAGAATTCTAATAATGGACCTACACACGTTTAAACATTACATACATTAATTTTAATTAAAGAATTACAATGATGGACATCTACACGTTTAAACATTACATACATTAATTTAAATTATAGAAATATAATAATGGACCTCTACACGTTTCATTACCTACATTAATTTTAATTATAGAATTATAGTAATGGACACGTTTAAACATTACATATATTAATTTTAATTATAGTGTTACGGATTTGGTATTTAAACAGCTTATGTTAGTTGAATTGTAAATTAAATGGTTTTATTTCCCGCGCAGGGCAGCGCGTGACGAATATTAAAAGAAAGTTAAGCCGAAAATTGAAAATACAAGAGCGCGTGCATGTAACATTTAATAAATATCTCTTTTTGGTTTCGAGAAAGTACTAGAAAATTCTCGCGCGCGATTTTAAAATCTTATAAAAGGAGGAAAACTCTCGGTTCGTTGTAGTTACTTAGTTTGCTGTTGTTTTAAGAGTTTGTTTAGAAAACTGCTCTTGTTGACTGTAGCGAATTCGCGGATTAGCTTCCTTTAGCTGCTTTGAATTAAGTTCTCGAACGTTTGAGTAGTCAAAAGATAAATACTGTGAGATATTATAATACTGCACGACTATCTGAGGAGATTTAAGCATTTTTGTTGTGATAATAATAAATTTTGTTGATTTTTCATCTGTCTTGTGCATTCATTTCGTAACGAACCCGTACGCACGGAACAATTTTTGGTGTCAGGATTGGGGTTTGAATGCCAATAACAAGAGCGATGGAAGAGTAATTAAGGCAGTTGATATCAGCCTTTGCCTCGTTTAAAGAAGAAATGAAAGAAGAGAGGAAACTAATCAGGAAAAGATTGAAGCGGGACAGGAAGAAATGAAAGCGGGACAGGAATTCGTTAAAGAGGAGATGAAAATCTTAAAGACGAGATGAAAGCAGGTCAAGGGGAAATGAAAAGAGAAATTACCTACGTAATAGAAAACAAATTCGAGGCTATAGAAGGTAGAAGAGACTCGGTCGAAAGTAAGGTTGGAGAAATTGAAGAAAGAGTCTCCTCCGTCGAAGAACAAATAGAAGGGACAGTTTCTGCTGTGGAGGAACGACTTGAAGGAAGAGTTTGTGCCGTCCAACACCAAATCGAACAACAACTTGATGATAGGGTTTCTGCAGTAGCCAAAAAATTGGATATTTAAAGAAATTCGTAGCGACGGCAGGGAACAATAGTGATGGTTTTAAATTTTTACCCATGCCTGCTCGTCCCTCTATGAAGTTTTCTACATATGATGGGAAGACCTCTTGACAAGTGTATGGAACACAGTTTTCTACAGTGGCGGATGCGAATGGGTGGGATTCTCAAGCTAAGGCCTGTCATCTCGCCGCTTCACTGAGAGCAGACGCAGCGGATATTCTGCAGACTCTTCCCGAAAACCAGAGATTAGACTTTGAAGCTCTATCTGGCGCATTGGAGCTGCGCTTCGGAAAAAAGTGTTTAAAAGACTACAGCAGGCTTCAACTAAATTCCCGTCAGCAGAAGCCCACCGAAACACTTCAGGAGCTCGCCACGGATGTTGAAAGGCTATCACATCACGCCTTTTTGTAGTGCCCGACAGAAACAAGAGAAATCCTGTCCCTGCAATATTTCATCGATGGCATCCGGGACAGTGAAATACAGAAAGCACTGCGAATGGAGGATGTTAAAGATTTGAAAAGCGCTCTGTTGTACGCCATGAAGTTCGAGGCAGCCCAGAAAGCAATTCGTAGAGATCGCTACCCAGTCAGAGCTGTGCGAGTCCACGAGCCAGTGGATCAACTGATGGCTCGTTTAGATGATTTAGCCAGAGAAGTCAATGTTTGATACAGAGTACGAGTGAAAACAAAGTGGCTCTAAGGTGTTGGAAATGTGGCATTGAAGGGCATATACGATGGCATTGCGGAACACCCTAGGGCACGGATATTAAAACTGATGATTTGACAAGACCACTGAATGCTTTGACATGGGATATTGGTGAGAAGAAACAACCCTGAAGTGCTGGAAATGCGGTGTTGAAGGCCACATACGAAGAAACTGCAGAATACCCCAGAGCACGGGAAATAAAACAGATGAGTTGAACAGGCAATTAAATACCAGGAGATGGAAAAGGAATGACAAGAAACCAAAGTGCTGGAATTGTGGAGCTGAAGGCTACGAACGAAGGAATTGCAAAACACCCCAGGGTACGGAAAATAAGAGGATTTCCCAGCAACGACGCAGGAAACATATCGAGGAACGGAGGTTGCCAGATAATGAAAAAACCCGTTTTAAAGCGCTTAAGATTTCTACAGTGAGTGGCAACAGTAACGGACTGTCCATAAATGGAAATATCGATGGAGTTCCTTGCAATATGATCATTGACACAGGAGCTAATGTTACCATCATTAGGAAAGATGTAGCTGAAGAGTTTAAATATAAACTTATTTGGACGGCATCCTGTGTTACCCTTCAGACTGCGTCTGCTGACAAGATCGAGATAGCTGGGAAGTTAAACGTGAACATCACGTTTGGAAGTGCCGCCTACCATAACACGGTATATGTGGCGGATATTACAGATCCATGCATACTTGGACTGGACTTTTTAACGAAATACAATTTTTCCTTAGACTTGAAAAACAACAAACTGATTTCAGCATCTGATGACATGACTATCCATCCTCAACAGGGATCCTCGCCTAAAAATTTCGACGCCTTGTCCGAAAGACCCAGTTCGGGAAGCTGCCGAAATCATACTAGGATCGAAAAGAAACGCAAGACTACCAGCTATTCTCCATTCCAGATGCTCTTCGGTCGAGACCTTCGTCTGCCTTGTAACCGCCTGTTTGATCGCCATACGGATGCGCCTTCATCGCCTGAGGAACACATCCAAGATATCCAGGCCCGTTTTGAAGTTATGCACCGTTCCGCACGAAAGCGAGTGAATGTGGCGACCAACACGAGAGCTACTGGACATAGATTCAACAAAGGAGACATAGTGTGGTTGTGGAACCCGATTCGACGAAAAGGAGTCACGCCTGAATTACTGTCACATTGGGATGGTCCGCACACAGTCCTAAACAGGCTGAATGACGTCGTGGTTCGGATACGTGAGTCTTCGAACTCTAAACCTAAAGTCGTTCATTACGACAGGTTAACTCATTACTATGGTCGTAGATCGTAATGTAAATAATTGTAAATAGTGTAAGACCATGGTCCTTTTTGTTTCTAAATGTGTTTGTATTTAGTATTTGATTGCATTTATTGTTCATATTTTTTTTTGTTATTGTAATGTAATGCTTATTATTGCATTTATGCCACAGTTGTAAATTTGGCTTCCTGTACAAGGATTGTACTGCTCGGGACGTGCAGTCCTTGGGAAGGGGGCAGTGTTACGGATTTGGTATTTAAATAACTAATGTTCGTTGAATTGTAAATTAAATGGTTTTATTTCCCGCGCAGTGCAGCGGGTGACGAATATTGAAAGAAAGCTAAGCCGGAAAATTGAAAATACAAGAGTGCGTGCGTGTAACATTTAAGAAGTATCTCTTTTTGATTTCGAGAAAGTACTAGAAAATTCTCGCGCGCGATTTTAAAATCTTATAAAAGGAGGAAAACTCTCAGTTCGTTGTAGTTACTTAGTTTGCTGTTGTTTTAAGAGTTTGTTTAGAAAATTCGCGGATTAGCTTTCTTTAGCTGTTTTGAATTAAGTTCTCGAATTTTTGAGTAGTCAAAAGATAACTACTGTGAGATTTTATAATACTGCACGAATATCTGAGGAGATTTAAGCATTTTTGTTGTAATAATAATAAATTTTGTTGATTTTTCATCGGTCTTGTGCATTCATTTCGTAAATTATCCGGTACGCACGCAACAATAGAATTATAATAATGGACCTCGACACGTTTCATTACATACATTAATTTCAATTATAGAATTATAATGATGGACATCTAAACGTTTAAACATTACATTAATTTTAAATTCTGATTTTGTTTACATTTCAATGGTATACATTTCAATATCATATACATTTCAATGAAGTTCACAGTCACTAGAAGGGACGAACTGTGAAATCTGTTCATAGACTGCAATTGTGACATACGCGACAGTAGGTTGAGTTCCTCCAGAACTCAAGGTGGGAGGATGTCGCTGCTGAGCCAGCCTCTCGCAGTTTTAATCCCTTACAAACTGAAGTGAACTCAGATCTAGAATAAACCAGAGAGACAGTATTGTCAGACACGAACGTAAGCAGAAATTAACGCTGCCTTAGCGTACTTGTAATTAAACTCCTTCTATCGATTAAATTCTTCCTATATCTTTGTAAATACTAATAAAGTAAGTTTGTGGTGTGAAATTCTTCCATTTTTGGACTGGATTGTCATTTTAACTTAGATTACATCCAATTTTTAGTTTTATGACTTCACAGAAAACCCTGTCAGCTGTCGAATGAAGAAGAAGAACAAAAGGTAAGTTTACCTTTTTCACATATTTTTATTGATCTTCTAAAACTCATTACGTATTTTATAATCATTGAACAGAAATGAAAAAATTGACATACCTTTGCATTTAGTCGTAGAATACTGTCCATATTCTGGGAAACATTTGCACACAGTTTTGCCACTTTCCTTAACGCAGTCACCATTTTCACATTCACAAGCTGGAAGAAATGAAAGTATAAATTGTTGCAGTATATTCGATATAAAATATTTTATAACTGTAAAAACCTTGTTCTATGATTTGTGTTTATGGAAAGAAATCTAAAGTAAAAATCGCGGATATAGGATCACTAACATCACGTTTCACGTATTTTGTTTTCATAAACAGGTTCACAGATTTATGGCAGCATGTCATAATTGACTATCATACTAATGAGTTCTTCACAGGCCGAACATTGAACCTTGAAATATGATTTTTAAATCGATATTTTGTCGCTGAACTATGTTTTCTAAAGTTAATGCAGTAAATCCAGCGTAATGATCTTATCCAGGTTGAAATAATGATTAAAAATAGAGTTAGACCAAAACCAGTCATCACCACCTTCTTAAGTCATTTTTAGTCAGCTCGGAGATAAGTGAATTTCAAAAAGGGCAGTAACTCCCGCCCCCCGTGATGATTTAAGGCGGCGACTGAAAATTCAAGTGATATTGGAGGATGGGCACCATATAAACACTGTTTGCTAATGTTTGAAGAACACTGAGCGCCGAGATTTAATTCGAAAAGTACTTGTTTAAATCAGTAATGTGCATTTGCCCAGAAGTAGACAGATAGTACCTTTAACTATTGCATTCTCATATGTTGTCACCAATGGTATACATACCTTTAAAACTAGAAGTCTTTACAACGATTATTTAGATTTGGAGTCATGAAAACTAATACAATATGCACACTGCTGGCCATTCAAATATCCTTACCAGGAAGGAATGATCAGATGAAAGTCAAAATCACATAAAAGGAAGAAGACGTTGGAACATGCTTCAGCGCATTTAGACGAATCGGGAGGGGGAGGAACGACACCTGAAGCATTGCATAAAAGAAAAGTTGTGTAGTGGACTTCTCATTGGAAAAGTGCTTTGTAAGGTTGGAGTTTGCTCCGAATATCGTGTTATGACTCGAATAAGCAAAAAGCTTACCAGCAAGCTTCGAAATTCGATAGAGGCAGGATCGTTGCCTATCGAAAGTTGTAGATTATCGTTCCGTGATATCGCCGGTCGCAGTAGTTGACATCCAATATGCTGACATGCGAATATAGAATCAATGGATTGCCGAGGGTCCTACTAAACGGCATGCAGGATCTCAACGTCCTGCCATGACTAACGCCCGAGAGGACAGACACATTGTGCGTCAGGCTCTGCAAAACAGTACCACTGCATCACGGACCGTTAGTCTGGAGATAGCTACATTTGCAGCACGCCCAGTATCAGCTTGTAAGACGCTTCGACGTTTGGACTGTCAGCAGGATGACCATTATTTAGGCTTCCCTGGACAATGTAGCATAGAGATAGACGGCGACTCTGGTGTGCCAGACGACGAAGCTGGATATAGGAGTGGCACAGTCTCGCCTTTTCAAATGAATCCCGGTTCTACGTGAAGTATTTTCATGGTCGTATACGTGCCTGCAGTGTCCTAGAAGACGGCACGTCGCCTGCTTGCATTTGATTTCTGCATAGTAACCCCGCATCTGGTGTAATGGTTTGGGCAGCCATTGGGTACACGGCACACATCTCTAACTCGGATCGACGGTAATTTGAACGCAGATGGATGCATTTCTGACATCTTACGTCCAATGGTTGGACCCTATCTTCGAGGCCTCCAAACGACATGATCCAACACGATAATGAAAGACCATATGCTGCACGTCGTATTCTGACTTTACTCGATGCACAGGGTATTCGCTTGCTCGCCTGACATGCACGGTCTCCAGATCTATCACCCATTGAAAACATCTGGTCATGAGCTGCTGAGAGACTGGCCTGCTACTAATATCCAGCTAATACGGTTGATAAGTGTAGCATAGACTTGAAGCGTCATGGAATGAGTTGCCGATTTCTGTCACCCAAGCCCGGTTTGCCTCCACGCATAATGGGTAAAGGCTATTTTACCTGCCAGGGGTGGCAGCTGTTTCTATTAATTTCGCACCCCTGTAAACGCCCGAAATGTTTACAGATTTAATCATTTTGTCTTCATGTAATACTGTTTACGTGCAATAAATATCCTTTTTTGTATTTGCTTTCCTTCATATTGTTACAATTTTAATGACCATCAGTGTAATTATAAAAAAACACTTTTGCAAATTATATATGCAGTGTGTTTCCGCTCTACCAAAAAAAGTTGTTCTTCATCTTTTACCATGAATAAATTGCGCAAGCATGACACGCAAAATCGTGAAGTGTTCTACATTTTTGCTTCGGCAGTACACATATACCATGAATAAATTGTTCGCAACATTGATATGAAGATGACACGACAGTCGCAAAAGTAATGCATGCACGACTGAGATCAGATTAGATTCCCTTGCGATCTGTGTGAAATTTGGAGAGCGGTGCAAGAGTAGTTGTCAGAATCAAAATTTCTTTAGCGTATGCTGTTTTTTCTTACCATTTTCCTCGAAAAATCGCATTGTTTATTTTTATTTTGCTCTATCTATTTTCTTTGGTAAACATGATTGTCGTTCCTCCCTTTTTTACTTAAAAAGTTCTTAAAATGTTTTTTGCTAAAATATTTTTTTCTTACTTTAAGAAGAGGAACCAAGTTTTGAAAATCTTTAAAATTTTCCAATATCAGATCCAAACTAAGTTAGCGTTTTAGCGTAAATTTAAATGAGGGAGAATTCTTTGAACAAAGAGGTGTTACGACAAATTTGTAATGGAACTGATGAAGATTTACGTTGTTTGCTTTTTTATAAAGAATTCAATATAAAAAGATATATTCCATAAAGAATTCTGCTTCAGAAGTTTTCCTAAATTTTCCAACATAGTTCTACCGTGTTTGGAAACAAAAAAAGCTGCTTTAATAGCAGACATGATAAAAAATTAGGTGCCAGTGTAGTAGTTAGTATTGATATAGTAACAGTTATATCTTTAATAACTTTATTACAGTATCAATTTATGCGATAGTTGCCTTTCGATTCTTCAATCCCTCACATCTTTTGATAGTAATAATTCGTTAATTGCAAACATTAAATTTTTATATGAAGTCATTACTTGGTGTCACAAAATATTCTTCAGTTGAGTAAAGTCTCATGTTGGGATCTTAGAAAACGAGAGGACTGACGGGCTGGTCAAAGAGGCTACTTTGGGTGAGGCTGAGAGGACTCTGAATGTCCAGGCTTCCAGAAAAATTATGATTTCTTAAATGGAAAAAAAAAAAAAGTCTCTCCACTATGTTGAGAACTGTCATTTAAATTACACATAAGGGAAAAATACAATTATATCAAAAGTTTTACAGTAATAATAATGAAATTAATTTTGCTAGAGAACTAATGCATTTTGCTAACGATTTGTGGCTAACAATTTGATTACTAATAATTTGTTGGTGTGGAGATTTTAATTCAACGCCCATGTTTTAATTACACTTTAAAGCTTTACTTGTGCCGCCTAGACGGTACAGTGGTTAGGGGAACCGACAGCGATATCCAAGGACCCGGGCTCGAATCCCGGAAAAGCATGGTTGTAACTGCCCATTTCTTCAAAATGTGGCCCATCTCTTACCTGCCTCCATAATAAAGTGACCACCACCTATGGTGCTTTAGCAGCAGCCAAGCCGAAGTCGGCTGAGGGCCCGCCATTGGGGGAAAAAGAAGTTCCACTGATATATATGTTTAAAATTTTGTTTTACTCCTTCAAAATATACTTTATTTGTACGTGATTTTGTGTTAAAATTACATATGTTAGTGTTTATTGTTTAACTAGCATATGATCTTTCTTATTTAGATTTTTTTTAATGTTTTTTTCTCTCTCTTTTTCTGCCGTCGAGATCCAGTGGATTTAACCCCGCTGATCGTATTTAGTTTATTTTTACTTATTTTTTGATTTCTCGAGCTCCCTATTGCTTACTTGCTTTCCAAGTCTGTTTGCTTTCCTTCTTTCTTTCTTTCTTTTTCTCTTTCTCTCTCTCCTTTTTTAAGGACATAGTGTGTTATGGAGTAGAAAATGGCTTCCCCGCTTTATGTCCTTGTTTGTGGTTTGAAGTGGATCTCCCTCTTATAACCATATGGGCAATTTATTCTTCTAGGTGAATTGAGCTCGCACCTTACGTCGATCGATTAATATAGCTTTATCTGATAGAAATTTTAATAAATCGCCCAAATTGAGCCAGCACCTCCAAGGTAATGATGTGAATATACAAGAACTAAAATACCATTTCAATGTTTTTAAATCTCATTCCGAAATATTGCATAAATGCATAAAAAAGGAAACGGAGAAATTAGACATTCACTAAGTTGTCTACTCTTCAAAAAATGACAAGATGAACTTTGTGGACTTTTGGAATCTTTTTACTGCCTAAAGAAACAATTTCAATGCATTTTGAAGATGAATACATAACCGAGACTTTTGGCCTATTTCCTATGCAATTTCAAAACACGTCTCCGAACTTAGAAGAATGTATTGAGCTACAAGCAAACAAGCTGCTGAAATTTAAATATAAACACGTGGCCCAGCATCTTTAGCAGGAGAATCAGATATTCTGGTAAAATGAGTATCATGCAGAAAATTTTTATAGATTTCGTTGTTTTATTTAGTGGAAAGCAGACTTAGCAGAATAATTAAATCCAATAACCGGAAACTGAAATCCGCTGCACATAACTAATCGCGACGATTTTAGTATGTTGATTGTAGAGTCATTGTTTCTACTTCCTTGTATGAAGTAAAAAGGAAGTATTGTAATCGCGAAAAGATTCAGGCATGATAGTTGAACGAAAATATCCATTTTGACCGCTATCGAATGCAATTTAACTCTGTTTTTCTGTGACATTTGTATATAAGGACAGAGTAAAGGACTCTTTTCCCACCAAAAAATTATCAAACTGATTTAAAAGGAGCTCTGAAGATAACTTTTTATGGCATCTGTGCGCATGTACGTATCTCGCCTAATTCAAAAACGAGTAGCCTCAGAACGTTGAAATTTTGTATATAGGTTAAAAATTTGTATGTAGGTTGAACGTTGAAAACTGGAAATTCCCTATAACATATAGATGTGCACCTCGTATTTTGGTTACAATCGGCCGCACCAAAACTATATAAATATACGTATATACATATTCACTCTGTTCTTCGGCTCAGTGATCTCAGTTTTTTATTCTTATATGTTTGTAAATTGGGCATTGTTTGCTTTAAAAGTGATTGAATTATGTTGTTCGTATCTTCCGGTTCAGGTTTTTATGCCTTTAGTAAATCTGTATGCAATATTTTTAGAATTATGAACAATTTAAAAGTTGTTTAAGTGCCGCTAAGCCTAATAATTTTTGCCATGTCAGCCATTGCTTTTTTATATTTGAAACAGCAGAATAGTGGATTTGTTGCCAATCTAGAGAAAGTAAGCTTCTCAATAACAAAGATAACGTCTTCTTTTATTATTGCGAAATTAAATCACGATCCATTCTGGAATTTATTCGAGGAAATAAGTGTTTAAGACTTACTTCGTAATTTTTAATATAGTATTTTGACTTTTTATGTATTTTTGCCTTATTGCTAAGTCAGAACTGAATTAATTGAATGAGAAGTACTCAACCGTCTGTGAAAAACTGTTTCGTTTTTTGTTTTGCCTTGTTTAATTTCTTTTATACATCGTTTTAGATTTGATACAGTATTTGAATAGAACATGTGGCAACGATTAGATAATTCTTTAAATGATATAAATTTATATGCATTCTGAGTTAAAATATGGACGAAATGTAACGCTGTTAAGTGAACCTAGCGCCAGAGTGTCACTGTGGTAAACAAATAGAGTGAACTTTAAAGAGTGCATTTATTCTATTTTGTTTTTTGCGCTTTCGACGAAGTAGATTTGATTCAATAAGTTAAAAAGAAATGCAAGAAAAAATGCGTATAATTTAATATTGCGTACAAGGAAATCATGTAGTGTACACATGAGATTTTTTTTAACCAGGAGACATGAAAAATGAGAAATGCTCTGACAAGGACTCGAACCTAGATAAAGCCTTCGTTATTTTTAATGCATTTGTGCAATTCCAGACTGAGATTTAAAAGTGTTGAAATGGACCTCTCGAATACGCACGAAGTGTGCTTCCATTGCATCAGTCGCATGTTTGAAGGAGGGGCTCCTTTT